GAGCACCCTGTCGCATACTTAAGCAGAAAGTTACTACCCCGGGAAGTAAGTTATGCGGCAGTGGAGAAAGAGTGTTTAGCCCTGGTCTGGGCACTGAAGAAATTGAGCCCTTACTTATACGGCCAAGAATTCTCCCTTATTACGGACCATAACCCCCTTGTCTGGCTTAACCGGGTCTCAGGAGACAATGGCAGACTGCTGAGGTGGAGTTTGGCACTACAGCCTTACAACTTCACCATCAGCTACCGACCCGGTAAGCAGAATGGGAACGCGGATGGGTTGTCCCGGCAAACAGACGTCCCTACTTCTTCCCAGTCCGGTCATCCCCAAGTTGACCCGCCAAAGGGTCAAGCCGGGTCTGCCGGAGTGTTCCACAAGGGGGGAGCCGTGTGACAGACCCATCTGTCTGGATTACAAATGCTTTGTTCGCCTGTTTTGCCGGTTACATGAATTTCCCCATTCGTATGCTTTATTCAAGGGAATGTCGGTTTTGTCGAACGGAACTACCGAACGGACGGCCACCCAGAAGAGAAGTGTGCTGCTGGTTAACCTATTGATCCCAATTAGAACGTTGCGGTTAACCACAGACACTTCTCAATTAAAACCGAATGCCGGGTGGTCGTCGTTCGTATGTCGACCACGAGGCGGCGGCCATTTTGTCCATGCGAACGACCAGCGGTGTTCGACGATTATTTCATGGATCTGAAAACGGACACTTTTTCAGCCGAACACCGCTGAAGCCGTCGACCTCCCCTTCTCAATCGACAAAAGTATACGAATGCCAGCCGTTCGGGAGATTCAACCACACGAATGGACTTAACCCAGATAGCCGTCCCATGGAGTCAATCGCATACCGAAGAACTGAAAGAGACTTTGACTCCATGGCGATTGAACTGTGCGAATGGGATCTGAGCGCTATTCTCCAATAATGTGCACTCAGATCCAGGCTATCTGGGGATATGCAATACGAATGTAATATGTTCGGCAGTTATGAAGTTATGGATTTTCATGTGTTTTTGTGACTTGTGTTTAAAATGGCGATTGCCTCTGCTCGGGGAGATAATTGAGTTACTTCCCAATTATCCCTCGAGCAGAGGGGAGGGAACTGTGATGCATGCTGGGAATATTGTGGGGATGTATGTCCAAAATGTCCCCATGTCCTTCTGTGATTTCAGTCTCCCATTTGGTCCCCTAGGGGAGTGTCCACCAAGTGGGAGACCTGCATAAATACCGGGCAGGTAGCCCACAGTAAATCAGTTCGTGTTTTACCCTCAAAGCGGAGCTTGGTCTCGTTATTGGGGGGGATTTTATTACCGGCGCTTAGAGACTGCTTATTGGAATTCTTTGCCGCTTGGGAGATATTAGCGTTCGGCTAATATTGGCAGTTCGTGGATTTGGAGCTCGTGAAGGGAAATAGCCGTACAGGTACCGTTCGGGAGTTTGGAGTGTTCCCTAGCTGGCGATTCGCATGGTTTTAATCTACACGCTACCAGCCTACATTATTGCGAACGGGGAGCATTCACTAAACGGCGGTTTGTGCATTTATTACTGGAGGTACCGTAACATTGGCACAATCACCATATTTATATTTAAATTTTTAAATATCGAAAAAGAAATGTTTCATCCAATTTGGCTATTGGAATGGGGTTATGTAGGGAAAAACAATATATTTCTTTTATACCGAGGATTTCTGCACTGTTAACAGGTTTTTTATCTATTCTACAAAGATTCAACTGCCAGAACATATACATATATTTAGGTACCCAACATCAGAAGGTATATCATCGGGACAGATTGGGTTTGGGGGCTTGTCAATGATGCGACTCGTGTCACTGGCAATGCCTAAACTAGTCAGGTCTGCCCAGAAAGGGAGTAAGTCCGCTCACAGACCAGGCCTACTGTCAGCCTCCAGACAGGCCTTTACACAAAAAAACCTTACAGAGACTAAACTGAAGTGCTTTTTGTGTGATCCTAGCACCCTCCGCACAGCGCGAGCATGGCTGATAATGCACTGCTATGGCTGGGGACAGTTCCCTGAAATTGTCTGAATTTGTTGTGGCTGTATGCTAAGGAGTTAACTCATCCGATTGGATACATTTGTAGATTTGATTCCAGACAAGTTTAATCTGTTGAAGAATAGGGCTAGAGCTGTAATTTGCCACATATTACAAGACATATCGCAACAACACTGTTATGCAATCTGTTTACTAACTCTCGAGGAAGTGTATTGAACACCTGAATAAACTAAAAAGAGTAGGTGCACGTAATATCCTTTTTAAATCAATAAATTATAATAATATAGTCCCCTAGAGCAGTGCTCCTCAACCCTCTCCTCAAAGCACACCTAACAGTCCATAAGTTTGGGATTACCTGGGTGTGCCTAAAGTGTAAAAAAAAAAAAAAACCCACAGACTCTAAGGTGTTTTTCTTTCTTTGTCTAAGCATTATAGACATACCGTTAGACACAGTCCCTAAATCCTGGACTGTTAGGTGTGCCTTGAGGAGAGGGATGAGTACCTTATAGTCTCCAAGAGTTCTCAATAGGAGGTTCTTTCCTCTTACCTCCCCCAGTGTGTGGGGTTGTATGGTGTAAAATACATCTTATTGTCCAAGGGTCCACACACAATAACAATATGGATGGATGAAGGAAGGAAGGTAAATATAATCAAGCAGGCAAAAGCAGAATAACCCCTATTCCTTTATCCAACACACAATCAGGTTGGGGTTGTTAGAATGATTAATGTAGGAGGTTCCCAGAATCAGGATATTAATAAAAAAAAATGCCAATTTAAAAATAAAAGTAATATCGCTTTTACCTCACTCTAGTTAATAATAAATAGGAGGAATCCCCATGTACTAGCTCCTAGTAGTTCCATACTTTACACACAGCATGGTATGGATTAATTTAACGGAGCGCATGAACCCACATTACTCATCAGTTTGTGTGTATCGCTGTCCTTGTGTTTAAGTTAGTTGTACTTCTCCTTGCTGATCCTTGGATCAGTTGGAAACTTGCCAGCTTTACTCTGTCTTAACACCTGAAGTACTTTAGTTAAATCTAATCCACTAAGACTAAGACATAGCCACAACAGCACGTACTCTACAGTAGAATGGGTATGGTTGTTGAAGACCTTCCTTGTAAACAGCCTACTGCATCTCCACTTCCTGCAATGTGAATTTATGTTTTAGCTCCTTAGGTAAGATATGATGTGTATTCCAAATGTGCTACATAAAACTTATAACACAGTCTCTTAGTGCCAATCTGAACAGTCCTTACATCTAACTCACTTTCCAAGTATCCCGTCACCAGCAAATAAAATCAAGTTTTTTGTTTTTTTTAAAAAGACAACTTTGAAAGATATGACGGTAGACCATCCCTATCATGCTTTACTAAACAATCTCTCAGATTTAAGCAAAGTAATCATCTCATATGCTTTAATACTCAAATTTTATCATGGCATAAATCAGAGAACTTGGCCATAAATATCCTTTCAAAAATATGATCTACAGTGTCAGATTTTCTGCAGAATCAGGTGCTCTACTGAGCTCTCACATGTTTGTGTTTTGTCCCAGGACCATGATCACAATCCTTACTACCAAAATCTATAGCTCATTTCCTTCACAATACTTCTATGCAATGGTTAAGAGCTTTGGATAAAGACAAAAGTTAGCAAATATATTTTAAAGAAAAAGTTAGTTATAAGAATTTTGTTCAACAAGCACAAACTGAGAAAATTAAACTGCACTCTGAAAGTTCTGTTTGTTTTACACTCAAATAACACAAGCTACTAAACCACAGGTAGAAATGTATTTACCCTGCATGTGACATGACAAGTCCTTCAACCCGCAGTTGTTAACATTCTGTCTGGATTCTGGCCAAGAACAGATGCACTGACAGATTCTCCTGCCGGGTGGATGCTCTGGATAATTTTAGAATATTTTTTTTCCCTTTTTCTCATTCCCCTACCACCTGCAGACTCATATGCTGCTAATTGTCATTACAGCAATTAAAATGAAAGTCCTATTAAGGGAAGAGAATGAGAAATGATTTTAAAAAGTGTTGCTCCTGCAGGAGATATATTTATTATTCCCTTAAATTGGGAAATAACCATGGCCTATTTGAACTGCAGAATATCTTTTACTGGATACAAACTTTGATGCTTTTCAAGTAAATCTAAGACTTGAAATCACATCCTTTTTATATTTGCAGTTACCACAGGATCTAACATGCCTTCAAATTATGGGGATTACCCATTGGGTGTATAAATAATGGTGCGATTTCCAACACTAACATGGTTATTAAAGGGATATTACAAGCAACATAACAATGTTTGCTTAATAAAGTAGTTTTGGTGTGTATATCATGCCCCTGCAGTCTCACTGCTCAATTTTCTGCCATTTAGGAGTTGAATCACTTTTTCATACAGCCCTGGCTTTGTTTAATTTAGAATGCTTTGCTTATAGAAATCACATTGTGTTTAATTTAGAAGTTCTTATCTTCTGCTCTGTTATTACCCTACCTTAGACTCCACCGGAACCTCATATGTGTGATAAAGGTTCAATTTATAGAGTATGAGATAAAAATGTCTGCAGTCAGTTAACATCTGATTGAAAGTGAAAACTTTTTTTTTCATGCAGGCTGTGTCAGTCTCAGCTAGGGAAGGTGTGGTTAGGGTTGCATAAACATAAACCAAGTGATTTAACTTCTAAATTGCAGATAGAGTGTCACTTTAAGTTTTGCATTTGATTTCCAACCCATTCAGGTTAAAATGTGTTTTTTTATTTTAAAATAAAAGCCAAACCAAAAACTGTTGGTTTGGGACTTTTTTCCGATTCAGCTCTTGTAACATAAAATTTGAAAATTCTGGAAAATTAATATTATACAAGGACAATCACTCTTCTCTGAATTGTAGAAAATTCAAATCCGAAAGTCAAATTTTTTTTATACAATCTTTATTCATTTATAGAAATCCAGAGTACTATAGAAGACAACAAGGCATGTGGCATCATCAGAATTTACTGGAGGTGAACAGATATCACGACAAATTCAAACATTCCAGAAAAAGGGTGCTACACTCTACCAAGCTGGTATGTCATAGAAGACATTCTTTTACAATGTATATAGCTCGTTGTAAGACAAGCGCCAAAAGGGATGGTTAAGTGCAAACATTATACAGTAACAGTAGACATTATACAGTAACAGTTGTAGCAATCCAGGATGGTACTCTCTTAGTACTTAAAGGACAAACTCGTTTTCCTGGCACTATAGTGTTAATAGGTCCCCCCCACCCTTTTACAGCTGCAGGGTTAACAGCTGCAGGGTTAACCCTAGATGGAGCTGGCACCCAGACCACTTCATTAAGCTGAAGTGGTCTGGGTACCTATACTGTCTTAGTAGGTTTATAAAAAAGTTTTAGAGAGGTAGAGATGAAGATAAGAAAAGGAGAAGGAGAAAGAGGGATGGAATAAGGGATGGGCAAATAAGAGGGAGGGTGAGGGAATGGGATTATCATCTGGGTATGTTTGACCATGTTAAAAAAATATTGTTTTTTTTGTGGATCCGCTGAACTACCAGCTCCACCTAAGTGGTCCAGGAAATGCATCCCCACATCAGGCTTGCTGCGAGAACTCCTGTGCAAAAGAGGACACATAAGGTAACCATGGCATCCAAATATTTCTGAGTTCTATCGTACAGAGCTGCAGTTTGTTCCTCCATGGCCCTTATTTTCTCCACCCATCTCTGAAATGTCAATGCATTACGTGGCCTCCATAGTGTTGGGATTAGTAACAAAGCAGCAGTGTGTAGGTGTCTAACTAAGGAGCATTTAAACTGGGCAACTGAAGTCACAGTGTAAGTCAGGAGCATTGACAGCAGTGCGAACTCTACTGTCTCGTCTGTGATTCCTGTTATTGTGGTATGTATGTGCTTCCAGTAGGGTTGTAAAGTCTCACATCTCCACCATACATGCAACATTGTGCCTTTATCCCTGTCGCAACGCCAACTATGGTGTGTCCTATCTGGAGCAATCGCATTTATACGGTCAGGTGTCAGGTACCATCTTGTGAGGATTTTATAATTAGTTTCCTGCAGTCTCGAACTAGGGGAGCACTGATGGGTCAACATCATGATTTTAGTCCACTGAGATACAGTGGGAGCCCTGGTTCCCACAAGAAGGAATGTCAAAATGTAGGCAAAAGCATCTATGCCGTAATTGTAGCTGAGTTAGAAGATATATCCAAATCTGCTAATATTCTAGAATTCTACTATGTAATTGATCCTGGTCAGAACTACGTAATAAGCATTGCCCAACCTTGTGAGGCTTTTGGTAACAAAATGAAGATCCAACCACATACACCAAACAAAGCAGCTGTTCAGTCATTCTGTTTATTTTAAGGATATTACTGTAACTTAATACAAATTCCAGATTATTTCTTCCATTCTGTTTATTTATTTATGTAATCTTACTTTGGAAACGTATTAATGCATCTATTTCTTCTCCTGTATATGTTTGCTGTAAAAATAAATCTGCAATCAAGGCAGCATTAGGGAGGAATTGCTATTAATACACATATGACTCTCCTATCTCCAGTGGCCGTGGCTGTATTCTCACTGTGTAGTAATATGATGAAGGTTTGCATATTCTTCACGCGCTATCAAATATAAAACTATGCCTACTAATAATTCATTGTGCAGTAATCCTTTCATGATAAAAATATTATATCGGATCAACAACAATGCCTCGTTTAGAACAGCTATTTTTACTATGTTATGGGCAACTGGGTAAAGCCTTCAGTGTGGGAATAAAAACTTGGAAAGGTCTGCATTGTTTTCCTGATGTTACTGATAAGACTACTATGTAAAATGCTTTATTAAAAATATTGGGGTTTACTTATTCAACAATTGGTTGAAATTTATTTAATTCACTGCTAATTCACTATTAATCCAATTCTGTTCACTAAAGTCTGTTGTTTAGTGAATAAATCAGAAAGTGGAAAAGTGAAATGTTAAAAGTGTAGGAATTAATTGATTGATTAACTGGATCATGGAAATTATTATTGCTTATGTGCAGTCTAGAATGTCCACTTTGCTCAGTGAATCACCGTATGAGTTGCATAACTACATTCTAATTGGAACTCTGATAGGATCCAGTCTTTGATTAAAAGCATATTAGATTAGCTCTAGATGAAAATGAAGATAGATCATAAAAGAAATGCACGTTGACAAATTATTCCCAAGACACTCTGAGCACAAAAACAACTTCATCTTAATGTAGTGGTTTTGGAGCATAGATACTGTCAGGTCTTTTTAGAAAACATAAAATATAGCTGTTTCAGAGAAACAGCACAGTTTACATCTGTCTTAAGCAACACCTCTATTGACTGTCAGACTTACAGCCAATAGAGACTCTAACAAATGAATACCTTCAAAAAAGTCTTCATGTTTGGCACCATAGACCTGAATGTTGCGGAAGCTTCTCAAATGAAAGCATTTTATTGGCAGAACACGATCCTATCTTCCCAATGTTTATACAAATATATTTAATTTTGAAAAAAAAATTTGTATAATTCTTTATTTTTGGTTTGCCGTCATAAATTTTTCAGTTGTGACAGTAGAGTATATACAATTGTTATACATCATATATTTTACACGTGGTTTTTAACATTAGACTTTAGTTAATATGACTATTGATGCTGTATGAGGTCTCTGTTTCCCTTCATGGCCAATGTGTATTCTGTCGACAAAGGTTTATTTAATAAACAAAGTAAGAATATTAACATTAACATATAGAATTCGGCTCATAGAAACATAGAAACATAGAATGTGACGGCAGATAAGAACCATTCGGCCCATCTAGTCTGCCCAATTTTCTAAATACTTTCATTAGTCCCTAGCCTTATCTTATAGTTAGGATAGCCTTATGCCTATCCCACGCATGCTTAAACTCCTTTACTGTGTTAACCTCTACCACTTCAGCTGGAAGGCTATTCCATGCATCCACTACCCTCTCAGTAAAGTAATACTTCCTGATATTATTTTTAAACCTTTGTCCCTCTAATTTAAGACTATGTCCTCTTGTTGTGGTAGTTTTTCTTCTTTTAAATATAGTCTCCTCCTTTACTGTGTTGATTCCCTTTATATATTTAAATGTTTCTATCATATCCTCCCTGTCTCGTCTTTCCTCCAAGCTATACATGTTAAGATCCTTTAACCTTTCCTGGTAAGTTTTATCCCGCAATCCATGAACCAGTTTAGTAGCCCTTCTCTGAACCCTCTCTAAGGTATCAATATCCTTCTGAAGATACGGTCTCCAGTACTGTGTACAATACTCCAAGTGAGGTCTCACCAGTGTTCTGTACAATGGCATGAGCACTTCCCTCTTTCTACTGCTAATACCTCTCCCTATACAACCAAGCATTCTGCTAGCATTTTCTGCTGCTCTATTACATTGTCTGCCTACCTTTAAGTCATCAGAAATAATCACCCCTAAATCCCTTTCCTCATATGTTGAGGTTAGGACTCTATCAAATATTCTGTACTCTGCCCTTGGGTTTTTACGTCCAAGATGCATTATCTTGCACTTATCCACATTAAATGTCAGTTGCCACAATTCTGACCATTTTTCTAGTTTACCTAAATCATTTGTCATTTGGCTTATCCCTCCTGGAACATCAACCCTGTTACATATCTTAGTATCATCAGCAAAAAGACATACCTTACCATCAAGACCTTCTGCAATATCACTAATAAAAATATTAAGAGAATGGGTCCAAGTACAGATCCCTGAGGTACCCCACTGGTGACAAGTCCAAGCTTCGAATATATTCCATTAACTACAACCCTCTGTTGCCTGTCACTCAGCCACTGCCTTACCCATTCAACAATATTTGAATCCAAACTTAAAGATTGCAGTTTATTGATAAGCCTTCTATGTGCAACAGTGTCAAAAGCCTTACTGAAATCTAGGTAAGCAATGTCTACTGCACCACCCTGATCTATAATTTTAGTTACCCAATCAAAAAAATCAATAAGATTAGTTTGGCATGATCTCCCTGAAGTAAACCCATGTTGTCTCTGATCTTGAAATCCATGTGTTTTTAGATGTTCAACAATCCTATCCTTTAACATGGTTTCCATCACTTTCCCCACTACTGAAGTAAGGCTTACTGGCCTATAGTTGCCCGACTCCTCCCTATTACCTTTCTTGTAAATGGGCACAACATTCGCTAACTTCCAATCTTCTGGGACTACTCCTGTTAACAATGATTGGTTAAATAAATCTGTTAATGGTTTTGCTAGTACACCACTAAGCTCTTTTAATAGCTTTGGGTGTATTCCATCAGGTCCCATTGACTTATTTGTCTTTACTTTTGACAGTTGAAATAGAACCTCTTCCTCTGTAAACTCACGTGTAATAAATGACTCATTTATCCTTTTTCTTAACTGAGGTCCCTTTCCTTCATTTTCATCTGTAAATACAGAACAAAAATATTCATTGAGGCAGTCAGCTAGACCTTTATCCTCTTCTACATACCTTCCTTCTTTTGTTTTAATCTAACTAATCCTTGTTTTACTTTTCTTTTCTCATTTATGTATCTAAAAAATGTTTTGTCCCCCTTTTTTACTGACTGTGCTATTTTCTCTTCTGTGTGTGATTTGGAAGCTCTTATAACTTGCTTAGCCTCTTTCTGCCTAATCTTATAGATCATTTTGTCTCCCTCACTCTGGTTTTTTTTATAATTCCTAAATGCTAACTTTTTGTTTTTAATTATTTTGGCCACATCTGCGGAGTACCACAGTGGTTTCTTGAATTTTTTGCTTTTACTGACAAGCCTAATGCAATTTTCTGTTGCCTTCAATAGTGCAACTTTTAAATAATCCCATTTTCTTGGACTCCATTTAAATTGCTCCAGTCTGATAATGACTCCTTTACACATATTATAATTTTAGAAAAGTCTGTTTTTCTAAAGTCTAAAAGTTTTGTTTTTGTGTGGTGTGACTCAGTCACTGTTCTTATATTAAACCACACTGACTGATGATCACTGGATCCTAAACTTTCACCTACAGTAACATCTGATACCAAATCTCCATTTGTTAACACTAAATCTAGTATGGCCTCTTTACGAGTTGGCTCCTCAACAATTGTTTTAGAGACAATCCCAGTAGCGAGTTTAGAATATGTGTGCTCCTGGCACAAGTAGCTAATTTTGTTTTCCAATTTACATCAGGAAGATTAAAGTCACCCATGATGATAACTTCCCCCTTCATTGTCATTTTAGCTATTTCCTCAACTAGTAGATTATCTAACTCTTTAATTTGTCCTGGGGGCCTATAAATCACACCTACACAAGTTACTGTGTGATTACCAAATTCTAACGTAGCCCAAACAGACTCTATGTTTGCCTCACTAACTTTTATTAGGCTAGATTTTATGCTATCCTTCACATACAAGGCCACCCCTCCCCTTTCTTGCCTTCCCTATCTTTCCTATATAAAGAGTACCCTGGTATTGCTATGTCCCAGTCATTTTTCTCATTGTACCATGTCTCAGTAACAGCGACTAAATCTACACTATCAGTTGCCATAATTGCCACAAGTTCATGGATCTTATTCCCTAAACTGCGAGCATTTGTAGAGATGACTCTAAGCTTATCATTTTTAACACACTTGCTACAGGCACCTTCTGTCCTTGTTTTGGGGGGCAATTGGATTGATGTTTTATCACCCTTTTGCCCCCCCTCCTAGTTTAAATACATCCTAGCAAAACCTCTGAACTGCTCACTGAGAACATTTGTTCCCTTTTGAAAAAGATGCAAACCATCTTTTTTGTACAGCTTATCTCCATTCCAAACAGAGCTACCATGAGAAATAAAGCCAAATCCTTGCTCCCGAAACCATTCACCAAGCCACAAATTAAAGTCCCTAATACGCATCCGCCTGTCGTTCTGAGTGTTATGCATAGGCAGAACACTAAAAACTTCCTTAACCTCTGAAACCTCATTGCAAGCCAAGTCATTTGTCCCTAGATGGACAAGTACATCCAATTCCCCTTCCTGCTTTGTTTGCTTAACAATATTACAGATACGTCTCCTGTCTCTGTGAGCAGTAGCTCCGGGAAGACACCTCACAAGACCACCATTGTCCATCTCCACACCTCTTACAATGGAATCACCCAACAACAACTGCTTTCTATTAGGCCTCACCATAGTCTCCAAGCCGGTCTCCACAACACCACTAGTCTCAGTGCCTCTCTCCACAACACCACTAGCCTCAGTGCCTCTCTCCACAACACCACTAGCCTCAGTGCCTCTCTCTACAACACCACTAGCCTCAGTGCCTCTCTCTACAACACCACTAGCCTCAGTGCCTCTCTCTACAACACCACTAGTCTTATTGCCTCTCTCCACAACACCACTAGCCTCAGTGCCTCTCTCCACAACACCACTAGCCTCAGTGCCTCTCTCCACAACACCACTAGCCTCAGTGCCTCTCTCCACAACACCATTACACTCTGAAAGTGCAGAAAATGAATTATGAAGAGCAACAGACTGTGCAAAATACCTTTTATCCACAACTCTAAGTCTACCACATCCTACAGTAATCCATCTGCCTTTCCTAGCATGTCTCTGCGGCAGTGGCTTTGCAGCAGTTCCAGTCTGAGTTTCTTCACCAGATAATTTACAAATCTCAGACTTCAAAAATACAATCTCCTGCCGCAAGATAGAGAACTGTCTACAGATTAGACAACAACCAAACCTCCAAAAAGTAGAACGTGAAACAAATGCATAGCAATTGTTACACTGAACTAAATCTGCCATTCCAATTAAGAGAATAATTTAAATCTAACAAATCTTAACTTTTTTCTTTATCCTCCTGAATACCTCAGATTACCTCCAGGTTATCTCCAGAATATCTCCAACTACACACTTAGAAACAGCACTTAGAAGTAGCACCAAGCTATATTAGACAAGCTAATGGAACCAGGCAAACTGTCTACAGATTAGACAACAACCAAACCTCCAAAAAGTGGAACGTGAAACAAATGCTCAAATACATAGTACTTTAATAATTAGTGTCACAGATTCTCCAGAGGAAGATGAAGAGAGAGAAACAAACAGCAAAGAAGAAGGAGGTTAGATGTTGTTTGAGTGCTTTTACTGTTGGTCTATGTACACACCCCATGGAACGCCCACGGATGCTGAATCAGGGGTTGGCTCAAATATATTTAATTTTTAACATTAAAATGTTTCTTTAAAATGTTGCATTGTCGATGAAGGACTGTTGTTCCTCGGCTGATTAAGCTGCAATGATGACAATCATCTGCCCAGTGCCTATATTTCTTTCCCACTCATCCATCTCAATCTGATGGAACTAGTGAGCGTCTTCTTTGGGACTCTGTGCGGAAAATATACTGTATACACTTTATTATCTGATTGCTGTTCAGTTGCTCTAATCTGTACATGTTACAAGTAAATTAAGCTTTTTCTTTTTTGGGTTTTTGTTAGCTGTGTTATAGCTTTTCCCTGTTAATTTTAATACTTTGTATTTATTACATGGTTTTTATTATAACAAGACTTCAATGGCCATTTGGTATTTCCATTAGTCACATTCTTGTACTGGTGTTTTTTTATTACACAATGATATACTTACTAAACTCAGTTGAGATATGAAATATGCAACTCCATGGTGAATTCCAGATAATTCACGGTTTAGTTAATAGTCATGGTAGTGTTACAATCACAAAACATTTGGTTTGCCTGAAGTATTTTTTTACTTTTACGTACATGTATGTTTTATAGGTATTTATTTACTCCCATGGGTTATCTTTCATTCATCTTTCATTCATTTTCTTTAAAACTAGCTCCTACGTACTACTACAATGATGGCATTGGTGTATAGTGATACATGTATAGATTTAAATGTACAATACAAAGTAAAAAAACACAACTATTGTTCTTCCATGTGAGGATATACTCGTGCATTTATAAATGCATATCAAATCAAATCAAACTAAGAAACATGGGCCTCATTTTCCAGTTCACTTCTGTACATCAGATGTGGTTTGCCTTTCTTCATATTGACCTTAGCTAGCTTTCTAGAAGGACATTGGAAGGTCTAGAGCAGGGGTATTAAAATGCTAGAACTCCAGTTGAGTGCTGACTCTAACTCTTACACATCTTTGCCCGAGAAAAATAACTATAATGCTGTTATAGAGCAAACATGACATTTGAGACTGTGTTTATTCCAATATGGTCACTGGTCTTTTGTCTAAGCATCATGGGAAATGTCGTCCACAGCAAATGAGCCCTCAGTGGTAGAGATACATTGTTCCATGCTCTGGTATTTAGCTCACATGGAGCACAAGAAATTCTTCCACTGTGGAAACATGAATGAACTGTCAGATATGCCCAGACAGAGTTAAAGGTGAACTGTAATGACTAAGTACGAGGAAGGATGTATATGTATTTATGTACTTATTTATTTATTTTCCAAATATACATTTTATATGTATTAATTTTAAAACACAAAAGCATTTTACAAATGTATCAGTACGGAACAAGTAATAAACAGACTTTTATTCCCATCCATACAAGTACTAAGATAAAAATATTAAAAATAAAAATATTTATTTATTTATAAAATATTTTGCCAGGAAGGATACATTGAGATTTCACTAGTTTTCCAAGTATGTCCTGGGTCCACAAAACATTGCATGGATACAATAGGGTACAATAAAATACAAAAACAATATTAATACACAATATATACAAAATTTACTATAGAACAGGTAGGAAATATATAATCAACCATGACACGTGCATTCTGGTATGTAGAGAGGGATCTCTTAAAGGACTTTAGGCTTGGGGAAGATTTGAAAGTGTGCGGTAGATCGTTCCATAATTGCGGTGCTCTGTAGGAAAAGGAGGATCGGGCTGCTTTCTAGACATGTGCAATTCGTTCCGGGCCGAATATGAATTCTGACGAATTTCTGGAAATTCTGACATTCGGGTACTTTTGGAAAGTTAGAGAGTCACATATAAGGCTTGCATTTCATTTTTTTGACATTGAAATTTGCCAGATAGGTTATGTTGCCTTTGAGAGCGTATGGTAGCCCAGGAATGAGAATTAACCCCATGATGGCATACCATTTGCAAAAGTAGACAACCAAAGGTATTGCAAGTGGGGTATGTCCAGTCTTTATTAGTAGCCACTTAGTCACAAACACTGGCCAAATATTAGGTTTTTGCTTTTTTCACACAAAAACAAATATGAACGCTACCTTTGGCCAGTGTTTGTGACTAAGTGGCTACTAAAAAAGACTAAACATACCCCACTCTCAATACCTTGGGTTGTCTACTTTTTCAAATGGTATGCCATTATGGGGGTAATTCTCATTCCTGGGCTACCACACCGTCTCAAAGGTAACATTACTAATCTGGCAAATTTCAATGTGAAAATGGAACGTTTTATATTTGACCCTGTAACTTTCCAAAACACCATAAAACCTGTTAATGGGCGGTACTGTTGTACTCGTGAGACATCGCTGATTACAAATATGTGCATTTTTTTGCAGTAAAGCCTAACAGTATTATGACATTCACAGCTAAAATGTCAGACGGAACTACAAATTTAAAATTTTCTTACATTTTATTAAATTTTATTCATAATACATTATGTTCCATATATGAATAGTTAATGATAAATTAAAGCCCTGTTTCCCCTGAACAAAATGATATATAATAAGTGTGTGCATTTAATATGAAAGAGGTGAATTACGGTTGAACAGACATATAGCGCAAATTCCAGTTTTTGTTTACATTTTGTTTTGATCAGAACGTGTACTATTGACTCCCTCCTGAAGGGGTTAATGGGATTCATTATATTGTCATGTGCACATGTATATATTTAAAACTTCCCTTTTGAATTAGCATGTTTTAAATGCTGACTGTCATTAAAGCATCACTATGACCACGCAATTACTGACAAAAATTTTATGAACTAATGCAATCTGAAATAAAATGCATCTGGATATCTTCACAGATACCTGCATGGCTCAGTGTACAGTGCTGCATGGGATAGGTAGTGACACCGCAGGTTATTTTAGAGTCCTGGAATGTACATTTATATACAGATGTACAGAGATTACACAGGGATTATGTTTACATTCTGCATGGAAATGCCAATAGTATTCTTATAAATCCCATAGACAGGGTTGTTTAACCATTGTATTTATAGTTTAGTGACACAGCTACACTACATTACAAGATGAATACTGGTCCCTTCACGAGGGTTTATGTGTACGTCTACGCTCAAGATTCTATGGACAATGTTACATCCATCACTGCATACAGTGATACATTGTTTATTGTTTTTGAAGGGTTGGAGACTGAAGGAGAGTCTTATAGGGTGAGTAAGTGAGTTTTATAGAATCAGTACAGCAAGGGCTGGCCTGTCAATAGGATGGATTGGGGCCATGGCCCCATGCAGCAATTTAACAGGAGTGGCATTTTGCCACCCTGGCCATTTGGGGCCCAGGCCACCTCTGCTGCATATATATGACCAGTGACAGAGGAACCGACACCAGGAGGGTACCCGGCGGCTTGCCCTGTGTGCCGCCGGCTGTGAGGCCCCTCCATCAGTCTGCCCTGGAGTAAAGAGAGCCTCCGGTCTGCAGCTCCCCCAGATGTGAGCTGAAGAACATATGATGGTGGTCCCACAAGCACCCAGAGCAGCAACGCTCTGACTGGAACTCGTAAGAAGCCGATCAAGTGGTCTGAGGCTCACACCTGGTGTAAAATGCAACATTGGTGTCAACATGGACAATTAATTGCCACACAAGAAGACAGGTACCGCCGAAACAATCTCAAGCTCAGGGAAGTCACTGACTCCATACCAGAGGCGGAATTACCACACTTCGTCAGGCGTTTCCTCACAGAACTACTGACCCCAAAGGTGGCAAAAGCGATTACCCTGGAGGACTTATTCCGCATTCCATGACCAGCAAACACTCAGCCTGCCACCACAGGGGACTTAATATTGAAGTTCCAGTCAGCCAGAGACAAGAAGATGGTCATGGAGGCCACCAAAGGTCAGTCATTTTACCCCTTTGAGGGGATGACCCTCTCTCTCTATGCAGACTTGTTGGCCAGGACACTGGCGTGAAGGAGATCCCTGAGCTCATTTACAGCCCTCCTGCGCCTCCAGCAAATCCACTACCATTGGGGCACGAGCCGCACTCTCACCATCGACAAAGGTGATGCCAAGCACACTGTTCATAACCCCCAGGAGGCCGCAGAGATAATGGGGCTACTGAACCTGCCCTCAGACCCAACGGCTCAAGCGACGCACCCGGCAGGACACACACGCCCGCTAGGAAGACACACCGTAGGTGCCCCGGAGTTCGTGCCCAGGAGGTCGCCTGCAGACTCATATGCAAAAACCACCAAATGAACTTGAACCCAGCAGAGAGCCCTCCTAGGCCCTCTAGGAGACAGAACCTCACCACAGCACAAACTTTATTATTGAACCTGGCCCAACAACCCCATACTAGGAACTGTTCCAGGCTAAGAGAGAACAGTCTGCAATATAGATGGTCTGAGAAAGCAGTTAATTACAGACGGACTTCTGCCGGTTACAAGTATTCGGGGAATGGGGTGGTGGGGGATATCAGGTTTATAATGTTCTTTCGAGAAGGTCTGATAAGAGGAGGTTATCTTGACCTACATGTCTCCTCCTCTGTGAGTACACTAGCACGGTTCCACCGTTATAAATAACGACCCCCACGCACGGTGGAGCTATATTCAGGTGCCCACAATTTACTCTGGGTAGATACTTAACCTGGCTTTGTTATTAGTTATCTGTTATTCTTGTTCATAACACCAAGCACTGCTCCTCTCCTATCGAGAAAAGTGTTAAAATGCGCTATACAACCGTAACACCACACAGGGGACTCACGGCCCCTTATTGTCATACAAGCGACTCCACACTAACCGTTTACTTTAAGTTATCCCGGTCAACCTTTAATCTCCCACCCACAGAGACAGTTAGAAAGAGGGACAGACACCGACTAATGGGGGGCCTCGGTGGGTTTACTCTATTGGCAGCTACCGGCCCTGCACCTGAGGGCCCGATGCACCCGAACAACCTGTTACTCAGTCCTAAGGCCCTGCACCCCACTGAAACCCCAGACAGACTCAAGTTTATGGTGTCTCACTACAGTTGCTACAGAGCTCAAGCAGGAAGTAACTCAAGCAATCAAGATGCTTTCTTAACCTCCAATCACAGTGCCAAACGTACCATATAGTTTACGTACTGTACTTTTTTAACTGCAAAGATTTGTGGGAATTGTAGTTTTATCCACTTTCATGTATAGCAATATTTTTGAAGCAAAAAGGGTTGCATTGCGGGTTTTGAGTGAAGGGCATCATGGATAGTGCTATACAGCAAAACATTTTTTTAAATACAAAAAAAAAATCAAACCCAAAACAAGAGAGTGAAGCCTGACTCTCATGCCGAAAAGTCCCTGCTCATCTCTATATTTTGACTGTTTATTGCTTATGTTCACAATTTCTATGACTTCAGCAGATAATTATCTGAAACTAGCCTCAACTGAGCTCTACTTTGGCTATTTTTATAGACAGGATCTGTGAGTTCCAGACTTTTGATTGTGAGGCTTGGTGGTCTCAATAAAAGGGAGAGGCAGCCAATCTCCTGGTCTGTGGTTTACTCCCCCCAACTTTGGACCTGCAGGTGTTATCTTGGTCCACCCTGAGTAGGCTTCGATGCGGCATCTAAGACTTTCTGACTTGGTGGGTGAGACAGCTATACAATCCTTCATGGCAGTTACCATGTGCTCCTCGGATTCCCGAGGCATGTGTTTCCATACTCTGGCCAAGCTGGACAATATATTTGAGGATTTTTGGCTGAAGATATCCCATCATCATCCATTGACCTTGGAGCTTGGTGCAGTGTGTTCCATGTCCATTACCTAGCCTTGCAACTGGCTCTCAATATGAAGAGGAGACCACTGCAGCCAGCTCTCTACTATTCTCATTATGCTTCCCTTCAAGTTGGGAACTCCACAAATCCAGCACATCTTAACTAAGAGAGTGTCAGTCCTCAACTTCATGCCCATTAACATCTCAGATGAACATGGTTTATGGCCTCCTGTAGGTATCACTACAGTAATTGGGCCTACCGCAACATCTTGTTTTGTTGGACTACCTGTATACCTCTGAGCCTAATCTGTGTGACTGTGTTCTGCCCTCTGAAGTTGTCAGTTGCCATTGGTTTTAAGTTATGGACTATCTCTGCATGTTTCAAGCGTGTTAAAATGAGGAATGGGATGTCCTTTGCCTATATCTGTTATTCTATGTTTGAGCTATGCCTATGTTACCATGGGCACCTACTTTCCGTATACTTACATCAGCATTGTTCAGCATAGTTACTCAACTGTTTTCATCTCTGAAAAAATGTCTCACATCCCAAATCTTCCTTATCTCTATATATTGTGCTTGCTGTGTGAACGTTTCCTTGACATTTGTTTTCTTTCATTGTGATGTGAGAATATAAAAATAAAATATAGCAGAAAGACACCCAAAATAACTAACTGTAATGTGATCCACACATTGCACCAAACATGTGGGTGTCCGGAGAGCCCCTTTAAGTACCTAAAATATGTTCATCAAAATAACTTTTTAAACAATATAACATTCTAAACAATATATTAAAACTATCAGGAGATCATGTTATCTAAATCTTCTTTGTGATGACTCACTCATTCCTTCCATAACGAAAGTGGGTCTCATATACCATTTAAAAACTGGGAAAGTGTGAAATTGTAAAATGATAGTTCCTGTGCATCCTTTTTATGCATGATGTCTTGCAAGCATTTCCAGCAGTTGGCAGCAGTTACATACTGTGACAAAGTCTACTGCTTACAAGTAAGCCTGTACATCCGTACAGGATTTCCACAGTGTACTGATACAGTATTAGTAATCTGCGTATGTGATATTTCCATATACATGCTCTTTCAGTTGTTTATTTTAAAACCAGCTGGCCACTTGTCCATCCTGTCCCCGTTATCCAGATACCCCACTGTGCATGCGCTACCTTATTTAATATTTTAAAATGAAACATAAGGTTTACCCAGAGTTATAAATTTCCAGAGGTACATGTCCACCTTTCGTGAGATCTATCTGTGATACGAATATTTCCTGCTTAGACTTGTAGTGTAATGGGGCACACAATCTTTTCGCCATACATACGCACCGTTGTATATACACGGTAAGAAGATCTCAGTGAATCCTAGCTCAGCCTTTTCCCATCTAGCATACACATCATTCTGTGCCTGACATACATCAAGCTAAGCATTTCACTGAAACGTTAATAACTCTGCAATGGAATATGATTCTTAAAATAAATACATGGATAACAAAATAAATACACAAATAAAATAACTGAATTGTGCCCAACCAATGTAGAATTTTTTCAACATGCCCCTTAAATGTAACCATCGGCTTTAAACAAACACTTCTACCTTTTTTCCAAATCTCCGTTATTCTCTTTGAGATTGTAAGCCTCGTGACCAACTCATGGAAAATGTTGTTTTTAATAAGGTGTTATTGTGATGAAATAGCAAATAAGAGCACAATGAGCACATGAATCAGAGAGTGGTAAATCTTTAAAAGGTCTAGCAATATACCACTAAACCAACAGGCATTCGAGTGAGCTACATATTCAAATATAAAATGTGCAGTGTGAGGACATGTTCCCTGACACAAGAATCTAGTGCTGAAAGCATAAGATATGTAGTGTTAGCATATTTTCCCTGGTTCAAAGATTAGTGCTGGAGATGATACCATTAATTACATACAGAGTGCTACGAAAACAAAAACAGAACACGGGAACAATTTGTGCATCCATCCTGAAACCAAATGCAGAATTGGAAACAGTAAATTAAAAAGTGTAGCATACTGGGAAATAGTACGAATATTGGAAGTACATATGTTCCAACTGCATGCATGTTAGCACAGTTTGTGAGCCAAAGAACTACAGAAAATCTATGATACTAATATATATAGATGAGTTTGCCCCTTTATTTTCTCCTGATACAGACTTAGGGATTTGGATAGGCTGCCACGAAGCAGCAGTTAGTTTTGCTTTTTCTCTTAGGATAGTTAGTTTTTTTTAGGGTGACTCAAGGGGGGAGGGGGTTCTATCTTTCCTCTCTTTATGGGGTATTAGTTCCTTTTCTCTTTAGTATAAGCTACTCGATATTAGTTTGGGCGCGCCCCATTAGTTGCTATTAACCCTGCCCTTTCCAGATTCTCTCAGACACTGCTCTAAGACTATCCTTTTTCTATCCAATTACCCAGCTGGGTCCTTTCCTAGAATGGATTTAGACTAACCTGCTTTGTTACCCATTTATTATTTTAGGTGTTTTTTTTTACACCTTTATTAAGTCAAACATACCTTGCAGGATTAGCCTCTCCCAGGCTTTTATAAGTTTGGTGGTTAACTTCTAATCAATACACTATTTTAGTGTATGGTAATAGCATTTGGACTATATACCATTTTAGCATTTTTTTCTAATAAAGGTTGTTTATCCTCTTCTATGTGACTATTTACATTATGAGGTACTTTGAATGAGGCTAGGCATTCCACCCACTTTTTTGTGAGTGGACTGTCTGCCCCATTTTTCGTCTCTTTTTTTCCTAATATATATATATACTAATAGTCACAAGATAAATAAAAAAGTTAAATAGATAGCCTATGCGATATATCGTAGAGTCGTGTCACAACACCCTCCTGAGGCAAGGTGTGCTAGACCTAGGGGGAGGAGGGGTTACAAAACTCACCATGACTGCAGGTTGACAATCGAAACTGCAGTTAAAAGAGACTATGCATTATATTGACCCTAAATACAGCGGAAAGAGATAAGTAACCAACTGGGAGACGCCACAGTTCGACAGGAGGGCCTGCAGCAACAAGGTGAACTGTTCTGTTTGCTATTCTGAACTAAAATATGTTTATTTTATAACAGTGTATGTCCGATTACACATTAAAGAGACACTACTTGCTGAAGGACTTTATAGGTGAAGAATATGATTTCTATTTTCATTTTACAAAAAATACAGATTTCAATGGAAATTCGCACATTTATGAATTAAACTTGTTACACCCCACCCCCTGGCTTTCAGACAACCAGTCCTGTTACTTTCTGGTTGTTTAGCTCAGTGGAGCTAAAATCAAGAGGCAGACAATTACCAAGAGTACCTGCTTTGCAAAGACTTCCCTATGAGCTACAATGGAAAGTCTGTGATTGGACAGATACAGAAGTCTGGGCGGGTTTAGTAGGGGAGGGCTTGCAAAGGCCACAGTCAAGTGATGTATGTGTGTTTTTATTAAGGACGTATTTACAAAAAGAAATTGCGCTCCCCAGGGCCAGATTAAGAGCCCAGTGGGCCTGGTGCTGACAATTATGACGGGCCTAATTACAGAATCATATCGACCAAAAACAGTAAAATACTCCCAAGCATCATGTATCTGATGGATATGGTGCTGGAGAGAAAGAAAACAGCAGCTATAAGAAAACACATACCCTATGCTAATCTCTCACTAATTTATGTTTTCATCTTTCAAGTAAATCCATAACCCGTAACAGCAGTGTCCAGTCAAGCAGGAAGTCAATGGGCATGGTAAAAGGGTGTGCCCCTGACACAAATCACGTAACCTGCCAAAAGGGGCGAACATTCCCAAAAAGAGGACATGTCTGCTCAAAGAATTAGAAGGCCAGCCTGGCATGAATGCATGTCAGGCTGCCTGCCAATCATGCAGCTGGCCAACTAAGGGCATACTATGCAGACAGCACCCTGAGCCTGGCATAAATGCATCTACTGATGCGCTCACTCAATGCTTACTAAGGACTGTCCCCTAGCACTCGCTGGCCACTTGTCTCCTTACCTTCTTACTAGCAGGCAGAAGCTCCTGGTACATGGTCTGGGACAGAGAAAAGCTGTATGTAGTGAGTGTAGAAGAAAGGGAACATGCCACAGTGTTAGAGAAACCAAAGTCAGCATTACCTTAAAGGATCACTATAGGGTCAGGAACACAAACATGAATTCATGACCCTATAGTGTTAACACCACCATCTAGCCCCCCTGGGCCCCTCATGCCTCCATAAATATAGCAAAATCTTACTATATTCAAGCCTGAAGCTGTAACTCTGCATGCTGTTAGACTCATAAAAACAAGCAGTCTGCTGACATCATTAGAAGTGGTGGCCTGATCCAATCACAGTGCTTCCCCATAGGATTGGCTGAGACTGACAAAGAGGCAGATCAGGGTCAGAGCCAGCATGATTCAAACACAGCCCTGGCCAATCAGCATCTCCTTGTATAGATGAATTTAATTAATGAATCTCTATGAGGAAAGTTCAGTGTCTGCATGCAGAGGGAGGAGACACTGAATGTTTGGATGCATTTTAGGCAGCCGTGACCCAGGAAGGATCTCTAACAGTCATCTAAGGAGTGGCCAGTGAAGTTATCACTAGGATGTAATGTAAACACAGCATTTTCTCTGAAAAGACCGTTCTTACAGCAAAAAGCCTGATGGTAATGATTCTACTCACCAGAACAAATTCAATAAGCTGTAGTTGTTCTGGTGACTATAGTGTCCCTTTAACTATATTCATTGTCAGCCAGTCCACACACGTTTTGTTCCTATACATCCCTCTTAAGTTTCCATAGTTAAGTAAGAGTATGTGAAAAGTAGTTAGGGTTGCCACCTTTCTTGGAAAAACATACCGGCCTTACTAATTTGCATAATTACATATGTGTGGGTGACATCACATGATGTAAATCACAAGGAGTGACATAAGAGAAAATGCTGTAAAATCACCAAAAAACTACTTAGTTTAAATCTGCTGTATAGATGGATTCCTCCCAGTGCCCTCATGACTCAGTGCCCCATGTGTCGATTACTCCAGGTCTCAGTGTTCCTATGTATCAGTGTCTCAGTGCCCAATGTCTCCCAGTGTCCCCTAGTGTCGTGTCCCCAGGTCTCCCAGTGATCCTATGGATCAGTGTCTCAATGCCCCATATCTCCCTGTGTCCCCATGTATCCCAGGGTCCCCATGTCACTAGGACACTAGGAAGACGGGGAGACCTGGGAACACGGGGAGACCTAGGGACACGGAGACACCAGTGACACTGGGAGACTAGGGGACTATGGCTGTGGCACATGGGGACAATGGGAAAATATAAACAAAGCTCCAGGGCCTGACGGTATCCATCCACGTGTACTTAAGGAACTAAGTGCAGAAATAAGTGAACCTCTGTTTTTAATCTTTCAAGATTCTTTTCTTTCAGGAAGTGTTCCAGAGGATTGGAGGAAGGCAGATGTGGTTCCTATATTCAAAAAGGGTTCAAAATCCTTGCCTGGAAATTATAGACCTGTGAGCTTAACTTCTGTGGCTGGTAAAATATTTGAAAGGTTATTAAGGGATAATATTCAAGAATTCCTTGAGAAGAACATGGTTATCAGCAAAAATCAGCATGGTTTTATGAAGCACAGGTCATGTCAAACTAACTTGATTGCGTTCTACGAAGAAGTAAGTAGAAGTATAGATCAGGGTGTTGCCGTGGATGTGATCTATTTGGATTTTGCCAAGGCATTTGATACAGTTCCACACAATAGATTAGTGTTCAAACTCAAGGAAATCGGTCTAGATGAAAATGCTTGTTCTTGGGTAGAACATTGGCTTAAAAACAGAGTACAAAGAGTTGTCATTAATGGTAAATTTTCAAGCTGGACAGAGGTGGCAAGTGGTGTCCCTCAGGGGTCTGTTCTGGGACCCCTTCTATTTAACATGTTTATAAATGATCTTGAAGACCGCATTGAAAGTCATGTTTCAGTGTTTGCAGATGACACCAAACTTTGTAAAACAATACAATGTGAGCAAGATATTACTTTGCTGCAGAGGGACTTGGATAGACTGGGGGACTGGGCACTCAAATGGCAGATGAAATTTAATGTTGAAAAATGCAAAGTTATGCACTTCGGCGTAAAGAATACACAAGCAACGTATACCCTTAATGGAAGCGAATTAGGGATAACAACACATGAAAAGGACTTGGGAATTGTTATAGACAACAAACTATGCAACAATGTGCAATGTCAATCAGCAGTGGCCAAGGCCAGTAAGGTATTGTCATGCATGAAAAAGGGCATTCATTCTCGGGACAAGAATATAATTTTGCCTCTTTATAAATCACTGGTAAGACCCCATATTGAATATGCTGTGCAATTTTGGGCACCTGTTCTAAAGAAGGATATTATGGCACTAGAAAAAGTGCAGAGGCGGGCTACAAAATTAATAAAAGGAATGGAACATATCGGCTATGAAGAAAGGTTAACAAATTTAAACCTATTTAGTTTAGAAAAACGTCGCCTGAGAGGGGATATGATAACATTATACAAATATATTCGTGGCCAATACAAACCATTGTGTGGAAATCTATTCACAAACCGGACTTTACATAGGACACGAGGCCATGAGTTTAGACTGGAAGAAAGAAGATTTCGTCTAAGGCAAAGGAAAGGTTTTTTTACTGTAAGAACAATCAGAATGTGGAATTCTCTGCCTGAGGAAGTGGTTTTATCAGAGTCCATACAGATGTTCAAACGGCTACTAGATGCATACTTGCAAGAACAGAATATTCAAGGATATAATCTTTCAATGTAGGGTAATAACTGCTTGATCCAAGGATAAATCTGACTGCCATTCTGGGGTCAAGAAGGAATTTTTTTCCTAGTTTGTTGCAAAATTGTGCTTCAAACTGGGTTTTTTTGCCTTCTTTTGGATCAACAGCAAAAAACAAATGTGAGGTAGGCTGAACTTGATGGACGCAAGTCTCTTTTCAGCTATAAAAACAGATGAGTGAGCGCTAAATAACACAAGTGGGCAGCAACCCTAAAAAGGGAATCCCTCAAAAACCCTTTAGGATAAGACACAAAAAATACAGAAAAAGGGCTGCGCTTAAGAAATAGATGAATAAAAGTCCAGATAAAATAAATAAGTGAATAAATAAATAAAATAAAACAGAAGAGGTCTTATCTTGCAATGTTCGTAATACTTAGTCAGAGGTGATAATCTTGCTTTCTTGCTTTCTGTCTTGCTTTCTGTCTTTCTTGTGGATTGTCTCTTATGTAAGATATAAAAACAAATACAAAACCACAATGGTGCAGTATATCTATATGTGTAAAGAATAAAATATAAAGGCTTGATTGCGAACTCACATATCCAAGAGCTAGGACCTGCTCTGGTATAGAAGGCGTACAGCGGTTTAAATCCCCGCTTATGGGATATAGGATGGTTATCCTCCACGTGTTTCCTCCTTCCGTGGTGTGAAAGATGCTCAAATAAAAAGAGACAGCCAATAGTGTTCTCTGCGTAAAATTAAAATCCAATATAAAACAAAATAAAAAATGGATACTCACAAGACAGGAGCAGATCAACTGCTCCTGGTATTTCGCACTGGTGGAACTGGTGGGGATTATTCCACCAGTGCGAAATACCAGGAGCAGTTGACCTGCTCCTGTCTTGTGAGTATCCATTTTTTATTTTATTTTATATTGGATTTTAAATTTTACGCAGAGAACACTATTGGCTGTCTCTTTTTATTTGAGCATCTTTTACACCACGGAAGGAGGAAATACGTGGAGGAAAACCATCCTATATCCCATAAGCGGGGATTTAAACGCTGTCGCCTTCTATACCAAGGCAGGTCTAGCTCTTGGATTATGTGAGTTAAACCTTTATATTTTTATTCTTTACATATGAGTATACTGCACCATTGTGGTTTGTATTTGTTTTTTATATCTTACATAAGAGACAATCCACCACAAGAAAGACAGAAAGCAAGACAGAAAGCAAGAAAGCAAGATTATCACCTCTGACTAAGTATTACGAACATTGCAAGATAAGACCTCTTCTGTTTTATTTTATTTATTTATTCACTTATTTATTTTATCTGGACTTTTATTCATCTATTACTTAAGCGCAGCCCTTTTTCTGTATTTTTTGTGTCTTTTCAGCTATGTAACTATGTAACTATGTAACTTGAAGACATGGGGACACAGACACCAGGGACAAAGATACTAGAGAAACTGGCTGGGGGATATGGGGACATTGAGACATGGGGGCACTGGGAGACATGGGGACACTGAGACACCAGGGCCACAGACACTAGGGACACTAGCTTGGGGACATTGTGACACTTGAGGCACTGAGAGACATGGAGGCACTAGGAGACATGGGGACAGTGAGACACTGGGAGACTAGGGGGCACTGAGACAGCAGGGACACTGGCTGGGAGACATGGGGACACTGTGTCCCCATGTGTCTGTGCCATAATGTCTCCCAATGTCCCTTAGTGTCTCAGTGTATGTCTCCTTGCAGCCTTTCCCCCATCCCTTACTTCCCTGAGCTGTAGGCTGTCTCTGCAGGGTGGGAGTTGCTGTCTGGACTCTCTGTAGCTGCACCCCTGCAGATCAGTGAGTATAGATAGGTAGGGAGGGATATGCTGCAACTTCCGATGCCTGCCTGTCTCCACATACAATGACCCCTACTGGCCAGTGCTGGTATTGCATAGTAATCTCCATTCATACTGAGAAAAATACCAACATTTATATTGCCAGTATCACTGCAATATTGGCACCAACCCGGCAGCCTCAAATACTGGCTGTGCCAATAAAATAAAAGGCAGGTGGAATCCCTAAGAATAGTGTGTGAAAAAAAAAAAAAAAAAGTTTTTTTTTTCTTTTTTTTTAAATCAATGGGCCTATTCCATGGGCCTGGGCCTGGAGCTGCAGCTCCATCAGCCCCTATGTTAATCCGGCACTGGCGCTCCCCCCATATACCATTCCCCAGCCCCCATTCAACCTGTCCTTCTGGTTGTAAGGCTAATTCAACATATGTAAAGACTATAGTATTTGTCAATAAAGAGCCTTCCATTGTTTAAGTATAAACACTTATTAATGCAATAGAAAAAAATATTGTTTCTTTATTTTATCATAATGTTAAATACCTAATAAAACTATTTGAAAACAAAATTAATTACTGGTGGCAAATTTAAGCATGTTTTGTGCTTGAATGTATGTATTTGTGTGTAGTGTTGGCATTTAAATGCGGTTGTATGTATTGTTATTCTACTTGTGTTTGGTGTTTGTGTTTGAATGTGTTTGTATGTAGAGTTGGCATTTGATGTTGGGATGTATGCACATACACACTGAAACACACACAGATACACGCACTGACATATACACACACTGACACACACAGATACACACTAACTTATACACACACAGATACATATACACACTAACACACACTAATAAACACTGACTCATATACACACACAGATATACACTGACACATACACACACAGATTCACACTTGTACACACAGTGGCACACATATACATACATGACATATACACACGTAGACACACACAGATAACACATATATAAATGTACATACACAGATAACACAAACACACACAGAAATATATACACACACAGATAACACATATACACACACACAGACATATACACACAAAGATCACAATTTATATATTGTTTGCCACCCATGTGCTTCCATTCCTTTTTAGTGTAGGGATGTGGCTTCCCTGGGTTCCAGTGGCATCTGGCTGGGTCTGATGGGAGGCAGATCCAGAATCCAGGCTGTCAGTCATCTCTGGTCATCCCCTGTCTAACTCTCCTGCGTGGATCGTCAGTAAGCTGTGAGAAAATGCATTGTACTCACTGCCTCCCAGCACCGGGAGCCTTATCAAATATGGTTAAAATATGGTTATCGAGTGGTGCATGGGCCCCTTAAGCTTGTGGGAGGTTGTTCCGCCACATTGCCAGTGCCAACCTCCTGGTTTTTGGCACCACCGGCCCCCCAGTAGTTACACCACTGGTTCCCAGCCGAGTCCTCAGGGCCCACTGAAAGCAGAGGTTTTGTGAGTATCACCATTTTTACAGAATTGGAAAAGCCTGTACTGGTGATGTGTCCAGGAAGGATTTGCCAGTGGGAAATTGTCTATCAGCCCCTGTTCACCCTGCATGCAAATTTATGTGAATACCCTTTTCCAATATATTCAGGAAAATTCTGAAAAATTATTCTGTTTTCAGTTTAGTTATTTTGGCCTTAAATTTGAAATTTACTTTGAATTTACTTTGAATTCCCAATAATTCTAACTTTAGTGAATAACCCTGTGAGTTTTGACTTGCAAAATGTCCAGACTCCTCAAGATACAGGCTCTGCACAGAGACGCTGACCGCTCCCCCATAGAGATGCATGTGTTGTAGTTGATGTGACAAAGAACAAGCGAACCACTTGCAGGATGGCTCTCCAGCTCATCCATTTCACTAATTTGCTGATATAGACCTCTATGCCGTGGACATGGTCCTTGATACTCAGAATTTATTGACATGTTCATGTTCATTCCAAACCTGAGGAGGGTGGGTGAGGGTTAAAAAAATAGCGCATGTGATAGGGAAGAGGGAGGTCTGCAGTCAGTGTGGGTGGGAGCGAAGGCAAACTTTGTCCACTAATGAGAAACAGATAACATCTGTCGGCAGTATGCAGTGTGCAGTGCGCATGAATGACAGATGTAAAATATGAACAGAATTAACATTAGGCAACCCAGAACAGAGTTCAAATAACTCAAAAACAGTTCAAAAAAGTGCAAATAACTCTGGATTTACAGAGTTTTAAGCTGAAACACTGCACATGCATACTTCTACCACCATGATCACTTCAAAAAGCAGACGTTTAAGTTGTATAATTTAATAATAAATTGTACGTACAGTGAAAAGGTAGAAACCATGTAAATGCACTCCTGTTCCCTCTCATCTTGCACATCTGAGAATAGTGTGATACCTTTTCACCATTCTACTGTAGCAGACTCTCGTAATCCTTTAGTGCTTTAAGAAATATTATAATGCGCTCGTGCACCTTTTATGTTCACTTTAACTTGTCATAGTCTATTTGTTTGTATATAAATATTTTGATGTTTAATAAATAAAAATAATTATAATGATATTGTATTTATATATTCACTGTTGGCTTGGCTGCTCTATCTTCTTATGCTAAATAAACCTCATAATCCTTGAATTAATAATTCTGATTTACCACATGTAAGTGGAGGTGTAGTTTATAATCAAATCGTGTTTATAATATTAATCAGAGACAACTATGTTGTGTTTGTGTTTTGTTTCAGATGACCATAGGTTCTGTCAGAGAAATAATAAATGTCAGTCAAAAATGTTGATAAAACAATTTTATTTGTTATATATAGAAAAGGTCATACATTACCTTGGCACAGATTTTTTTTGACAAAACGTCTTTCTTTTCTATTTTTTTTTACTTACCAGAAGGGATTTTAAAAAATACACATTGTGTCTTTGCAGCAACATTGACTTTAAAAAAAAAAATTTTTTAAACATGGCTCCTCTTTCTTGTATTTATTATTTGTATTGTCTCTGCTGGGATCTTGTTCCATGTATTCACCACTCTTTTTAGTTTATGCTTTATTGATTCCTCTTTATCTCCACTCTCGGAAAGCAGAAGGTGAGCACCACAGGGCAACTTGAACTAAGATGAAAGTTGAAATAAGATTTCAGCTTGGCCGGTTGCCCCCAGGGCCCTCTTCAACAGCTACTTCTTGAGCCAGATCTGCTTGGCACATAATGTATAACAGGTGTGCAAAGTGCTGCAGAACCATGTCCTAAGGAAAACGAGAGGAAACCCCATCCGCAGGGGGTCTCAGTTATCTGAGTAAGTGAGCACTGAGTCCTCTGGGTCCCCTTTCTGCAGGGTGCTAATGAAAAGCTGGATAGCGCAGCCAGAATGTGCTAGTGCAGGCTCAGTGGGGAGGGGGTTTGAGAGGGGATTGGGAAGTAAAAGCTGGTGTGTGTTTGTCGTCGTTCAGAGAGCTCTCCCTGGCACTGCAGACGTCCCCTGCTATACTGTAAGAGACGACTGACTGTGTCGACAATCTGCCATCAAGTATGGAGATAAGGCAAGACTGTAGCTCCCTACGCATAGACCTGCTGCTCATTGTTCATTCTCAGGAGAAACAGACGGAAAGGCAAAACAGTGACGAGGACACCAGTCACAGGACACAAGGTACAAGTCACTTTGAAACATTTGTTCCTTTATTTTTGAATAGGTGAAACCAATATTCCCCAAACTGCAAGGACAAAACATGCACGAAAGTGACTCCCAACTGGCAAAGCTAATGGCTGGGGAGAGCAGAGATGGCTTAAACTCTGGTGGTCATTTCAAGTTTAAATTCTGCTTATGGGCAAGTGCTCAGATATACTGCTCTGGAAGCCATGTTTAGTATGGGCAGGAAAGGAGCCATCGCCAGTCACTATATGTTCTATAGTTTATAGTTTAAAACTTCAACAATAAGTTATAGTGTTCACATATAATATATATTTTAGTTTTAAAAGAGGTTCAGATATGTGATATAAAGTTATGTCCCGCGTCCTCACCCCAAAAATCATTTCTTACAGGATATTTAGCAAGTGAATGAGGTGTTCTCAAATGACCTTTTCAGCCTAACCTGACTTCTAATATTACAATTTGCTAGTGCACCTTGACCAAATTACAGTATTTTCCTGTGCTGCACAGTCATGTGATCTTACCAGTTATTGTGTTAGTGTATGTTGTGATGCTTTGAGGGCTTATTCAATAAACTGGAAATTGTTACTGGGAATTGCCAGCATAACTAATCTAAAAAAATAGCCCAGTTTCCAGTTTTATGAATATGCCTCATGCTGTACTGTGTAAGCGTTCAATAGTGCTTTATTTATTAAATATGTAATTGGACAACAGTGCAATAGAAATTGTATATTTTACAGCTAAATACCAAAAATGGAAAAAAAATACCTTGTTTCAGCTCTGCTATATAGTACACAAAAGAGTTGCTGTCTTAATTATTTTAATTCTTCACAATTCCACGTATGGCAAATAAACTGTCATCTCGGATTGTAATTATTAAACAGCCATTTGTAATGAAATGAAAACTGAATTGCAAACTTTATATAAAATAGCCAAGGCAAGACGCACTAAGTTGGAGAATATTTTTTAATTCTATTTTTGCCTAAATTTTGCCATTCACAATTTTCAGTTCATTACATTTCATTGTTCAGTGAATATGGTGCATATTGTTCAAAACCTTACTCTCGCCTTAGAGTCTGTTTGTTAATGTATGAGTTGAAGTCGGTTGAAAAAATATTTGCAAAATGTGATACAAAATAGCATAACACAATCTACAATATTGCTGCACTGGGAATGTTTCCTAAATTTGTTATTTTAAGATATGTTTTTGAAACTAGCAGTCAACTCAACACAAATCACTGTTTAGTAAGCTATATCACCACATTAAAACATTAGGCTCTGGGGCGAGGGGAGGGGGGGGACAATAATAGAAATATTATCTTATTAGAGTGGCTGATTTTATTCCTTATATAATGCAACCTCTTGTAAATGTCTTTGGTGTAAGATATGTGGGTGTGTATTGTGTGCTTTTATATGGGACTTTTTCTTATTATAATTGCTTGTTTTAATGGTCTTCTTTTCAGAAAAAACAACTCTAAAACAGTCCTACTCCAGTAGACACATCATCAGCAGCTATGAGAGTGAAGGTAAGCAACCCGCTCTTTCTATACAGTAAAATTTCCATTAATTTTCATTAAAAAACTTTATGGATTTGCTTACATCAAAAGGTGTACAGTGCAGAAACAAACAGATTGGGCAATTGATTGATATTGATTGTGAGTGAAACGCGTTAGACAGCTTGAATGATGCAGTTTGTGCATGTCATTTCTAACTGTCTTTCTAAAGATTTTTAATGAAAAAGAATGTAAATGTTTAATACAGATTTCTGGATCAGAATCAGTCTTGCCAGGTAAGTGGTTTTTTTTTCTCCTTTTTGTAATTAATTTTCGTCTGGGGTGTGCCTACCAATCAGTGTTTGATTCCCATTTATTTTAGTAGATTGTGGTTCTGACAACTTGACCTTCATTTGTTTGTGAATCAAAATAGTCTTTATTGGCATCTCCATTTAACCATGATCAAAAATAATGGGAGTTTTAAAGTTTTAAGGTAAGTTAAAGTTAGTTTTAAGCATTAGGATAAGGACATGGGTGTAGTAGAGAATGGTGGAATGGGAAAGTACTGTCTTAGGGAACTTTATTCATGCATTAGGATGGGGGATTGATTATTAATTTTGGGTTTATGGTAAGGGTTAAAATGGTGGAACCAAAATGTCCTAACCATAAGATTTCCTTCCTTACAAATATTTAAACCCTGTATTTGAAACCAGGACAAATCCAGATTAATACCAGATCATGTAAACATGTATAACTACATCGATGATGTCATAATAAAGCGATATATCTTTAGGCAGGAAGATTGACCACTGTGTATTAATGGGATGCTACAGTCACCAAAACAACTTGAGCTTAATGAAGTAGTTTTGGTGTATAGATCATGCCTCTGAAGTCCAACAGGCCAAGTATCTGCCACTTAAGAGTTAAATCACTTTTGTTTCTATTTATACAGCCCTTGCTTCACCTCTCCTGGCTGTGACTGACATGAAATAAAAATGGTTTAATTTTCAATCAGATGTAACTTACTTTGAAAGTTTTTATCTCCTGCTCTGTAAATTGAACTTTAATTACATAAAGGAGGCTTGTGCAGGGTCTAGCAAACTAATAACAGAGCAGGAGATAAGAAGTTCAAAATTAAACAGAATTTGCAATACAGGAAGTGTAAACATTAGATGACTCTTTATAGGATGTGTTTTTGAAGGCTGTGTAAGTCACATGCAAAGAGGTGTGACTAGGGCTGCATAAATTTAGATTTAAGGGGACACTATAGGCACCCAGGCCACTTCAGTTCATTGAAGTGGTCTGGGTGCACTGTCCCTATTGCACTTAGTGCTGCAATGTAAAAAAACTGCAGTTCCAGAAAAACTGCAGTGTTTACATTGCAGTACTAAGTCTGCATCCAGTGGCTGTCTACCAGACAGCCACTGGAGGCTCTTCCTGCATGTTAACAGACTTTTGGTCTGGTAACTGACACTGGACGTCCTCCCGCTCTGCATGAGGACATCCAGCATCAGATCTTTCCCGTAAGAAAGCAGTGATTCAATGCTTTCCTATGTGGAAGCCTAATGCGTTCGCTCATCAAGGGATGTCAGAGGAGGTGGAGCCATAACCCTGTGCCGAAGTACATTGACGCTGGGATCAGGTACCTACAGGGTTTTTAACCCTTTATTTACCACAGCATTGGGGGGGCTGCAAGTGAGGGGGGATTCAGAGGGTGCTATAGTGTCAGGAATACAACTTTGTATTCTTGGCACTATAATATCCCTTTAACTCCTAAATGACAGAAAATTGAGCAGTGAGACTGCAGGGACATGATATATACACCAAAAGTTCTTAAATAAACTCAAGTGCTTACATTTTTTTATAATTTAGTAGGACTATAGACCCCTCATCTGTTATTGCATTATTAATTTTCATACCCTTTGCTAGAACCTGGACAGAAGATCATAGAGTAGGTGTGTTAATATATATACATACGTAGGGTATTCATAGGCACTCACACTCATACCTAACCAGTTCGGCACCTGCTACCGCATAGGAGACAATTAGCTATGCCAGACGTAGTCCAAGGGCAACCTAGAAGACGAAAACTAACTTTACCATGCACCATACCTATGCCTGACTATACCACATTCAATATCTCATTAGGAGAAACAGACCTTCCGTGACCCCAGGACAAGCATTCTTACAGAGATCTATACGACACACTGACGGCACTTAACTGACCAACCCTCTTCTCACTGTAAAACTACACAAGAAACACTATTCAAAGTTAAACGCACAACATTAAGCATTACTGCAACTGAAGTAACCACTAATGCTACTAGCGAGTATGGTGGAGAAACAACTAGGAAGCAAATGTATAAAGCGCAAGTTAAATTTATAAAAAAATATATATATACATACATACATGTAGAACATTTTGCAATATAAATTCTTCCAACAAAAAAAATGCTTGAATGCAATTTATTGGAGATGCTTACAGTAAAAATAATTAATAATAATTTAGAAAAATCGTAGACCATTTAGAAAAATTGCTAAATTAAGTCATTTGAAGCAGAAATATAGGTGAGGTCAATGTCTTGATTCTTGGTCTTCATAATACAATGTCGTAAAATCAAGACTTTGACAAGGAATTTTCTATAACAATTCCATTGATTTGTAAGTTTTTTGTTTTCCCTACCCCATAACAGAATCACAGCTACCAATGTTTTGGTAACAGAGCTATCTCTGGGTGATCTTTTCATCAAAGGGAAGCAGTAATTGGCACTCATTGTGTCCACTATGTTTGATAGGTGTTGTAGGTGCATAATGTTTGGAGAATAACGAGAGCCACTTGATTAGAAGGCATATGTATTCAACACAATATCTGGTAACAGTGGATAACTGGCACACGTGTGCATGAGTGGAGTACTACAAACAGGGTATTTGGATCTTTAGAGCAAGTTTGGCCTGTGTTGGAAGTGTGAATTTCTCACCCATCGTCTCAGATACTAAATTCTCTCTAGGGTGCCTCTCTCAACTTTTAACACTGTGAAGCCCGTATCTCAGGAGAGCTTCTTCCAGAAGTCCTCGATGACTTAGCACCAGCATCTAGTTGACAGTTTGTCTTGACTAGCAGCATGGACAGAGAATGTATGCTATGCGGAATTCCAAAAACAAGCCAAAAAATCAATCACGGGATTAATTCTAAAAGCTATGAACTGACTGGGGTAGGCTACCAAGAAAAACGTGATTAAGTGAAGGTGGGACCTTCAAGGAGATGAAGGTTTCAGAGGGAACAACATGAAAACATAGCAACTTCAAGATATTTAAAGCAAACTTTAATAAAACCTAAAGTTGCTAGACCACTGTTACATGAATCTTCTTATTTACATTAACTTAGGAAGTAAATATGCACTAATTTAGCATGGTATATATAGTACATGTACCAAATTCTGCATATTTCATGCCATACTGCTTTTATTACTTTTTAGTCTATGCTAATTGTTGCATGTTGGTGTATATAAAATTTTTTTTTTATAAAGATATCAATGAAAAAACAGGCCATTATATTTTGGAAACAAGAAAATTCAAATTGTAACAAATGATGCTAAAAAAGTGAATAAGTGAATAGCTACAACTCTACAAAAATACATAGAATTTCTTTACTAGCGTACAAAAATCATGTGCTACAGTGGAACGCTAAGATTTTTTTTTTTAAATTAAAATATAGGTAATATTTATTTATAATTGATTGTTATTGTTACAATCCATTATGCTATTTTTGTACCGTTATATTATTTATAGCCTTACAATGTTTTAAGAGTTGTACTCCAAAGCTTTATTTATAGAGTGATCTGACCTTGCTCTGAGGACGACATTCGTACAACGAGAAAAACTGTGGTCAATATGTTTGTTTAAATGGAGATTGTGTAAAGACACAATTACATAAATTTGACGGGTTAATTTTGATTTAATGAATTATAATCTTTGTTCTATGAACAAACACGTACATTTTTTTGCTTTAAAGGGACACTCCAGGCACCCAGACCATTTCTGCCCATTGGAGTGGTCTGGGTACCAATTCCCACCACCCTTAGCTCTGCAAGTGTAATTATTGCAGTTTTTATAAACTGCAATAATTACCTTGCAGGGTTAAGTCCTCCTCTAGTGGCCGTCTATCAGACAGTCACTAGAGGGAATTCCGTGTTCTTAAAACACGAGAAGTTTTAAATAACGCTATACATGAGGACCTCCAGCGGTGCTGGAATCCCCATAGGAAAGCATTTTATCCCCTTCAGCAACATGGGATGGGGGGTCGGAGGGAGAGGGAAACTGTAGGGTCCTGCAGTGCCAGGAAAATGGGTTTTGTTTTCCTGGCACTGGAGAGTCCCTTTAAGTTACTGCCTACACCTTTTGTCAAATTTGATGTTGTCATGCCTTTTTTTCAATCTCATCTTTTTTTTGTGTAGTTCTTTTATTTTTTGAAGGATTTCCATTCTTTTCCATTCAAGTTTTTTTTTTTCTCTTCGTTTAACATTCTCCAAATTGTAGAGTGCCCTTGTATGGTCTGTTTGGTTGGAGGGCTGACTTAAAACTTGAGGTATAATATGACAGCTACACACGGGCCTTGTCAGCTTTTACACTCTCATAACAACTTGCTCAAATATCTCTCATAGCACACCAACCCTCATATCCAATGCCAATTAAAAAAAGACATAACCGCTTCATCTTAATAGTGGTCTGGTACTTTTAGTCTGTACGTTTTCAACCCAGGGGACAAAAGGGCCAACATAAAACCGCATCACTCCTGCCCTGGTGACGGATTATAGGTACCAACTGCATATTTCAAAGATTTCTTTATCTTGTGGACTACATTTACTTTGTTTCGTTGATGGTTAATGGAAAACAGATCATAATAAAGTGCTGTATTTCTTGTTTTAAAAATGCTGTTTCTGAAAGTAGATTTATCAACTTAGTTCAATGCTGTGTTCAATATCAATAATATTTGAACTATTAAAAAAAAAAAAAAAAGTAAATTGACAGTTTTATAATGACAGAGCCAGTGTTTAGTGAATTAATTAAATAATTACCTTTACACTCTGTGGAGATTAAGGGGATATTTCAAGGGGACAGTGTGTCCGGCCATACAATGTGAACCTAAGTTGAGCCATTTCATTACTCATTAAAGACTAACGGTTGGGTAATTCTCTTTATGTCATGGTATGTCTGGAATGCTATTGGTTCATAGGGGTTTAAAAGGATCTCCAAAAATAGCATTGAAGTTTTACTCAATTTGCCAATTGCTAAATCTCTACTTTAATGTCGGAGTCTTAAGAGAGAGTGATGTAGAAACAGTGTAATATACGTACCAAAAGTCCAAACCCCTTTTAGTATCATAGTGTTGTCATGTTATCAGTGCCTTAGTAAAACTTATTGCTTTTTGGATTGTGGCTTATCTCTTGTAGGAAGCAACTGGGAGCCTTCTCCACAACCAACTGCCAAAGACTTTTATGGTAAGATTATAATGATCTCCTTTAGGATTCGGCCAGCATTACGTCAATCTTTTAATATGTTCCAACATCACGTTAGATTGGGATAGACATCCTTCGGCACTCTACGTGCTCTTACAGCTATAATGCTGGCAAATCATCAATGGAGATGTAGTCCACAACATCTGGAGTGCTGAAGGTTGCCCACCCCTGAATTAGATGGTTAAAGAGAAAAAAAGTTCCAATGAGATGACTCTTAAACCAGTTAGAAGATACTTAAATCCAATGACCAGAGGTGGGGCTTAACTAGCATGGGGAGCAGTTGCACTTGGCTTGAGCTCCTGGAGATTGACTGAATTGTAGCCTTTTTGATGACTTATTTGATTGCTCACCTGACGACTCTGCTGAACCACTGCAATCTAAATGGCATTTACTTTGCACATGTTGAGGATAATACTGCATCATTTTGTCAGCAATCTGCTTTGGCAGCCCTGCGGCCTCTCTGTGGCCTACTTAATGACTCAGGCACGAGGGATATTTTCCTAGTCCATTCTTCCCACTGCTTTTCTCAATGTATCTTTGCTTATGTGTATAGGCTATTGTTGTTATTAGTTGTTTACTGAGCAAAAAGAAAGACCCTAGTGTTAAATACTGAAACAGGTATTGCTACAGTAAAACTGATGCGGTGGGTATTAAAGACCATGCAATACATTAGACACCAATAAGCCTTTTAATAGTAATTTTCTGAACCCGTTTAGCTTATCCATGGGATAGATCCAACTTGAAGTCATTGCCAGTGAATCTGAAGAACTTTGAGAGACTGGATGCCTATGCTGTGCAGGTATGTGGGTGTGTGTTTTACGTGACTCAATGAGGGTGCCTTTTTCAGATTTTTGGCATTTCAGTATGGAATGGAATTGATCCTTGTTTGTGATCAATACAAATGATACATTAATTAGAATTCAAGAAATAATGGGAATGCAAATGTAGCCATGTGCATTAGTTGGTATAAATGGAACAACATTAAAATGATAAATTTTCCGATACAAATTAAGTTACAGCAAACACATAATAAAATACACTTATAAATCTTATCAGGCTACTTGAAATTACTTATCTAAGAAAACAAATATAAGGATTCAGTTCCACCATATAGCCATATTGTGTTAAGCCCACCATTACTTCACTGTACCCAAATATCAGTGGGTACTACACTAATTTGTGTGCGCTGTAACTTAATTTGTAATATGTATAAATATTGGTCATTACGGTAGCACCATTCCTGCAGACTGCATGTTCCGGGTATGCCCCCCAATCCTTTTTGTCTTTGCTATAAACTTGATAATGTCTTAATTCACATATCTTATGATTACATATTGCATCAGTTTATCAATAGAAGAGAATCAGAGACGTATTTTGTAGCATTAGATATAATGTGTAGTCATGGGGTCTGGGGTGGATATTCTTTGATGGGGTACTTCTGGTACCCACGTTTGTAAGGTTTTCATATATCCCAACATCATAAGATATGAACTCTGGATAGGAGTTGAGCCATGATGTGACCAGGAGCAGGCCTGCTCGAGAGAATAGTGCATGTCAGCTTGGCTTGAATGCTTGCCAAGATATGATGCTGCTCTGATCTATTGTACTTAGGGCTGCACATGTGCAAAGTGTTGTTGAAGCACTCTGGGATGGACTGAATGCCCTGAAAGCTCTTTGCACAGTGTAAGCGCATTCGACAAAATACGCACAATCCTCTAGACTGGAAGCTCATTCGAGCAGGAATTGTTTGTGTAACATTTTGTAATTATCTAATTTTTTGTTAATTTTCCCCGTTTGATATTATTGTAAAGCACTGCAGAATAAGATGGCCCTATATAAATGCTAATTACAATAATAATAATAATAATGATGAGGATAATGATGATGATGATGATGCACTTGAACATGAAAACAACGACTGTGTCGCCTGAACTGTTTGGGATCATAGGTGTTCATTTCTCTTTTTGCTAAAAAAACAAAATATAATAGTAATACTGTCACGATTCGGGGAACCCAACACGCTGGCACACACACACACACAGAAAATGTGCTGTACTGGACCTTAGAGTGGCTGGGCTAAGCACGCTAAGAGTAGTCAGGAGACAAGCCAAGTAAAGGGAACCAGAAAACGGGAGAACGAGAAACAAGCCGAGGTCAAAGGAGTGGAGAAGACAGATAATCGGAATAACGAGCCAAATAATCAGTAGCCAGAGAGCAAGATGAGAACACTACGCTACAGGTATCACAAGACCACAACAGGGCACTGAGGGACAGGAAAGGTGAGTATAAATACCCTTGGTTTAATTCTGATTGGATAACTTCCAATCAGAATTAACAATCACACGTGGGGGATATCTATACCTCCCACTGTGATTGTGGTACTGTTTCTTTAACGCCGGGTCACTCACGTGACCCTGGCATTTACTTAATTCATTGACCTCCCGTTATACATGCTGCCGCTGGGGGGCATGGAGGACGCTGGCGGCGAGCAGCACAGAGGAGACGCCGCTCGCCGACAGGTAAGCAGAGGGGAGACCACGGGTGGCGATGGACTGAGGGTGAGTGCTGCAAGTGGCGTGCAGCCTCCCCTCCTAGCCGCCCGCGGATCCCTGACATAACCCCCCCCCTCGAGGCCCGCCCAAGGGGCGGGAAGCCGAAGGCTTCGAAGGGAACCGCGCATGAAAGGAGCGGATCAAAGAGGGTGCATTCAAGTCAGAGGCAGAAACCCAGGACCGCTCCTCAGGGCCGTAACCCTTCCAATCAACCAGATACTGCAACTGACCCCGAGAAAAACGAGAATCAAGCAGAGCAGCTACTTCGTAAACGTCATTAGAGACAGCGCGGAGGGAATCTGGACGCCTGAGAGGACCAGAGTATCGATTACAGAACAGGGGCTTCAAAAGGGAGGTGTGGAAAGTGTTCGGTATACGCATGGAAGGAGGCAAGGCCAGGGAGTAGGACACAGGATTGACCCTACGTAATACCTTATAGGGGCCAAGGAACCTGGGCGCAAATTTCATTGAGGGCACCCTGAGGCGGAGATTCTTAGAGGACAACCAAACCCTATCACCCGGGACATAAGAGGGAGCAGCACCCCTACGACAATCAGCAAATTTCTTCTGAGTAGCAGTCGCACGAGAAAGAGTAGCATGGACCTGATCCCACATCTTCCGTAAGGAGGTGAGGTGCTTGTCCAAAGCAGGTATTCCCTTGTCGGAGAACACGCCTGGAAGGACAGAGGGTTGGAACCCATAAGCAACCATAAAAGGACTTAAGCCAGTGGACGAATGAGTCACAGTGTTCCTGGCGAATTCAGCCCAAGGAAGGAGGTGAGACCAGTTGTCCTGGTGTGCATTCGTGAAGCAACGTAAATATAACTCCACAGATTGATTCGCCCGTTCGGCCGCTCCATTAGATTGTGGATGATAGGAGGAAGTAAACGACAAGGAAATCCCCATCTCAGCACAAAAGCCCCTCCAAAACCGAGAGACAAATTGAGGACCCCTGTCAGATACGATATCCTGTGGTATACCATGCAAGCAGAAAACCTCTTTGGCAAATACCTGAGCCAACTGAACCGCAGAAGGTAGTTTCTTAAGTGGAATAAAGTGTGCCATTTTAGAGAATCTATCAGTCACAGTCAAAATTACTGTCATTCCATCGGATGAAGGAAGATCCACAATAAAGTCCATGGATAAGTGGGTCCATGGTTTCTTGGGTACGGATAAAGGCATTAGGAGTCCCGGGGGTTTGACATTAGGGGACTTACACTGTGCACAAACACAACAAGCCTGCACATAATCCACCACGTCTTGCTTAAGTGAAGGCCACCAAAACTGTTGAAGGAGACCCTTGTATGTTTTGGTAACCCCTGGGTGGCCAGCCGTTTTGGCAGTGTGAAATAAAGCTAACAATTTCTTTCTATCTTTCTCTTTCACGTATAATCTACCAACAGGTATCTCAGAGGGAGCTTGGGTTTGGTATGCCTTGATACCATCAAGGAAAAGAGACGAAATAACTAAACGGGTAGCAGCTATTATCCACAATGGGTTCAGGAGTGGGAGCGATAGACTCCAAAGGTTTGTATTGTCAGGAGATAGCATCAGCCTTGACATTACGGTACCCAGGCCTATATGTGATAATGAACTGAAAGCGCGAAAGAAATAAGGACCATCTGGCTTGACGAGAGGACAACCTTTTAGCATCAGCTATATAGGAGAGATTCTTATGATCAGTTATAACCAGGATTTTGTGTCTAGCTCCTTCTAATAAGTACCTCCACTCTTTAAATGCCATCACAATAGCTAATAGTTCCCTATTCCCGACGTCGTAATTCTTTTCCGAATCAGACAGTTTTTTAGAAAAGTAACAACAGGGATGGAGGGGTTCGTTATAGGATAATCTTTGTGATAATACAGCTCCTATACCTGATTCTGAAGCGTCTACTTCCATTATAAAGGGAAGGGAAGGATCAGGATGATGTAGCACAGGAGCAGTGGCAAATGCCTTTTTGAGGGTTTCGAAGGCTTTGATGGCTTCAGGAGTCCAAACCCTGGGGTGCAAACCCTTTTTAGTTAGTTTAGTGATAGGAGAAATGACCGATGAAAAGTTTTTAATAAACCTGCGATAATAATTGGCAAAGCCTATAAATCGCTGTATTGCCTTAAGACCTTGAGGGAGAGGCCAAGACAATATGGCTTCTAATTTAGAAGGATCCATACTGAACCCCTGTTCAGAAATGATGTACCCTAGGAATTGTACTGATTTCTGGTCAAATAAACATTTCTCCAATTTACAATAAAGACCGTTCTGTAGCAATCTCTTAAGTACCTTCCTCACATGGGCATGATGTGACTCCAAATCAGGAGAGAATATGAGTATATCATCGAGATAAACCACAGCACAGACATGCAGTAGATCTCTAAGGACATCATTTATGAAGTCCTGAAAGACAGCAGGAGCATTACACAGTCCAAAAGGCATGACTAGATACTCGTAATGCCCACTGCGTGTATTGAACGCTGTCTTCCATTCATCATTTTCTTTTATCCGAACCAAGTTGTAAGCCCCCCTGAGGTCTAGTTTAGTAAAATATCTAGAACCTTTAACACGGTCAAACAACTCAGCAATGAGAGGGATAGGATAAGCATTTTTAATTGTTATATTATTCAGGCCCCTATAGTCTATACATGGTCTCAAATCGCCCTCCTTCTTGGCAACAAAAAAGAAACCAGCACCAGCCGGAGAGGAGGACCTTCTGATAAAAACTTTACGTAAGGATTCCTGTATGGTTCCATGGTGGCCCTGTTGTAATGTCACGATTCGGGGAACCCAACATGCTGGCACACACACACAGAAAATGTGCCGTACCGGACCTTAGAGTGGCCGGGCTAAGCACGCTAATAGTAGTCAGGAGACAAGCCAAGTAAAGGGAACCAGAAAACGGGAGAACGAGAAACAAGCCGAGGTCAAAGGAGTGGAGAAGACAGATAATCGGAATAACGAGACAAATAATCAGTAACCAGAGAGCAAGACGAGAACACTACGCTACAGGTATCACAAGACCACAACAGGGCACTGAGGGACAGGAAAGGTGAGTATAAATACCCTTGGTTTAATTCTGATTGGATAACTTCCAATCAGAATTAACAATCACACGTGGGGGATATCTATACCTCCCACTGTGATTGTGGTACTGTTTCTTTAACGCCGGGTCACTCACGTGACCCTGGCGTTTACTTAATTCATTGACCTCCCAGCGTGCAGCGTTATACATGCTGCCGCTGGGGGGCGTGGAGGACGCTGGCGGCGAGCGGCACAGAGGAGACGCCGCTTGCCGACAGGTAAGCAGAGGGGAGACCGCGGGCGGCGATGGACTGCGGGTGAGTGCTGCAAGTGGCGTGCAGCCTCCCCTCCTAGCTGCGGATCCCTGACAAATACTGCTGCATGATGTCACGATATAAGATGAAATTCAGCTGTTGACATTCTATGGAACAGCTGGCAATTCACTTCCAACTCTCGGCAAGTCTTGTTTGTGTCTATAAAGCCTCGCTCAGCCGAGCTATTGAAGGTTAAGCAAGATTTTCTCACTTGCTGGTTTGATACAACCTTGAATCGGATTGTGTAGAGTATGAGTATTTGTAGCAAATGTGGAAACTTTAAGCGTATTCTTTTTTTAATATGTGTTGATTCATCATATATATTGAGTGTTATACCTGTATAAGGAATTAAAAATAAAGGTTCAAAACCACCCTGGAGTGTCTTTTTAATGTGACCCTGTGTCCATGATTGCAGGTGGGTAAGCGGAGTACAGTTGAGGAGCTAGTCAACGTGCTGATGAAAATAGCACGCACAGACCTGGAGAAGGTTCGGGTTATCTGGATGTGGATGTGTCACAACATAGGTGAGGAACAGCCTAATTGGTTTCAAAGAGAACACACTCACTGTGTAGTGACCATTTAGATTGTTTGTGCAAAAACATGTTAGAAAATAAATCCTCTTGGTTATAAAGCAGCTCTTTCTGTAGGACTATTAATACTTTATTTTGAGGAACTGGCGTGTGTATATGTGACATCACATATATAAGCCCAAACTCTATGTATGTAAATGAGCATTGTAATTTATGTTTTATATTTGCAGCATTGTTTATTGTATTTTATTTTTCCTTGCCACTACTTGTTAAAGTGATTATATCCATTTTGTTTATTCACTATACTGTAGTATAGGTCAGGATCTAACCTGGAAAAATAAGAAGAAAAGAAAGGGACAGGAAAATATATATTACCGGTTCTTCAGTTGACCGGCTTAATGAAATTCCCCAAAGAAGGCAAATAAATGAGTAAAGTCAGACAGGTTAATGTAGTAATGTAGTTGGTAACCATAGACAAGGTCGGGAAGCCAGGAATATTAAAACCCAATAAGACATACCCATTCAATAATACCAGATACTTAATAGCTAGGTGGATCAAAACCTAGAATCACACTACAGTACAGAGGAATATGATTACAGGCTACACAAACCACAAAAGGCATTTCCACAAGATGTTGGCTTAGATAGCCTATATCATTGATGCCCATCGAACATGGATCATTGTAATTACTTTGCAACTAGAGCACAACTTTTGGTGAAAGCAGAATGATGACAGCCAATAATGGCATAAGAAGAAATAGAAGCATCTAGAGTCAAAGTTGGTGCATAGAGATGACGCAAGATGCGAGGATCCAGGACATTAGCCAGGGGCTCTAATAACAGGCTTAGTAATGTGGGTTGCTATTCGAGACTTTTATTTACCAGAGAAAATCTTCCCCATTAATATTTTGATTATTGGACCACTCTCCTCCATCCCTATTTAACAATCCCTTCCAACATTACAGAAATATTATTCTCATTCCATTTAGAGTATGACTTAGAAGGTCTGGATGACAAATCAAAAAGGTCTGGTGATCCCAGCCAAACGTTACTCTCTGGGAAAGGAGCATGTGAAGGGTATGCGGGTCTCTTTCAGAAGATGTGCAGGTAAGAGATCTTTCCCAAGAAGAATTATGGTATCATTTTCAATACTGGAATTCTGTTACACCTTTACGTGCACTGGAAGGAATTAAACTCTGATTAATATATACGTAATACATAACAACTTTGCTACACCAACTCTCAGTTTCTCAAGAAAGAGCTGAGCCATAGACTAACATAGTCTTTTGTTAGTAGGTACTAATGCAGGTAACCCGTGGATCCTTACAGATTAATAGGAGATCATTACCTTGACTTTACTAATTTTATGCCTAGCCAAAATAAATTGGCTGTGATAATGGGAATATAATTACAGAGTTCCCCCATGGTCAGTTGGCACACTGTATTCATGAAATTATCTTCCATTTGGTAGACAGAAACGGCAGTTCCACAGGTTCAGAATTATTTACATTGCTGTTCATGCTGATAAGGTAATCAGGGGATTCCTGCTCAGTTTGTTTCTTCATTATTGTCCATTCCTGGGCTACGCAATCCCAGTTCTTAGATAATATGTGTCATTCAGCTTCAGTTTGGAAGCTTCAAACTAGTCTGAACTAACCTAGTTGATCCAAATTGCCTCACTAACAACTGTTTGTTTGCACTGTTGATTTTAACTCCATGCCTACTCATCAATGTGTATATGTTACAGTTAAAGTGCAGAAATCAGTTAATGTGCACATTACCTAGTTAATCTGCAGATTAGCTAGGGCGATCAGTTAAAGTGCAGAAAATGATTTCGTTTCTCAAATATTTCTCACATTACCTAGGTTATCTGCAAATTACCTAGATAATCTGCACAATACCTACTAGGCACTTGTTAAAGTGCAAAAAAATCATTCTGTCCTCCATCTCTGAGGGGCCCAGGGCTCTGGAGGACACCATGGTGTGCACAGGCTGCTGTTCTGTTCTTGTCTGGACCACATAGTCACATACCTCTTCAAACAGTTATCCCGAACTGGTAAGAAACGAGGAGCCCCCACCACCACAAGAGAGCGAGCGCTTCCTGCACATTATGCAGCAACACCCTGAAATGATCCCAGCAGATGCTCTCCACTGTTCTCAATATCATCATATATTTGAAAAGTGTCAGAATCAGTGGTCCATGAGCAGTCCTCTCCTTGGTCTCATTCTCCTCAATGAGAGAAGTATTTCTCAGACTTACGGAGCAGCATTGTTAGTAGCCAGCCCTCTCTGAGAAGCAACAAGCCATGCGTCTATGTTTGAGAATTTGATGGTGGAGGGCATTAAAAGGAACTTGCTCACAAAAGAATCGAGACAGGTTCACACAGAAACTTTCTACCTTCAGACGAGAAGTGAACGACTCTGCAGAGACTGCACTGAAAGGGTGAAAAAGGTTCTGCGAGGACGTTTTGTAATAAATAATTTCCTTTTTACCGAAGGAAAGAAACAAACTTTTGCACTGAAAGGGTGAAACAGGTTCTGCAAGGACGTTTTTTGTAATAAATAATTTCTCTTTTACCGAGGGAAAGAAACAAACATTTTGCACTTTAACTATACAGAAGCAGTTTATGTGCACATTACCTAGGTAAAGTGCGGAAAACTCTTGATTCTGCACTTTAACGGAGCAAATAAGTTAATCTGCAGATTAACTAGGCAATGTGCACATTAACTGATTTCTCACTTTAATGGTAACATATACACAAATAAACATTTGTTTTACATTACAAAACAATGCAAAAGAGAAAAAGAAAAAGCCAATAAAACCATATTTAATGTTCAGTTTTTCACCCTGCAGAGAAACACATTTTCAACCACCACTTCATTCTGTTCATCTGCATCTCTGTAGAGATACTGTAAATGTTGACCTCTACAGAAATGTTTGTAGGTTAAACTTCATGGGTAAACAAAGTTCAAAGGTGTGTCAGCTTCAAACCTATGATAGCACAAGTTGGGTATGTTACTTTGTTATTGGTCTGCACTCACTACAAATTCCAAAGAAGTCCTCTTCCAACTAACACTGGATAGTGGCCTCAAGCCCATTCTCAAAGGTAAAACTTGTCCATCTCTTCTCACATTGTAGGTGAAGGAATTTAATTTTGGGGGAATATTGTAGCTTTGTCAAGACTAATGACCCAAGTGAGATTTATTACAGGTTATAAAGAGTGCACTGAGTACCTTACATGTAATCTATGAAAACCATGGCCTTACTTGTAGATTATATGCACATTGCAGAAACTTTGCAGACTGGTGTAACTCTACCTAATGCGTGTGTACATTTTGCCCACACTCTGACCTTTTTACATTCTGGTGGGATTTTGTCACCTACTCAGAAACACCATCAGCTTCTCAGTAATTAACAACAAAAAGTACATTGGAACATTTGTATCTGTTTGTTTTGTCACGTTTTTTGGAATGTGCTGAAATGGTACTGTAAAAAAATTTAGAAAACAAATTTCAAGAAAATGATTGCTGTTTTTCGCTATGTTTATATATTTCTGTGCATAACTATGTTTACATATCCCAGTAACATACTTTCTTCCTCTAGTCTTGCAGGTATAAACTGCTTAAAAATTGGTGGATATTCAAAAGGTCACAGCTACACACCTGGGCAAACATTCTCGGGAGAGACAAACCATGCTTGGAACGCTGTCTGTTTAAACAGAAAATGGCACTTAGTAGATACCACGTGGGGAGCAGGATTTGCAGACAGCAGTAGCAATACATTTAACTTTCGGTAACTACCCAGATGTCGTCTTTGCTAGTTTTGTTATAAAATGTTACTCCTTTGATGTCAATCAACCTAAAAACTTTAAAGTGGGGGGTGGATGCACTAAGCAGTGACGTATGGTGAATGCCAATCTAGGCATGGGTCCCACCACAGCTATATGGAATTTCCTGCGCCATTTGTGACGCAGGTTATTGGACAAAGTAAGCCTTGAGCAATATGTAAATATGTCTTAACATTGTAAAGCATTGTAAAATATGTTGGTGCTATATAAATGTTACTTAAAAGTTGGAATATTATCGTATGATTCCTAGACAGGGACCACACTATCTGGTGTGGCAGACGAGTTATACAATCTATGGATACTAGATAGTTAAAATCAAATGGATCTTAATTCAGGCTGTTAGCTGATGGGTCAGTGTATTATAGAAGCATTTATTCTAGTATTCTCTATTTTGCCATACAACTGCTTTTTATTTTATATACTTTGGACGTGTACAGATCCTCCTGGATCATCTAGAATCTAAAATCTATTTTATATATAGGGTCTAATAGGGAGGTGGAATTGTGGTGGCTGTGGAGGAACGGAGAAGACCTTACCTACTTTTATACCTAATTTTATCACTATCTATAGCACTCGTAAGTATTAATTACTATCTACCTCTAAGTATCCTGAGAAATAAGCATAGTTTCTATTCTAGAAATAATGGTTTAGTAGGTCTCCCCTTTCTTCCTTTGATGGTGCTTTCACAAGTCTCTTAACCAAGCTGCAAATTGAGATTAGTCTCAGTTAGCTAAGGAATAGGAAGGATTTAGAAGACATCTATCATTTACCATATTTCCTAATTAAAAATTATTTATTTATTTCAAACCGTTTCCTCAATCTAATTAACAGCAAGTGAATTGCTACTTCTTTAGGTGGTCTCTTAGGCAATAGACAATAAAGCCTGGTTGAGTCACTGATTAAAATGTTGCAAAACCTCTGTTTACTAGTATCGAATTCTTTACAGTTCACATAACTGGGGTTTCTTTTTATTATATCTCAAATTGTTCATCCAAAACCAGATAGTGTGGTCCCTGTCTAGGGATCAGACTATAATTTTCCAACTTTTAGGAAATAACGTTTATAGGCTCCAAGGCCAGGGTAGGATTGGAACTACCTGAACTGACCGACCCAAACCAGGAAAAATTGAACAGGGAAGAGATTCTATTTTCTAAATATAATTTTATATAAATGCTATGATAATAATAATTAGCATAAGAGCAGTAATTACAAGAACAAATTTGGTAAATTTGTCTAGTAATCACTCACTAAGTAAAAATTCACATTGACAGTTTTCAGTGTTTCCTGGTCTTAATAGAATGGTTTGTTTAAGTGATTGCCAAAAAAAATTTTTTTTTTTTTAAATGTTAAAGCAATAATGAATAGATGTAGAGATATGTTTTGGTTAAACTGCAATTCCTCCCAACTTCTGAACTAAGTATGCTGGTTCTGATTCTGGATTCTTCCTGTGGTGCCAAGAAAAAAAAAAAGACATCACTAATGGGGTAAAAAAGATGGTTGATTGCTAGAAAACAGTTACTAAATGTTGATTTTATTCACAGATCACGTGAGAAGTGACCAACAGAGGGGAAAAAGGAGGACCACTATAAAAAAAAAACTATATTCATACATTTAATAAGTAAATAAAATATGAATATAGATATTGTTTTACTATGGCTTCTGTGGTTTCCTCTATTAGTTACTTTTTTCACACTTGAACTGTGAACCAAATTGGGAGAAACCGCTCTTCTATTATATTATTATTATGTTATGTATATATTTTGCAGTACACTGATTGGCCCTTTTTAAGCCCTTTTGGAATATCTGATTTGTTTCCCAAATAAGCTTTTCAGTGCCGAACTTCTGCCCAACCATACCAACATATGGCTGAAATTAGGGCATCCTGAGAAAATTTTCTAATTTCGGGAAAAATGATAGCCGAATCCAATGTTTTCACCACTCACTATGAGTCTCTTTACTAAATGTGAAATTGTAGTGAGTTGAAAACCAAACTGGAAAATTTGAGCTAACATAGCTTATTTGTGACTAAAGCCTTTCTCTTTTGTGTGTAGGTACAATGAGTTTTATTTCCTCACTCATCCTGCACTGTTTATAGAGGAGCATTTTCCTGATAACCAAAACTGGCAGCTTCTGAAGGTACCCTTGTCTTTGAAACAATTTGAAGGAAGCTTGCATCGTAAAAGTGGCTTCTATAATGCTGGACTCATAGCTCTATATCCTGAAACACTTCAGGTGGAGACAGGTAATCAATTCGACAGCCATTACTCCAAACAATGTTTAAAATATTCTATATACATATACAGTATCTCCCCAAAGTGAATACAACCCTCACATTTTTGTAAATATTTTATTATATCTTTTCATGTAACAACACTGAAGAAATGACACTCAGCTACAATGTAAAGTAGTAAGTGTACAGCCCGTATAACAGTGTAAATTTGCTGTCCCCTCAAAATAACCCAACACACAGCCATTAATGTCTAAACCGTCGGCAACAAAAGTGAGTACACCCCTAAGGGGAAATGTCCAAATTGGGCCCAATTAGCCATTTTCCCTCCCTGGTGTCACGTGACTTGTTAGTGTTACAAAGTCTCAGGTGTGAATGGGGAGTAGGTGTGTTAAATTTGGTGTTATCGCTCTCACACTCTCTCATACTGGTCACTGGAAGTTCAACATGGCATCTCATGGCAAAGAACTCTCTGAGGATCTGAAAAAAAGAACTGTTGCTCTACATAAAGATGGCTTAGGCCAGGGATAGGCAATCTTCGGCACTCCAGATGTTGTGGACTACATCCCCCATAGCTCTTACACACATAATGCTGGCAAAGCATCATGGGCGGTGTAGTCCAAAACATCTGCAGTGCCGAAGGTTGCCTATGCCTGGCCTAGGCTATAAGAAGATCGCCAATACCCTGAAACGGAGCTGCAGTACGGTGGGCAAGACCCTACAGCAGTTTCACAGGACAGATTCCATTCAGAACAGGCCTCACCATGGTCAACCAAAGAAGTTGAGTGCTGAGTGCAGGTGTTCAGCAACATATCCAGAGGTTGTCTTTGGGAAACAGACGTATGAGTGCTGCCAGCATTGCTGCAGAGGTTGAAGGGGTGGCTGTACACTTACTACTTTACATTGTAGCAGAGTTTTATTTCTTCAGTGTTGTCACATGAAAAGATATAATAAAATATTTCTCAAAAATGTGAGGGGTATACTCACTTTTGGAAAATACTGTATATCTATCTATCTGTCTATCTATCTATCTATCTATCTATCTATATATATATATATATATATATATATATAAATAATAAATTTTCAGTTGCAAAAAAATATTTTATGTTATATCCTAGTGTATCATAGTGGCATAGCGTACAAATCAAACTCCTCACAGGTTTTGAATTAAGCTAGATAAATTTGTATCAATAGTTCTGCAAGATGAAATCAACTTTGATGTCTGATAACGTGATATCTGAAACTATTTTACACATAGTACAATAGTGACTAAGTTAGCTTTTCCTTGCTCATTCTATAGTCATTGCAATAAGAAAGTAACCAATATACAATCAACATAACCAGTACTCACTGTCATTATGAAACTGATTATAGTTAGTGTATTGGTGATCATGCGCCAAATCCCCCCATGTGTGGTACAGATATTTCTTCACTTTTCCTATGTGGTTCACTGTAGTAGTAGCACTAGTAGAAAACAATGACTTAGAGATAACATGAATACTGATAACAGACCTAATGCCAGGGACTGCTGCATTGTACCCTCCCCACTCTGGGTTTGTACCAGTGATAGTACTTACTTACAGTGATAGACACTTAGAGCATCATTACCCAAATATTAAAATGCGGAACAGTAGCACATTAGCATATTTACTTGCAGTAATTACAATGACGACAAAAGACGTAAAATAACTGATTCCAGTGCTTGACAGATATTAGTATTATTATTTATTTATAAAATATTTTACCAGGAAAGATACATTGAGATTTCTCTCATTTTCAAGTATGTCCTGGGTCTACAAAACATTGCATTGTTACAATAGGGTACAATAAAATACAAAAACAATATTAATACACAATAACTACAAAATTTAACATAAAACAGGTAGGAAATATATAATCAACCATGACACGTGCATTCTGTTTTGAGGTATGTAGAGAGGGATCTCTTAAAGGACTTTAGGCTTGGGAATGATTTTAAATTGTGCAGGAGGTCGTTCCACAATTGCGGTGCTCTATAGGAGAAGGAGGATCGGGCCGCTTTCTTTTTGTATTGAGGTAGACTAAATAAAGTGTTGGTACTGGATCGGAGGTTATAGGAAGTGGGAACAGCTGGGGAAAGCATTTTGATCAGGTAGGGTGGGAGTTTACCAGAAAAGCTCTTAAACACAAGGCTGGAAAGATGAAGGGTGCGTCTGGATTCCAGCGACAGCCAGTTTAGTCCTTTTAGCATGTCACAATGGTGGGTCCTATAATTATATTGTAGCACAAATCAGCAGAACGAGTTATACAATGTGTTGAGTTTATTAATGTGGGATTGCGATGCAGATGCAAATATTACATCCTCATAATCAATGATTGGCATCAGCATTTGCTGTACAATCTTTTCCTTTACTGTAGGGCTTAGGCAGGATTTGTTTCTGTACAGGACACCTAGTTTTGGATAAAGTTTAGATGCAAGCTTTTCTATGTGCAGGCCAAAAGATAGATTGGGGTCTAATATCATACCCAAGTATTTGAAAGAGTGGACTGCGGTCAGTGTGTCATTTGAATTTGTTTTGATGGATAGGTGGGAATTGTGTAATTTGTGTAATTTAGGTACTGTTCCAAAGATCATTGTGACAGTTTTGTCAGTGTTCAGGAAGAGTTTGTTTTTTGCGATCCACCTTTCTACCTCTGTAAACTGGTCTTGGAGCACAGCCTCAAGTTGCGGTAGATCGGATTTGCTCGCATAGATTACCGTGTCATCTGCGTACATGTGTACATTTGAGGATTTGCAGACATTAGGCAGATCATTTATAAATAATGTAAATGGTAGGGGGCCGAGAATGGAACCCTGGGGAACACCACATGTGACTGGGAGAGGGAGGGAGTCACTGTCAGAAATGGGCAAATATTGTGAGCGATCCGATACATACGATCGAAACCAGGTTAGCGAACGATCACCAATACCTGAGTTTTTGAGTTTGTGCAGTAGAATGTCATGGTCTACTGTGTCAAAGGCCTTAGCAAAATCAAGGAAAATAGCTCCAGTTAGGGCTCCTTGTTCCATGCCAGTTTGGATGTCATTGCAAACTTTTAAGAGGGCAGTTGTAGTGGAGTGATTCTGGCAAAAGCCCGATTGGTCAGGGGTCTGATAGTTAAATTGTTTGTAGTACTCACAAAGTTGCGTATGGACACATTTTTCTAAGATTTTTGACAATACTGGGAGCAATGATATTGGGCGATAGTTAGAAACCAAAGTAGTGTCACCACTTTTATGGATAGGCACTACTCTCGCAGTCTTCCAAAGTTTGGGTATGTATCCAAACACCAAGGATTTGTTAATTAGAGTGTTTTTAAAGCACAAACCTACTTTGCATCATAACATTTTGAATCAAACAAACTTGTTGACATCATACGTTCAGATGCATTAGAATAAGAAAGCAGGAACCTGTACTAATAATCTTAAAATATAAAGGCTATGGCATAAAATAATTATTAGTTAGGGAAGAAAGGTCGTAAAAATACTCAACTGTACACTTTACCCTTTGATTCTTAACGGGGCATTCTGGCACCATAACTACTTTAGCCTGCTGTAGTGCCCATGGTGCCAGGAGTGTGCTGGTACAGCCCCAGATAAAATAGCCAAACCCTTTTTCAACAGTTTGACACCTACCTGGGTCGCCCGGACTCCTATGTGTCCTTCATTGTGATATAGCTAAAGCAACAGTTCCCCTACTTACTGCTTACTATACAATAACTACAGGTGGCACTCCTGGCTCCACTAATGTGGACTGTAGTGACAATGGTGCCTTGTTTGCCCCTCTAACAGATGTGTTGATCAGTAAGCATGTGAGTTACAGGGCTGAAAAGATAGAAAGCATTAACGTATACATAATTAGATTATAGGGTAAATGGTTTCTTAATTGTTTACACCACTTTATTATCTCTTGCAGTTAATGGAAAGGCCACATTTTCTATCGAGGGTTGTTGTCCTGCCCTATTTTCTTTCACCCTCAATAAGACAGAGAAGCCAGGGCTGATGACTCTGACAAAGAATGGGATGCAGCTGGACATCTATCCTCAGGAAACTGGACGTCACAGGCTTGAGCTGTACACAAAATCTTACAATAGTACAAAAGAAAGCTATGAGAGTGTTGTAGAATACATTATCCACTGTGGATCTGTTGATCCAATATTCAGAATTCCCAAAGAGCTTGATGTTCTAGTTGGGCCCAGCTGGCTGACTGAAAAGAAGGGATTCTTACAGCCCTTGTGTCGGGACTCAATAATCAACACTCAAGATGGACGCTGTACAGTTGGCTTCACTTTGACAAAGCGGAACACAGTCTTAGCAACATTACATTCTGAGCATATTACACCAGGAGATGAAAGAAGACACGTGTTGCAAACTTTACGTGGAAACCGAGTTGAGTTCAAGGTCCATCTTCCTCAACAAGGTTATTATGCCTTAAAAATACATAGTTCTACAGGACCAGGAAAATATGAATGTTTCTGCAATTACCTGGTTGTCTGTAGAAACCCAGAGGTAGTATGGCCATCCTTCCCAAAAACACTTGAAAATCCAGTTGGGCCAAGTTCATTAATGGAGAAGAAGGGACTTTTACAGCCATCACATCGTGAACCGATTATTTACACCTCAAATGGCTTTTGTTCCTTGTCCTTTATGTTGAAGGAAGATGTTACAATTATCACAGCCCTTCTGTGTGATGAGGCTTCTTTGAATGACCATGGAGAGAAAAGATTTGTCACACAAGCTCAAAGGGGCAACCACATTGAGCTCCAGATAAGGCTCCCACAGGCAGGGTCCTATGTTCTACAGATTTTTGCCAACATCAAAACATCTCCCACCAGTTTTGAATATGTGTGTAATTACCTGATTTGTTGTTCTAGTATAAGCACTACACATTTAGAGGCACCTGCTACTCAACAGATTCCTGTGGGTTCTGGCAATATGGTGGATAAGAAAGGTTTCCTTAAACCCTCACAACTAGGACAGGTTATTGATAGTCCAGATGGGCATTGCACATTAAACTTCTCCCTAGACAGAGAGATGAATTGCTTGGCCACATTACACAGTGACGATAAGAAATGGAACACACAAATGGAAAGAAGATATATCATACATATCCAGAAACAGCGTCAAGTGGAGTTTTTCATCCAACTTCCTAGACCTGGATCTTATGACCTTAGGATTTATGCAGATAGCAGATTACAGCCTGGAAATTATGAGTTTGTATGTAGTTACCGTATCGTATGCACAAACCCAGAAGTATTGTGGCCTGCCTTCCCAAACAAACTTCAGAATCCAGTTGGGCCTACAGCTTTGTCAGAAAAAAATGGCCTCCTGAACCCATCCAACAATGATCCCATCATCAACTCTGTTGATGGACAGTGTTCTGTTTCTTTCACACTCAGGCGAGAAATGGGTATTTTTGCCAGACTTCAGTCAGATGATGTGCTTTTAACAGAAGAAGCAGAGAGGCGACATGTTCTTCAAGTCCAGAAACAGAATAGAGTAGAGTTTCAGGTACAGCTTCCACAAGCTGGGACATACATTCTGAAAATATACACAGAATCAGAACAGGGTAGCTTCAGATTTGCATGCAACTATCTGATTTCCTGTGTAAATACACAAGTCAAGTGGCCTTTGCTGCCAGTGGATCTATGCAACCCTGTTGGGCCCAATTCTCTATCTGAGAAAAAAGGCTTGACACGACCATCCCATCTTGAGCCAGTAATTTGTACAGCTGATGGCCGGTGTTGTGTCAGTTTTGCCCTGGATCAAACAATTGATATTGTGGCTACACTCCATTCTGATGATATCACCTCAGACGAAGCCAGGAGAAGGCACATATTTCAAGTTGAGAAGGATGGACGTGTAGAGTTCCATATCCAGCTTCCCAACGTAGGCACCTATGTACTGAAAGTATGCAGCAAGAAAAAGTCTGACTTGAGCAATGTTTATGACTATGTCTGCAATTACCTCTTAAGCTGCTCAAATACAAAAATGAGATGGCCTTTCTTCCCATTGAGATATAGCTCTTGGGACCCCAGTTATGAACTACTGGAACCATTGACCGGAATTCTGCCAGCCAACAGTGATGTCCGATTCAGAATCAAGGCCCGAGGCCTGGCAGCTGTGTCTGTGAAAGCCAAGATCTTATACCCCCTTTCCTTAGGTTCAGATGGATGCTGGGAGGGAATCTGCACAACAGCAGGTTGTAAGGAAATTCAAGTGTTGGTAACAAATAATTTAAACAAGGGCTATGCGTTGGTCCTCAGCTATCAAGTAAAAGTTGGTGTACATCAGTGACAAATGAGAAGTTCACATTCCTCTTAATTTTCAAGTCAGTCACTCACATGCAGCAGCAGGTCCGAACAAATACAAATCATCTTGGCAAGCACAGGTCCACCATCAGAGCTTTGAAAACAGGTATTGGATATAGGTAGATTGGCATGTACTTTGATGTCCTCCTTATCAATGGCTTCAACTCACAATGATCTGTATGCCATTGAACGTGAAATACGTATCTTTATATTACAAAACAAACTTTTTTACTTTGTAGAATATCATAATGGAACTTTTCAGACTCAGAGACTGTAATGGAGAATTCTCCAGGTGCTTGTAATTAGGAAATTGGTACTTGATTGAAGTATCTTGTTTCTATGTAGACAATTTGTATTACAAGGGCTTTAGAACTGTACAGAGCGCATGACGTGAGGCATTTCTGTTACTAATGAACCTTACTAGTAGAAAAATCTATATGTATGTATCATATTCTCTGTCACTACAATACATGAATGTAGATGTTTAAAAGACAAACTGTAAATGGATATATGTTTCACTGTTGTACATATTGGCGAGCCAGTTCTTTGTTTGGTCAAATATATTGTTTATAAAACACACTACCAAGTATAGTATGCCAGTATATACTACCAACGGCTTGTGAAACAAACTTAATTTATGGCTTTCCATATGGAGATTTAAAACACACACTCACACACACTTGATTTTTTATTAAGTAATTAAAAAAAAAAAAGTAATAATCCAGCTGTATCTTGAATTACTGATCGCTCTGAAGGTTTGGGTAACAACTGTAATACAGCATTTAGGCATAATGAAATCTAGATTATAATAATAATAATAATAATAATAATAAAATGCTTGTAAAATGAATAACGCATGCAATTTAAACATTTGAAGTTTATTTCTGATGCACCCTTCCTGCACTGTGATGTTATAAGGTTGTGCCTATGGCTTAGTGGGATAACAAGAAATGTAATGTTTTATGCCATGAAATGACTACTGCCACAATAAGGAAAAAACGATTATTTTATGTGTAAATGAAATATATATCATAAATTACTATTTTGTAAGATGCAACTTAGAAAAGATAGGAAAAAGATTTATACATAATTCCCTAAAATATTTTTTGAAAAATAAAACTCCAACATACTTTGTTCCTGAGTTGTTATATAAATAACTCTGAGTGCCACAGCAGTGCCTTTGTTAAGATTCAAGATGGATCCCTCAATAGCTTGGGAGCCTTTAAAGTAACACTTCAAGAAAATGAATGGTTTGTGTTTTATTTTTTTACGGAAGTTTAGCTCACTAGTCATCCTCTCACTTTGGTATTGAAAGGATTAAAATTTAGGTAAACGGACCTTTATTTCAGAGCCGAGTTTCCTTGTTGTAGCTACGATGCACCTGTTGTGAAGTCATCATTACTGGTGGCTTGTACCCAATCAGATGCTTCTCATAAGGAAGCATTTGTACATATGGCGCTTGCGCAGCAATTGCATCAATCCGCCAACAATGCTTTTCTATGAGAATCACTCACTTCCATTTTGAACTATAGTCCAAAGCATATAAGACATGAAACATTTCCTGCTGTTTGCTCAACAGCTTAGATGGTTTACTGGGGTGGAGTTGATAAAAGTGAGGATTTCTATTGAAACAAAATGATAGGATACGCAGCTTAAATGTCCCTCTACAACACATATTATATAATGAACGGAATAAAAAAAAAAAAAAAAAAAGCTAAATATTTCATGTAGATTTAAACTTATAAGTAAGCCATAATGGTCTGTCTGCATTATATTTGCATGTCTGATGTCAAGTGAGAAAAGAATGGAATGCCATAGTGTAACAGGCCATCTTAAAGTGGCTCTGTCACTCTGTACACACCTGCTTTTGTTTTTTGAGCATTTCATAAAGATAAAGTAGGAACTAATAGTAAATCCTCTGCTTGACAAAACCTAAAAGGAGCAGCTACCTCTGACAAGTTTTGTCACTTCCCCCAGCCGTCACTAGCAATGGTTGTGGGAATAGGGCTTTATTTCACTCATCTCAACATAATATTTATGGAGGCACTCACAGGATCCTCCATAGACATTAGTGTTGTTTTTGTGCATGCGCAAGAGTACAGCACTGACATATGGCTCCTGGCATATGAAGGAGCAGAGGACTTAAGATAGGGACACTTGCAGAAAACAGCATCAGGTAAGTATAACTCACCTACACTGTGCCCCTGGACCATGGCACACCAATCAGCAATGTCACCATAGATGGTCTTTGCAAAATATGCAAATATCCCAGAATGTGACAGAGCGGTTTTAAAAACTGTATGTACTTTTGAGCATTGCTTGCTTTTTCTTTTGTTCCAGTGTATCTAAATGTGTGATGGCACTTCGTGTGTGTGTGTGTGCGCGTGTTGCTTCTGGCCATTGTAGAGCGTTATATTTTGGTGCTTTACAAATAAAATGTGAAACTTTGAAACCCATTTTTTGGTTGAGAAGAAAGTATAAAATCTACCAGTGTTATTCTCCGTACAACAGCCTTATAGATATGTAAGAGTATAAGTGCAAAAAATAAGCTAATATAATTTAGCAGACCTGTGTCTTTTAATTTTTTATAACTTTCAAGATTTCAAAGCAGTTGGCTTTGTGACATGGTAATAAAAGGATGCCAGTTTGGAAGTAAGCCTCCTGCTTAACAAGGGTAAAGTTAAGTAGCAGCTGCTGTTGGAACACAACTCACAATCTTCTTATTCTAGTATTACAATTTATAAGGTCCGTATCATTTCTTTCCTCTCCTTCAAACTATGAACTCAACTTTTTTGTTTTCCGTACAGCGTTTAAAAATGTTTGTTTCTGCGTTTATTGCTAATGGCATATGTGTTTGCTTTGGTCTTTATAATAATAAAATTACATTTTCTGGTTTGTTTTTATTTCTGTAAATGAGAACACACATTAGCAGTGAGGTATTTTGGCCTTGGACAACTAGGTGTAATTAATTTATTGTATTGAAGGTGGAGATGTCAGCCCTTTCACAGCTCCACCTTCTCCCCTCGTGTGTTTATTAAACTTGTGTTGAGTTGTGGAAGGTGCAGAAGGAGGAATTGGGAAGTGGAAGTACTGGATGGCTGGCATTTACCTGTTTACTGCACTTTCTTACTGTATCCCTTTACTGTTAACAGGCAAAGGGTGCACTTAGAAGCAGCAATGTTAGCTGTGTCTGCTGCATGTACTCATTCCTTACCAATAGACTTAAACAGTGAGTCTGCCATGTACATCTGAGCACACACAAAACACACTGTATGTACAGTATTACATCACATACGTAGCCACATACAAAGTCACGCTACATATGTAGGTGCGCACACTCAACATAAAAAACACCATGTATTATGTAAGAAGTACTGTCTGAATTTTACTCTAACTGAAACATTCATTAAATAATTAAACCTTGTGTATTTACAGTTATGTGAGTATACTTGCACAGACACACACTGGACACATATATACCATGTATATGGAAAATAATATCACTGAGGGGAGTTTATACATTTGTTGCTGTCTTTAGAACCAGCACTAGGACACAGATTGTTGGAACCAGCCCTGTGGTGTCAGTAACCGCGTGAATGTCCGTGTTCCCCTTAGACCTGCAGTGTTTACATTTGTCAGAGAAACTGCAATGTTAAGTCCACCTGTAGTGGTGGTCTTCCAGGTCTGGGAAATTACATTGAATGTCCTTACGCTTTACATCAGGATGTCCAACAATGAGATGAAGTGATCTGGGTGCCTATAGTGTCCCTTTGATGACCCCTTGTGTCTCTTATTACACTGAGTTAACCAATGAATAAACCACAATGATAAATTACAGAAAAACGGTTTAATAATAAAATAATTTATTAAAAAAAGATAAAAAGGTCTCTAAAAATAAATACATTCAGATAAGTAAATACAGCATTAAGAGAAACTAGAGGGAGTTTGAAATTAGCTGGAACATTGTGATAACTTAACTGAATGCAATCACCCATAACGTATACTTATTTATATATAAAAAAAAAAAAGTTGTAGTTTAAAATTCAATATTTTGGTCCTTCATGTAGTGTGCCAGGATATCCAGACATTAACATCAAAAAGTCCTGTCTTCATTGACTTGCCCCTTTGCTCCTCATGCCCAATAAGCCAAGGCTTGCAATGCTCATGCTTGGCTACAACACACTGAGCCAAGTTCAAGACAAACTAATTCTCCACGACTGGTTTTGCACACAGTAGTTCATAAATGCGGTTTGCAATTTAAATCTTCATATCAAAAGATGGCAACAGACATTTCAGCTTACTGTGGCTGGCTCACCTGTGACACCATGTGGACACAGAAAGAACTTTACTCTATGCCGCGGGATCCTTTACAGAGGATATCTCAGGTCATTTCCACAGTGATTAATGGCTTTTCTACTGCCAGATTTAATTATCTTGCCTGGGTGAAGTGCTGCACTGTCCGCTGGCTATCCTGCTTTAGCTCCTCGATGTGAGAATCTAGACGCTGCAGGAGATCCTGCGAACGGAGCTCTTCCTCTTGCAAGAAGCGCACAGCTATAGCACTAGCTGGAGTGGAAGGAGGCATGGGGAGCTGGAAAGGAGGAAAAAAGCAATAATCACAGACCAAGAAAGTCAGGACACAGGACATGGTTACTGGGCGAGTTAATTAGGCATTAAAGGAACAAAACTAAAACGGCATTAAGAAAGGCCTGCTGCCTGGAGAAAAGTGGCATAATGCACTGTGCACAGATAAGTGAGCAATCATGGGCAATGCTTCAGGAATGTGAACTGGAGCTGGCCACTCTCTCCCTCTCAGGAGGATCTGTAACAGCTGCTCCAAGCATGCTTTACACCTTTATACCAATTCTACAGAGATTTAATAGTCCTGGCTGTGTTCTACTAAAGATAGAGAAGGAAAAGTCTAAATAATTATGGATTTTGTTATTTTAAAAGTAAACCTACTGAAATACTGATAAGCTTTCTGAATAAAAATAAAAAATATATACGGATAAAAATGCTAATTTTTTAAAGAATATATATTTCTTAGTTCATAAAAAATAAATAAAAAATAGCTCCATAGACCTAATCAGGGAGAAAAAAAAAAATTCAAAAAAATTACAAAAACAAATGCTTTTGGCACAATATCAACTAGGATACCTGCCAAACTCAACAGCATTTTCACCATCTTTGCCAATTTACAAAATGAAAAATCTAAACTTGTCTGGGTATTAATTTAATTTAAAAAAAATGCCCAGTAAAATTTTTGCAAAAAAAAAAAAAAAAAAACACCCTGAATAAGCAGCTGTAATATCTGTCCTTACTGACATTGGAAATGATGATTTAATTTTCCTATATACTCCTGCTCTACCTAATCGATGTGTCCTTAAAATGTTAATAAAACAAAATTGTATTATACCAAAAAATAATAATTTGAAAAATCTACAAGACAAACCGCTGCTTCAGCTTCTTATATAGGTATATTAAAGGGTTACTCCAAGAACAGAACACTGTTTCTTTATGGTGTAACTCATACTGTGCTGGTCCAGAGGCCAAATTTAAAAATATATAAATAAAAATAATCCTAAAAAAATAAATAAAAAAAAATTACTTCCATTCCAGCACTGAGGCCAACTTGTCCCTTAGACCAATCCTCCTCCACTGACGTCACTAAAACTAGCTGGAAGGGACAGATGTCAGGGAGGAAGGATAGAGGGATGGGCCATGATGCCAATCACAATCATGCTTGCTTCACAGAAAAACGCTGCACACGCTCCAGCTACCATGACTACTTCAAATCAACAAAGTTATCATGGTGCTTGGAGTAACTTTTAACAAGAAACACGTGATGTTAGGAATCCACTAAAATATGTTAGAAATACAAAGCATACTTACTACAGACACACATTCTGATGTGGACTCTCCACTTGAATCCCCCTCATTCCCACCTGCACCAGGTGACCTCTTTATATTTCCCTTCCAGACATCAGAAGACATGGACTCCACAGAACTTGTCCTACTGAGGCTAGTTACATTGGAGGAAGGAACAGCTTGTGAACGCAAAGCTTGAATTTCTCTAGTGTAACGTTCTGAGAGTTCATTTATTTTTTCCTTCATTAATCTCATTTCCTCTTCATGTTCTTTCAGTAACTCACGTGATCGTCTGTAGTGAAAAATGCAACAAAAAGCACAGACACCCATTATTGGCTTGCTTACTAAACCGAATCTTTGTGTCCTCCTAAAGAGAAACCAGCCCTGGGAAGGAGAATACAGAGAATGACTCAAAAGGCCATTGCTTTATTTTCATGGTTACACCTTAAAAAGCCCTTAGTTGCTGCTTTACTGAATTTGCCTCAAGATTGAGAAAAAAAAAACAAACAGTCATGTTCTAAGTGTATAAATGTATATAAGGAAAAAAAATAAAGCATCCATAAATACTACTCTATATAGCATTTGAATGCAGAAATAAAATTCATTTCCAATAGGGTTTCTCTTTCTTAGGGTTTTAGGGGCAAATGATCTCGAAGTGCATGTAGTATTATTATCGGAAAACCATTTTATGTCAGAGCTCGAGATACAATGAATGATGGTCATTACCTCTCCGCAGCAGCCTGGATCTCAGACTGTTGGGTCTGTAGAATGTGGTCCACTTTCCTTTGTGCCTGTGACAATTCCTGACGCAGGTTTTCATTCTCACTCTCCAAATTGTCCAAAGCCTATACAATTTACATAAAATATAAACGTACAAGGAAAAAAAAAAAGTACAACCGTTATGTATGTGCAATTAATGGTTATTTAAATGATCAAGAAACAAGAATAAAGATGGAAAACAAATTGTAGCCAAAATGGGAACCGTAGAAATATATGTATAATACTGAATCAGCATTTAAAAAAAAAAAGTTAAAATGTTAAGCCATTATTGCTACATATCATAGCATGTACTTAATTTTAAAAGGGACACAATAGTCACAAGAACAACTACAGCTTATTGAATTTGTTCTGCTGAGTAGAATCATTCCCTTCAGGCTTTTTGCTGTAAACACTGTCTTTTCAGAGAAAATGCAGTGTTTACATTACAGCCTAGTGATAACTTCACTGGCCACTCCTCAGATGGCTGTTAGAGATCCTTCCTGGGTCATGGCTGCCTAAAATGCATTCAAACATTCAGTATCTCCTCCCTCTAAATGCAGACACTGAACTTTCCTCATAGAGATTCATTGATTCAATTCATCTCTATGAGGAGATGCTGATTGGCCACAGCTGTGTTTGAATCATGCTGGCTCTGCCCCTGATCTGCCTCTTTGTCAGTCTCAGCCAATCCTATGGAGAAGCATTGTAATTGGATCAGGCTACCACTTCTGATGATGTCATCAGACTGCTTGGTTTTTTTTTAGCCAAACCGCATGCAGATCTACAGCTTCTGGCTTGAATACAGTAAGATTTTGCTATATTTACGGAGGAATGAGGGCCCAGAGGGGCTAGATGGTGGTTTTAATACTTTAGGGTCAGGAATACAAGTTTATGTTCCTGACCCTATAGTGAGTGATTCTTTACGCATAAAAAGGGGTAATTGCAATTAATGTAAGAAATAATCAGAAAATTGTAAAAAAAAAAAATTATAATAATTTATATGAAATACATATCCAAAATCGGAATCCCCACCGATTTTCATCGGGGACCCCCCAGATTTGGACAAAATGTCCAAAAACTGTTTGACCAATAACCGGGGTATGGTGCCCGCAGGCCGATAGCATCACAAACCCTTACCCTATCAGGTACCCTTACCTTTTGTGTCACTATATCCCACTCCCTTTAGCATGTAAGCTCATTGAGCAGGGCCCTCAACCCCTTTGTTCTTGTGCGTCCAACTCGTCTGGTTACAAATACGTGTCTGTACAGCGTTACAGAACTTGTTGGCGCTTTATAAATAATAATAATAATAATAATCAATCGCTACAATAGCATGTTGTGGTTTTGGAACATAAAGTGCTAATTAAAGTCAAACATGTTTTGTTCTATATTATTGCAATAATACAGATATAAGCATTGTAGTATTTTCTTGCACTTTGCTTTACAAATTGCAACAAAAATGTAATTTTGGGGTGCCACACTAGTTCCTCCTAATAACCATAGGAAATCAGTGCAATTTTCAAATATGCCCTCCAGAAATTACCCTCTCCGCAATCAAAGTGTATAGGGAGATCTTGTCACCTGAATCACGTCTGGTTCTTGCTTCTCAATTATCTCTGACAGCTGACAGTTCTCCTTTCTTAAGGTCTCCAATGTTTCCAGAGAAACCTGAACCATTGCAAGAGAGCAAACGAGGAACTCATTAGTTAGAGGACAGAGTGATCTCAGTGCCCATGAGAGCTGGACACAAGAAGAATGCGTAAACGATCGAAGTTACAAACAGGTAGAGCCTGTACTGATAAAGAAAGATGAGACAGAGACAGAATAGAACATTACTTTTAATATAGGATCTTTAAAGGCTGTTTGGATTCTGAAGACTGAATCAGTCACTGGTCCTTACATGGTTAAGCAAGCAAGCAAAAGCAAAACTACAATACTATATGAAGTGTCACTATATAATTTTGTAATATACAATGGCTAAGTTATACATTTAATATTACCCAAAAAGTAAGGCCTTGGGTTATTGAGTCAGTTTAAAAAAAACAAAAAACAAAAAACAAAAAAAAAAACCTCTGGGAGAGTTAGAGACAAAGATATTGAAAAATTAGCTCTACTTTTAAGTGAGTTTTTTTTTCATACGACTAATGATAAGACATGGAATAATGCACAAACAATGAGTCAACAGATGGTCTTGGTAAACAGCAAAATATATAAAATGTGATAAAAATCATTTTGGAATTAGGGAAGATTCAGTGGAAAATTAAAGAAAATAAGCAAGTGAAATTAAATATAAGAGATTAAAAATAGGAGCACAACAGACAAAAGAAAGATAACAGATTTAGCAATTGATCTCACACCTTGTGATCTGCTGCTTCTTGCTCCAGTCTCTCCCTTTCAATCCTGGCTTTCCTCTCCCAATCTATGGTGGTGTTACCAGAGGAGACGATGGCAATATCTTTACGGTGCAGTTCCTGAGTCAGCTGTGAGATCTCTTTCCGCATTCCATCTAATGCACTGTTATAAGACAACTCAGCATGGCGTAGCTGATTCCTCAGCTATAGGAGAAATGTACAATTACAAGTCAGTCCAAACTCAATTGGACAATCCAAAATGCACAGTATGCAGTAGTGGTTATAGTGCCAGCATGTGGAAGTTGCTCTATAACAATATCAAGTCTGCCAATATTTGGACAACACTGCACCTAGACCACTTTATAGAGATGAAGTGATCTGTGTAACTATAGTGTTCCTTTAACTAGTGCCAAAGTGCAGAATTAGCTAAACTCCTCACCAGGAACAAACAATTCCTATGAGATCATTCACATTGCAAAACAAATGGAATTATTCACCCCTGAAATCCTTTCATTGTTCACATTGTTTACTGTGCACAGTTCTGGCATCTAAACAAGTAAGAAGTCATTTTAAATATGTTTAAAGCACTCTTTAGTTTGCTCAGTCTAACCTTCTTAATTTCTACAGAGCATTTCTTGTGTTCTTCTTCGACCAGGTGCAGAAACTCCCCTTTTTCCTTAAGTTCTTTGGAAAGCTGCTGGCACTGCATGGTCACGGAGCCAACACTGAAAGATTGACAGGGCAGATTTCAGTTAAGTGTGGATACTTTATCTGTTCTCTTATTAAACATAGGAACTGAAACAGGATCCACTGTGTTTATTAAGCATGCCACTGAAGGATGTCCGTAGGTTTTGAACAGCTGATATCTGGTTGTGCCCTCTGGGGTTATAATCAGCTTGAAGCAGAGTTAGGGGTGTCAGATACAGACCTGTCTTCCAAATGGGTCACTTCAGCCTGTAGCCTTTGTTCATTTAAAAGGCTTATGGATAGACGAGAATATACGGTGTCCACATCCAGTCGGCTGTCTGATAACCTGGACACCTTTAATTTTTCTTCTAGAGACCTGTGAAGGTTGTCAGAAAGTGAATAAAATTTAAAATCTACAAATGACCAATCATTCCACCATTGGGGACAGAAGTGGTACAGAACTATAACACAAAAATAGTTAATAAATGTGCTGAATAAAAGGGGCACTCTAAGGACTAAACACAAGAGCATATTGAAGTTGCCATCATATACAAGTGCTAGTTCCAATTCCGCAATTGCAAGGATTTTCTGAAAGAATCAGTTGACATTATTAGTAGTAGTATTATTATTATCATTTATATAATGCCAACACAAATTTAACATGGCACCTAAAATCAGAGATTGATTTGCCCAAGTGTAAAGCGTGCCAAGATCCTCCAGTGGAGCACATATTAACATGTCCGTGCAATGCGCCATCGACATTTCCGGAACAGACGTAGGCGGAACTTATAAAGGCGTGGAAAGCAGGCACCTGGTGTGCGTTCCAATGCAGAAGAAGAGAATAGGAAAGAAACACCTAGAGTCCTTCACTGTAAGAGGGAGGCCCTCCTTAAACACCTCATTTTTCCCCTGCAGAACATAGAAACGTGTGTGCCTACCTATCCCGAAGGCAGGCAGAGAACTGGGGTTTCTTAGTTGGGTTGGGGATTTTATACATTGTGGTTAAGAGTCTTAGGAGGAGCTTAACTGGTGGAAATCCCTGTTGTTGTGCACTGCCTCTAATCTGGAGTGAATAAAAGTAATTAAGCAGTCAAAGCAAACAATTCGCCAATCATTTCCAAACTGAGCAGAAAACAGTTGCCAAAGAGGGTTTGACAAATTCTCCTGCAAGCGATCAACTCACCAAAGCCACGGTCTGATGTCAGTGTTTGAGTATATGATTATATATTCAGATTGTGTATTGTTTTGTTGCAGTTACCTGATGCTATTCTCTTTGTCTTTCAAAGCCTCACTTGCCCTGCACACCTCTCGGTGTAGCTCCTCTTTCTGAGCTTTAGAGCCTTCCAGGAAGTCTGAATGAGCTTGCAGTGTCTCACGCAGTTCAACCTTCTCATCCTGGAGCACCTGTACAGACATTTTTATGAGAAACATGTTTAGAAATTATTGTAAAAAATCTAAACAAAAAAAACCACAAACTATTATTTGCTTACTTCCTGTAGCACAATGTGATAGAGAAGGAATATAAATAACGAGCCAGGGGTCATCAATATAATCCCCCCAATTTAACAGTGCAAAGACGCCTCCTTAACCCAATCCCAAAAATAAAAATATGTATTATCCAGGCTATTGGAGATACCGTTTGACAAGTTCACCAGCTAAAACTTTTGATAAAATAAATTTACATTAATTTCGAACATGATTGAGCCAGGACTCTGGCCTAAACAGAGTACTAAATCAAACCAAAATTCAAACATTTTAAAAAAGAAAGAAAACGGCCATTTCTACATGACCTTCAAGGTTGGCAGCATGGGATCATAACTAGAAAATAATGTGAATTTACCAAATTTCAGTAATATATTTATATATCAGAGGTAATCTAATGACAACTGCACAATCGACAATTAATCAAAACAAAACAAGGGTTTCATAAATAGTCTTTATATACTAACGTTTTCACAGAAATATAGAATAATCCTCATGCTCACCTGTACGTCTTGCTGGGCTTGCCAAAGCTCTTGCTTAACTCGTTCCTTGTCTGCAATCGCGTCCGCCAACTGTAGCTTTAAGGATTCCAACTCTTCCTCTTTGGCACAAATAGTGTCACTGGCACGAGAAAGCTGGCCACTGAGGTGCTGAAACTCCGATCGGCCAACCAGACTAGTCTGCTCCAGCATTTGCTTACGGCTGTGTGACTGTTGCTGGGGATCGAGATGGATTTTAAGTGTGTGCATGCAATTAATATGCACATAAAGACAGAATATTCAAAGCCACTGAAAGCAAGCAATACCAAAATATAATAAATTACATTCTGCAATAGCAGATTCAAAAGTTACAAAACTTTTCTTCAAACAAGCCATTGCCTTCTCCAGCAACACTAGATAAAACACAACTTGTATTTTATTCTTTCCTGCTTTTTTTCTTTGTAGTATTAGCCAACCATGCCTAAGTTGTTGCTTCTAAACCCAAATGACAACATTGCTCTACTAATGAAAACTATTTGGGCCCTAAATGTTGTACTGCAAAATTCAGAGTTATGATCCTATTAGTCTATCACCTTTTATTACCCACCAAAATCCATTTCTACTACCAAGTGTATGAGGTGTCATATAAACCACAGTGAGAGCAGTCAGATTATACATAAATAAAATTAAATCACCAGAAGGCATTGCACCAATGCATCTATTAGATAGTAACAGTTGCAATTAGAAAGTCTGATGGTGAATATGGCCCGCTGGGTGCCTATCACTGTCCAAGAGTACCTTGCAAATTCTTTCTGGAATCCGATGCTGGAATACCTACACATTTCTACTTTATAGAGATCTGTCTGCTCCTCTGCAGATATTTATAATTTAACATATCATTACTAAATTGCTTGCTCTATATAAACAGTGAGAGTGTGTCGGGTACCTGATTATGATATGGGGACCCCTAATTAAGATATCTATGAAAGAGCGAGGGGGGAGGAAAGATCGGAGGCAAACAAGAACTCATACCTCACAATTCTAACCTTTCCAAGATAGAAAGCAACCCATTTGAAATAATTAAAATATAACCTTTAATAAATTAAGTATAAAAACAAAATGTGTCAAGGTATATCTGATATAACAATAATGTAGCCTTAAGCAGGCTATGACAATACAACAAATCATCTATATGTAGAGAAAAAAATAATAAAAATGGAAACAAAAAAGACAAAAGGATAATAGGTAAATATCTACATGTAACAACTTTGGCAACTGAAGCCAAAGTTCTAAGTCAGCTGCCAAAGCTGGATTTATCCTAGAAATAAGGTAGTGGATAAAGCCAAAAATAATAATAATAATAACAATAATAACAACAACAAAAATTGTAAATAATAAACAAAGTCTAATATAACTGATGGAAAACAATGTAAAGAGGGAGGGAAGGTATACAGCCTGCAAAAGTAACAGACAGAAAATACGGAGTAGAAGAAGGGGAGAGATATAAACAGCAATTACGGATAGGAAAAATCTATAAAGAGAATCTCACCTAATGAGCTTTCCTGGGCACCCCTTTTAAAAAAATAAATAAATAAATAAAAATAAAAAAATCTATTTAAACACTCCTATCCGCTCAAAGTCAAGGAACCAGTAAGAAATAGACAGGAAGAGAGACACCCTCCCCCCACACCAACAGCTATCCGATAGTGAATTAATTAAGTAAGTAAAGTCAAACTAAAATCATTGCGTGGTGGCTGTCTAAATAATTTAAATTACACTGCAGCATCATCCCTGATCTCACTGCCAACCACTGCACTAAACTGTCCCGATGCGCGTTTCGCCAAATAATGGCTCTTCCAGGGGGTTATGTTTTAATTATTTCTAATGGGTTTCTTTCTATCTTGGAAAGGTTAGAATTGTGAGGTATGAGTTATTGTTTGCCTCCGATCTTTCCTTCCCCCTCGCTCTTACATAAATATCTCATTACTAAACACATATTTCTATCCATCTCATTAAGCATTTCCCCACTGTGATTGACACATTTTTTAGCCTATGAAAAGTAAGACAGACCCCAAGTTTTTACTAAATCATAACTACAAGTGGCAAAATGTCATATCAATATTATGTATCTATACACAGTCAATCAAACAAAGACAAAATATGCTATATGGAAGAGCCTGTGCTCAAAATGGAGACAGCATTGCAGTGGTTAAAAGACAAAGATTCTGTTCATAAGAATGCAAAATGTAGAATGTACAAAAAAATTGGCAGGCATTAAATATTGTAAAAAACAGGACAGGACAGACACATACCCAAACAAGGTGTACACAGGATAAATACAATATTTGAATCCTTACATGACACAGAAGTATAAAACATGCAACTCACTGCAGATCACTCCACTCATGACATAAAACTCATAATCTTTAGATATACCTGATACAAGTCAACCTGCTCTGCCAAAGTCCTGCGCTGAGCTTCCAGCCCAAAGACCTGCTGTTGATAAAGAAGGCGTTGTTTCTCCCAATCCAGAGACTTCTGCCGAAATTCCTATAAAACGCCATTTAGCATTTCTTACATCAATAGAAGTAGGTGTATTGCCAGTCAAATCATGTTTTCAACATTTTCTACTCTGTAGTGTGATGCAAAACTAAATGTCAGTGAAAATCAATCTTAGTGCAGACGTGTGACACACTTTTCAGGCTTAAAGGAACACTATAGTATCAAGCATACAAACATGTATTCCTGACACTATGGCCCTGAAGTGGCTGTTTAATAGCATTTGGAGGCTATTGCAAATGCGTGACAAAACGCAGCCAATCAACATCTTCTCACAGAGAAGCGATAAATCAAGGTACCCCTATGGGGAGCGTTCAGTGTCTCCATGCAGAGCATGAAGACGCTGAACACCAGTGCTGCACACTGGACTAAAACACCTCTAGTGGCCGCCTGAGTGACTGCCTCTAGATGTGCTACTAGACAGCAATGTAAACACTGACTTTGTTTCTGAAAATGGCAGCATTTACATTAAAGTGCCTGCATGGATGTGCTATAGACACCAGAACCACTATATTAAGCTCTAGTGGTTCTGGTGACTAGTGTTCCTAATGAAATTCATGAGTGTCATATTTCTACTGCTCTATAAAAACTATTCAAAATAAGTCAATAATGTAATATAAAATGTAGATAACTGTGAAACATGTGTTGGGGTAAAATAATGACTTCTCTGGATTCTGGAGACATACAAAAACCGCTTGACTTTCAATCTCAATTACATTATTTTTATTTAATACACAGTGGATAAAATATTTGTTGAGGTGAAACACATTCTGATTGATCTCACTACTTTACCTCTAATTTTCGCGTCAGACGGCCAACTTCATATTTCTCCTCTTCCGCTCGGCTCTTCATGTCAGAACGCTGGTGCTTCCTTTGAACCTTCTCATAACTTTTTTTCAACCTGGACAACTGAGAATTATGACATCTGGATAAGCCAGTAGAAAGTAACTGAATATACTACAGCTATGTTTGAGAATGCACCGTTCACATAAGATATTTAAAGAGATACAAAGTAAATACCGATAACATTGGCTAGAAAAGAATAGCCTCGGTTTACAGTGGTATGTTTAAAAAAAAAAAAAAAAGGATCAAAACTTATAACTGAGATAATGCATCTGCTACCTAATAACTGCCTCACAAACCTCTTCCTGAAACCGTGAGAGTTGGGTTTCATATTCCATGGTCTTTTCATGATTGCCTTCTTCGTGCATCCTGATCTGCTGTTTCAACGTCCTAATCTGCAAAAACAGAAGCACTGTATAGATAATTTTATAGAGTGAGCACTATAAAGCATGATGTACACAATATTTGGGACGATGACACACAAAATTGCAAAATAGGAGATTTATCTTGCTATACAATAGAACACAAAATCAATTATCAAGTTAATAATTATATACAGTCTACAAAGACCAGCAAGGCTGTCAATAAGGTCTACCCAATAAACTATTTTGGTAATAGGATGACAAACTTCTATTCATTGTTCAGCAGGATTAACGAGGACTCCGGTTCAAGTTCTGGTTAGATTCACCAATCACCAGATTTTAAAGATTATTCCCAAGTTGAATCCTAAAAGTGTCCAATGAAGCTTACCCAAGTGGAATCTTTTATGCAAGTTGTAAAATAAGATGTTTCTCGTAGGCCACTCGCTGTTACCTGCTACTACAAATTTTAACTTGGTTTAAAAATAGATCTGAGAAAAACACAGCTACCTAAAGTTCACGCAGTCTGTAGGCTGCACTATAAATGATTAGATATTTGGGTACCACAGTGGGATGTAGATTGCCCCTTAGATTTCTTCATCCCTTCATGGTTTGTACTACAATTCAACTCACCTCCTGGTGCAGTACAGCCTCCCTGGTTTGGGCAGAACTCAGTTCCTGATCTTTGATTGCTAAGCGTGAATTGAGCATCTGAGTCTGAGCTTCCCACTCCGATCTCTGGTGTTTCAACATTATGTCTATCTGTCTCATTAGTTCCTGTAACTCCAGCTCACAGGAGCCATATAGTATTCTGAAAAAAATATATTCAAAAGGTTAAACTACTTAGACGAATTTAAGAAAGCTAACATGATGAATTAATTTAAATTGGTCCAATTAAATCAGTTAATATTAAATAATCCCCTCCCCCCCCAAAAAATTTTTTTTTTTTTTTTTTTTTTAAAAAGGAACAGTAAGATTAAATCTATTTTCTGTACTCCTGTTATTTAATCTTCATCTAAATAAAAAAATAAAGTGTAGAAACCAAAACTATCCCTATTTAGAGCTTCAGGATGTACATTCACACATTGTCCTGTGGAATTTACGGTTTCACTAAATCCATTGTTTTTTTCTCCATTAACACAAGCAGGCGCAGCCCAATTCCTAAGGTTGCAAAACTGTCCATAAACTATCATATGTCCAAACTCCAGTTCCATATTTTGTGACCACTCCATGAGCATGCTTTCCTCAAGTGATTTCAATTCAATAACCATTTCTGAAACATATTACAATTTCTTCCACTTATATTTGGTGATAAAAATCTTCAGCAATAATGCAATAACTAGCGAAGCAGTGACAATTCTTTTTCAAGGTACATAAAAAAAAAAATGTTTTGATTAGAGCAAAATTCATAAACTACTGCAATAGCAACAAGCAAAGTCATTTGGTTTTTCCTTTCTTATCACTAAAAGGAAAAGTCCAAACGTTTTTCTAAAGCTAGTGAAGATTCGAATTTCAGGTTATTTACAGGTTCATCTTATTCATTCTCAAACAGCTGAAGTAGATACAGTTGGGAAAAAAAAAAATCGTATTCTCACCGACACTTCATTGATTACTTCACACTTAATTTTCAAATAGAAATATCAAATTCATGCTGCAGAGTGTGACTGAGAAGCTACTCACCCCTTTTTATCCTGTTTTTGAATTCTTTCTAGCAAGGCTTCCATGATTGCAGTGCAAAGCTGCCAGCGACTGAAATAAAAGAATACATCCAGTAAAATGGTTTACTTCATTTGCAATGTGTTTTAAATTATAAAAAAAAAACAACTGAGATTTCCCTGTGTGAAATATGTTTTAAAAGCACAAATATAAATACAATGTTACTACACATTTAAAATGTTACCTATAAAGTTACACTAATAGACTAGAACCAAATGTAAACATGTTTATCTTATACAAAACTGCAAAGAAAATTATTTTTTTATACAGCCAGATACAATCATTATAGGTAACTTTAAAAGTCAAGATTACTTATCCAAGTGACCAAACTAAAAATTATGTTTCAACAGCATAATTATCTATTAATTTAAGAATTAGTACTTACCTTCTATAAAGTTCAAGTTAAGGTATTTATAAATGGTAGGTGCTGGCCACGTTTTAAGACAACATGCAAATTACACCATAAAAAACGCATTCCACTGCTACAGACTTATCTGTCACCTAGGAATGTAAAAATATATATTATAAATAAAAAAAGGAAAATTAGTGGCTTTTGTTAAAGGGACACTAAAACAAGATGGAACTGTTAGTAGTAAAATTGTGTTTTTGTTTTGTGGTTGATTTTGGTCTATAAGTGTGAATGGTTAGGGAATTGTCTATTTTGGCCTAAAATGTGAAATTCACTATTAAAGGGACTCTCCAGTGCCAGGAAAACAAACTGACGGGGGAGACCTAATGCGCATGCATGAGGACGTCCAGCGACGCTATAGCACAGAAAATCTATTAGACAGCCACTAGAAGAGGAGTTAACCCTGCAATGTAAATTAACCCTGCAATGTAAATATTGCCGTTAATGAAAACGGCAATATTTACAGTTGCAGGGTTAAGGGTTGTAGGAGTTGGCACCCAGACCACTCCAATGGGCAGAAGTGGTCTGGGTGCCTGGAGTGTCCCTTTAAGGTTGTTTTCATTAAAGGGGCTAGATTCATTTGAGTGAATTAGTTTTCAGGGCTGGCCGTCCAATGTGAGGAATACTATGTGTTGTTACTTGCAATGGGCAGCCAGTGAGACAGAAATCAGTTGATGCTCTCAGCCAATCATCGGTGCCCAATACTTCCCTTCTCTGCTAATTAAGATAAAGTGGTTTGGAGTGAAGAGAGACCCTTTAACCCCTTAAGGACACATGACAAGTGTGACATGTCATGATTCCCTTTTATTCCAGAAGTTTGGTCCTTAAGGGGTTAAAGAGGAATGGTCACTTCCTCAAAATTTAGCATAACCTAAGGGCTAACTAAAACTTTTCTATAGGTCATGATAAAATGTATATGCTTTGCCAGATTAACTCTCCCACTGTCGTACGCACAGCACATGTGTGTATACGTCACTGCTGAAGTACATTTTTCGGAGAAACCCGAGCATGCATGCAGTAGTGGGAACTAAGGGACACGGATGTTGGAGCACAGAGAAATGCAGCAACGTTTTTTCACTTACCTACGCTGCTATTTTTTTTTACCCCGGTAAATGTTTACGTGGGTAAAGGAACAGGAATTGTCAATTCTCTGGAAGGGACAGTCCTGCTTTAAACTGTAGTGAAGTGAAAATTGGTTTGCAAAATTAAGGGTACAATAGCCAAGCTTTGACTAGAAATAAGTTGAAGAATTTCTCCAAATCATATAGGTTTGTCTCAATGTTGCGATTTAGAAAGCAATCCACTAAAAATCCAGTTTAGAGAATAAGTGTTGGAATTTACTTTGAATTACTAACAATTCACTTGATAAATAACTTTGTGAGTATTCTTATATAAGGTGTCAACTTTGGGCATCTATTTATGCCCAATAATCTAATCTAAATAATGACTAAAAAAAAAAACTTTTCAAGAACACTCTGGGCACCATAACAACTTAATCAGTGCAAAGTTGTTATTGTGCGAAGATGTCACAGATTCCGTAATGGGTTAAACCCAAAGTCTTTAAGTCAGGTCTTGAACTTCCACTCACGTCCCTGAAGCTTCAAACAGGAAGCATTGGAGCGAATTGATAGCTGATAGAAGAAGGCTGAGCGCGTCATGGGGAGAGCGTAGAAAATATATGTACCTTTTTGAGAGTGTACATTTATGATCATACAATGGGTCATGGAGTTCCTGAGATTAGCCGGAGTTAAACAACCTGGCTATACCTGCTAACGATTCTTGAATCGTACCCCACCAGCGAGCACTATGAGGGTTATTGACAGAATTCCAATGGTCCAGATTAACAAAATAATCCAGTACCACGCACGAGCATCCGGACTGCATATTGGATTTCATTCTGTCCAGATTCAATCGAACGGCTGATTCTAGACCAGAATGAAACCTCTGGGACTGAACAGGATTAGACACGGTCTACAAATACACACAATGCAAATCCAGCCATCACTGCGCAAATCTGCCATTAGCACCCACCATAACGATAACTCCAATCAACAAAGGGTTAACTCCACACAGGTGTCCCATATCCCTCAATTATAAAAACAACGTTATTACGATATTATAATGCATTTATAATACACTCCTATGAATTAAATATATATATTATTTTAACATTTAACCTGCTGGCTTGTTCCTATAATTCAATTGCTTCACTATTTATACACAGTATATAGACACACACAATGCTATTTATATACCACATATAATATGTATACACAGTATATACTTTTATATTATATTATATAAACTTGTAAAACTGCATCTTATTTTAAAAATGAACACAACGTATCCATTGTATAAAATACTAAACACAGAGATTGATTAGCCAAGGATGGCCAAACCGTAAGCCACCATGTGGTGCAGGACTACGACTCCCATGCTGCTTTGTGAGCCTTACAGGTGGGAAAGCATCATAAGAGTTGCAGTTCGAAAAGAAAAAAAACCTGGGACATTAACGAGCTGACCCTCCCAGAATTGGAATCTGTTTATAGAAACTGAATGGGTGTTATTTACTACAGCTGCCCTCCCGCCAGGTCACTGTACAGCTAATACAAACTAAGGGCAATTCGTGACGGTGCCAGTAACCAAGATGGGCGCTCAGGGCATTTCCCGCGCTGCCAGCCCCGCCCACTCTCATTAAACAGTTAACAAGGGCGCGAGGCCAGAGCACGCGGCAATCGCCAACATTCCAAATGGCCGTTAGGCCGCGAACGCTCACCGCACTCACCTGACCCACCAACCACTGTCAGCACGCCCGACCCAGAATCCTTTGCAGTGATGGTGGGGAGGGGAGGGAGCAGCAGCAGCCAATCACATGCTCCGTGTGAGCGCGCGCGCCCTATATTGAATGGGTGTCAGTCAGTGTGTGTTTGCAGTGATCCTCTCAGTGCTGGGGCTGGCAGAGCATCATGGGAAATGTAGTACTCAATCTCTGGAGGGGTCAGAGGGAAGCTTTGCTCTATATAGGGAGTTAGAGGTGTGGCAGGCTGGCCCATTGGTTTATATGTAACCCTAAAACACCAGCTGTGTGTAAATGTAGGGAGTTCTGTTGAAATAATAAAGCTGTCAGTCCCAGTGAGCATGGGCAGCGTTACCTTACTATATACATTACAGATATAAAGGTGTTAATGTGGCTCATTAGGTGCGGCTTACAGCGCGCGTAATGCAAAATAAAGGATGTCATTCAGGGTTGTTCGTATAGCACCGACATAGTCCGCGGCGCTTTACAATTCTAGAATGGAGATAATGGAACTCGGTGACGTGATTGACATACAATGTATTCACAGAGACCAGAGGCGAAGAAAGAAGCCCTGCTCAAACAAGCTCACAGTCCGTGATCACTATAAGTGGCACTGGTCTGCTACTCGCTTTATACATACCCCCCCAAAAAATGGTACCCGAGTATTGACGGCCCTCAACCGCCGTTCCTGTGTGTCCAACTCGTCGGGTTACATATATGTGTCTCAGTCCACCCATTGTACAGCACTGTGGATCATAGACATGTAGAGGTGAATTCCTGGGCATTGCCTACTGTCTCTGCCCTCGGGAGGGAACACACAAACAGAAACTGATCGGCGTGGTATATTTAGTGGCCCTTATAGCAATGGCCCAACTGTGCCTTAAGGACTCAGCTTCTGGAATAAAAGGGAATCATGACGGAATATTTCCGTCATCTGTCCTTAAGGGGTTAAATCTGAGATACTACCAATAGCCCATGGTATTATTAAACTGAAAGATGACAACTACTTGATAGACCAGTTGACAATGCAAGTTAGGGCCCACTAGTCCCCAGCATTGTAGGAATGTTTTAGGTCTCTGTTTTCTGTTTTTCTTTGTATGGCCTGTGTGCACTGTGTACTAACTTGACACTTACCTGTAAGTAAATCATCCTGGCTCACCACAAAGTACTGGAAAACCATCATTGGCACACTATTTACTTTCTTTCTGTGCAATGTTATTTCTAAAAAAAACAACAACAAAAAAAAAACACTGCAGGAATTTGTGGTCACAAAGTGTTTGCCTTCAATGATACAATGTTTGTCTGTGACTAAATAAAGAATTTTAAATAAAAATAATGTTTACAGGATACTCCAGTGTTAAAAATAATTCCATTTATTTATGACGCTCGAGTGTTGTAAAGTGTATTTATAGTACTGGTAAAAAGGCTACTTTATATCAAATCCAGCGGTGAGGGTCTTTTTGCTGCAGCTGTGCTCCACCCCTAAGAGATCTTCACTTGTGATGATCCCCAGCCAATCCCATGTTTCTCATGGATAAGTATTATGAGGCAGGGTGTGTGTGTGCAGCAATCGGCGAACTCTTCTCAAAGTGAAGTTTTAAAACCAATGTTGCTCTTTTATAAACTTCATCCACTAACAGCCAGGAGAGTGCAGCCTAGGAGCTTTATAAAAGTACTGATTCCTCTCACAGAGAAGCATTTGGGTCCCTACTGCACATGTGTTGCCCAGTCAGATGCTTCTTATTGAGAAACATTATCCCAGACTCTCAATTATTTGAAGTCTTCAGATTATATCTGATTGAAAGCCAATAAAGGCATTGATTGACAAATGTAGACATTGCCGTTTCTTAAAAATGGCAATGCTTACATTTCTCAGAGTACAGGGACAAGGTCTTTGGGCCAAAACCACTACACTAAGCTGTAGCAGGTTTGGTGCTTAGGGTATTGCTTTAACGATTCAATTTGTTTCATGTTAGGCCCTTTAATTAGTGCAAGTTTATTCCCTATTACTTTTTTGACACATCTCTCATTACTGCTAATGAATGCAATGACTTCACTGGTCTAAATCTATGCTTTTAGAAGGTTTACAGTGACATAAACTGAGCCCCCAGGTCTGTTCATATTAATCAGACACTGAAATCAATAACTGCTTCTTATGTGATTTACAAAAAATATTTAGTAAAAGCAGAATTGTTGGGAATGCAAAGTGAATTTAAAATTTAAGGTGAACAGGAAGAGTAGCTGAACTGGAGATTTTTTTTTCTAGTTCAGCTATTTGACCCTAAATGTGAAATTTCCATTGAATTCCTGGCAATTCTCGCTTTAGTAAATGTCACCTGTCAGTGGAGAATTGGACACACACCATTCTTCAGCACTCTGATTGTGCTTGATGCTTGCAGCAGGGCCTATATTTCAATACACAGCAATTAAAATGCTATTATGGTAACCATAACCACGTCAGCTGATTATGATGGTTATGGTACCTTTGGTGCATGGGAGCTAGGTCCTCGGTCCATAGAATCCTACAGCTTGACAATTATCGTCCATGGAGCCGTGCTGAAGAATGCCGGGGACCAAGCACCTCTGTTAAACAGTGAGTAAACTATTTAGCAGTAATGCGGGACCCGGCGCCCATAAACTTCAGAGAGGACATCACGAGTAACACATCCCACATGACTAGCAATGTCCATAATGGGCACACTGCCAGGCTACCTACCCAGCTCCCAGGTTTCAGGAGCAGGGTACAGCGCGATAGAATTTACTGGCGCTATATAAATAATAAAATAATAATAATACAACCCTCTGCACAGTGCAAGAGCATCTAATGAGTTACTTGCGCTGTTCTGCCCACTGGCAGTTTTCTAGTGTCCCCAGATGTGGGACAGGACCTGGAAATCTAGACTGGCCAACCTTAATTGGGACTGTCTCACTGATATGAGGACTACTGCTAGGAATGCTGCTTTTGAAGTGGCTATGGTGACTGCAGTGTTTTTTCAATGTCATTACTCTGGAACTCATTTGAGATGTTTTCACTGATTGTTAAACAAGGATCAACAAAGATATTGCCTTTAATATGACTGCTTTCACAATTCCAGTGTTCAGTTTGTTAGAAAAGGTTATCTGTGCCTTACTCACAATCTGATCCATAGAGACACTGTTCCAGCATGAAATGTTCTGCTTATTGACCATCTGCTTGATAGATGGCTGCTAACTCTAAATTAGCCTTACATTCCATGTCAGAGTAATGTTTCTAAAGACCAGATTGTTGTGACTATATAGGCCATCATTGTTCCTTTCTTAATCACATGAAAATCAAAAGTAATTGCCAAATATTACCCATGTCTCCCTTCATCATGCACTGAACACTAATTTAACCCCCTTTAGGACCAAATGTTACACTTTTTCAGACATAACAATCGTGTCCCCAGAGAACTTATGCTGGAATGGAATGTCCCCCTTGTCTGTCACTTCTCCCTGCAGCCATGCAAGCTTTAATTTAATGGGCTATTTCAGTTTAGAAAAGGATCTTTTCTGTTGATTGCACAGGTCATTGAGGGGTTAAAGGCATGCTGGTATAGATATCTTTATATTTCCAGATTTTTTTTCTGTATTAATGCGAAAGCAGTAGTCTTACAAACTATACTAAGTCCATCAAGATTATCTCTCTTTCGAGTGGGACATATCATCTGTCTTGTTCTATTTGTAAAATGTAATATTTAAAAATGTGCAATTTTAATATTGCTTTATTTACTAAAATGTCAAATTAGCTGTCAAAAAAGCAAGAATGAAAAGAAAGCCCCAGAGCAGGTTCATTCATAAATGTCTTGCCATATGACCTGCAACGTCTTACTCTTAGAAAGGCTTCCCATTAATCCATAGCCAAGAAAGTTATGGTGGAAAAAAATGTGATTGAAAACCCCTTCCACCTGAAGTCAGTAGATAGTTAATACAATGTTAAACAAAGATCTGCACACCAGTCAAGCCACAAGACTTGCTTTTCCCACAGAAATCACAATTTTGCAGTGATGTTACTACCACAAAGGATTCTGGGTGGGCATATGCAAATTAGTTCAAGAAAAAAAATCACATTTTTGCCTCATTCCATTTCAAACATGGATTCCTTGGAGTTTGTGTTTGCTGTATACAACAGCTTTGAAACACAACTGAGGGAGAGATGCAAAGCCAGTGAACCACTCATGGACAGCTGTTTCGTTATTAATGCAGCTCATCAGCATGAGGTTGGTTATTGGCTTGCTATAACATTGTATTGACTATCCACTGGCTTCAGGTGGAAGGGGCTTTCAATCACAATTTTTTCCTCATCATAACTTTCTTGGTTTTTGCTTCACAAGTACTGCCAAGACTCAATAGCAAGCCAGTAACCAACCTCGTGCTGATGAGTTACATTAACAACGAAACAGCTGTCCGTGAGTGGTTCTCTGGCTTTACAGCTCTTCCTGAGTTGTGTTTCAAAGCTGTTGTATACAGCAAACACAGACTCAAAGGAATCAACGTTTAAAATGGAATGAGGCAAAAATTAATTGTTTAACATTGTATTGACTGTCCATTAATCCATAATTTACGTTTATATTTCTTGATACATAACGTTCTTATAACTACGAATAAGTGCTGTAAATCGCACAAAATGCAGAAGTTTCTCATTATAATTTTTAACATGTTTTGAATAAAAGTGGATTTTTTTTACTGAATGTCCTGGAGCCCGTTGCCCATTCTTTGCATTCCCGTTGCTGAAAAATAGTTGAATACATACCAATTTGTTTTAGTTGGAAGAATGGACTGAGTTATGTAACTTTTAAGCAGTTCCTGATTTGGGAATAGATATTACTATAACGCAACTCTTGAAACTTAATGATTCTCTTTTTATTGATCTCAGAGGAAAGGCTAGCCCTGCTAAAATTAGAACCACTAATATCTAATCAAGTACCATGTTTTGGTAAGTCGTCAACTGGCTTTTTGATCTGATTATTATATGATCACTAGATTATTATTTAGCAGTATTAGTAATATTTAAAAGGCCTCAACAATCAATGTGGCACTGGATATCATATTATTTACTAACTAAATGGGGTTTGTTCGCTACACCGGGAAGCACAGAGACTTAACAGAATAATGAAAATTTTTAGGCCAGGATAGTCCAATTGGAGACATTTGCAATACTTTAGTTATTTTTTGGCAGGACCATCATAAGGTGTGCACCATACCATACAGGGTGCTCAATTCCATACCATACGGGGTGCACCATCCCATACGGGGTGCTCAATTCCTTACCATACGGGGTGCACCATATCATATGGGGTGCTCAATTCCTTACCATACGGGGTGCACCATATCATATGGGGTGCTCAATTCCATACCGTACGGGGTGCACCATACCATACGGGGTGCTCAATTCCATACCGTACGGGGTGCACCATACCATACGGTGTGCTCAATTCCATACCGTACGGGGTGCACCATACCATACGGTGTGCTCAATTCCATACCGTACGGGGTGCACCATACCATACGGTGTGCCTAATTCCATACCATACGGGGTGCACCATACCATACGGGGTGCACCATACTTCCCGACATTTCAGATGGACAAAGAGGGACTCCTTAATTTTAGGGATGTGAGTGCAGGTATGACCTAATAATATGATAATAATATGACCTACTAATAATAATTAGTAATAATTTATGGAATTAAAATGTAATTTAGAACAAGAACAATGTATCTTATATAGACAGACTGATTTCTAAACACATATATTTTAGTTTAAAGACACTTTACTATGAGTATTATTGCTGTGGAACTCTTTTATACACTCAAACACACCAACAATATGGAGCTCCTAGTAAAGAGGGAAATTAGGAGAGAAAAGAGGGACAGAGGGATTTGGCTCAAAATAGTAACTGACCCTTTTTATAAAGGGACTGTTAGGACACATCGTTGTACTCCAAACAAGCTTGCAAGGGGTGTTTAGTGTGGTGGTTGGGGAAATGTATCGTCCCCCACAGGGCCACAATGAAGATATTAAAAGGATGTGACCACCTTACCTTAAAGCATTGCCGTCTCCCTGTGCATTCTGCATCCTGAAAGGATGTGATATCAGCGTAAGAAGCTAAACAAGACAGCAAAAGGAGCAAGCAGATTGTTACAGCCACATGCTCACCACTAGACCCCCAGCGAAGCCACTTATAAGTAGGGAAATCGTAAGGTGGCTTAACTGATGTATAGTAAAAATTCTGATGTGTGCCTTTTTGTCTGATAGCGAGGTTATAAAAGTCGCAAGTACGACCGGGCCCAGGGTGTTCGCATGTCCCAGGGGGCCCTGTGCCCTGGGTGCAGCTTGGATCCACAAACTGATGGTGCCCATTGGGTGGCCCACTCACTAAGGGGTCGGTTGGTCGGGTGCCTATAACAGCAATACGAGACCCTGGTTAGTCAGACCAGCAGTTGGGCTATAATGCTAGAAGGAGGTAAGTAAAGGTTACTTTAGGTTTCAGAGGGCTTTCTGGAGAGGGAGAAAGATGAGGAAGCAGACAGAGTAGTGGGGAGAAAGCTTGGATAGACTTTCTATTAATTCTTAACTGTCTGGAATTCAGTATTACAAAAAGTGAATACTGAATTTTAGACCAAAATAGCACCAGACTAAAATTTTGATAACTTCTTGAATTCCCAGCAAATCACCCTTTAGTAAATATGCCTGTCAGACAAATGAATACATGCAGCAGACAATGCCCTGCCATTAAACTGTATTCAAGTGTACTGTTATCTAATTTTTTTATATTCTTTTACATTTGTAAGTCTACGTGGTTCCTGTGTAATCATGTAGAAGAATCCAGGCAAAATAAAACTAATTTGTTCTCTGGAATGCAACTAAAGATCTATTTATACAGAATTGTTCTGAGTAGACAGCCAGCCTGCAATATCTAAACCAAAATAGCCGAGTTGCGGGAAAAATTCCAACTTTGCTGCAATGGATTTTTTCACTTAAGCTATATTGGTCTAACATTTGGTGAACACACCACAACTGACTGAAAGAAAATCCTAAAATACATTTGAACTAATCCATAGTATGCCCACCAGAGGGCAGTCAAACTCAAAGGCTTTTTAACGTAGATGTGTTGTTGAAAAGGGTTTTGTTCAGAGACATTCCAGTCCATAAATCACATTCTTATTTATGTTCTATATAAGGCAATGTGTAAAAAAAATTTCCAAAAGGCTTAAGAAAAAAAAACAAACAGAAAAATTGTTATATTTTGTGAATGTTGTTCCTTGCTGCTGAGCATGTGCATGAGTGTTCTTACACATGACATTATTATTGTTAGTGACTTATAGATGTCTCCAGAGCATTAAGTTCCTCTAATAAAGCTTTCATTATTATGTATTTTTGTATTACTTTATATTTTTTTAGGTCAGGGTTAGTGTAAATGTTAAGGTAGTGTTTAATGTGTGTGTAGTGTAGTTTGTTAAGTTGATGTAAGAGTTAATGTGTGATAGAGTAATGTAGCTGACTTTACTGTAAAGGACAGCACTGAGACATAGGTGTCCCAATGCAGCCTGATATTAGTAGGAGTTACAGTCCTTGGCTGCAGCTTTTCTAGCTGCTGCCATTAAAACAGTATTGCTTCGTAGTGTAACCCCGACTAATCTAGCGCAGTATTGTAAAACTAATGACAGTCCATATAGAATACAAAATCCGCCCAGGATTAGAATCCCTCAACTGCACAGACTTGATTCATGCATTATTTCACTTTTATTACTGGTAATAATTGCACAGGCTGTTGTTTATTCTTCTTTAGTTTCCGTTTCGCTAGAAACATTTTTTCATATATGCTTTTTTTAATAGCTTTAACCCAAGGATTATAGTGAGTGACATAGAACCTTAAAGGGTTACACCATCCACCATGACCACTTCTACTTTCAGAATGATCATGGTAGTGGGAGTCTTGTATGTGCAGCGTTTCTGTTTAAAACATTGCACATACTGAGATATTTGCACCTTTGTGACCGAGGTTCTTTGCACCCCCGACACATGTGACTTAGGCAGCCCAAAACTCTGCTATGTGTTACCTAATGTCAGTTCTGTCAAAAAAATCTGTCTGCCATATTCTCTCCAGACCTACCTATAGCAGGTTGATAGCCATGGGCATACATAAAGTAAAGGACCTACTGGAAGGAAGCGAAATCAAACTGTTCCCTGATCTCCAGCGGGAATTTTCTCAACCCAAAGGGACATGTACTTAGAACAAAAAACATACTGCTACCTCACACACGCAAAACAAGTGCAGGGACTAAAGACCCACCCCTGCTGCTCAATAGGGTCCTCACCATTAAGTTTGGGAAACCTCTGTCCATGTGCTATAATGCCCTTTTGGAGGCCCAATCGTGTGAGGAAAGATCCTATATGAAACAATGGGAGGGGGAGCTAGGCCACCAACTAACTCTGGCATAATGGTACGAGGCACTATCCAACACAAAGAGCGCATCCAAGAGCCTCTCGCTGTGGGAAGCATACTGCAAAATAGCCATGAGATGGTACCTGGTCCCACATAGACTGGCAAAGATTTACAAGGGCGCATCCGATCTCTGCTGGGGATGTGAGGGGGGGAGCGGGTACCATGCTACACATGTTCTGGGACTGTCATTCATTGGGTGCATTTTGGACACAGATACAAAACCTAATTTCGAGCACTACAGGCCTCCTTGTTCAGTTGCGACCAGAACACTACCTGCTACACATGATACCTGGACTTTCACCACACCCCCACAAGAAAGTACTAATAAACATACTCACGGTAGTAAAAATCCTACTAGCCCAAAACTGGAAAAGCAAAACAATACCAACCATGGCAGCAATCATGGAAAGATTGGATGTCATAAGCTCCTACGAGCGGATGGCTAGCAGGGTGCAAGGACAGGAAAAAAATACGATAGAGAATGGGCAAGTTGGAACCTTAGGTCATGAGCTCCTGCCCTCGTAGAGTACCCAACTCAGACACTATCAGTCACAAAGTAGACCCGCTTGACTGCAGAAATAGCAGAGAAGGGAAGAAAACTGACAAATACGGGAACTCTAACATGAAAGTAAAGATACTGGGTAGCAAGGCTGGGGACCCTAGGTCTCCCCCCCAAGTTATAGCTCCCCCCCACCCCCCCGCGTTCCTATCCCCCCCCCACAAAAGGCCGACACACCACATACAACACACAGGCCACATCATGGTTCGTAGTCAACAACACCTAGGGGCAAATAATTTGCTCATATCTGTATGTAAAAAAAGAACAAATGTACCACATGCTGAAAAGAGTAACTACTGAAAACACTGAACCATTATGATGGCAGCTATACCTGTAATGTAATAACATGCATACCTGGCATAAATACTTGACTGTAATGTAAATTTTTTTCATGCTGTTGGCGAAATAAAGATTATATATGAAAAAAAAAAATCTGTCTGTCGTCAGCACGCTGGCACAACAAACTTCTCCCCTCGCAGAATTGCAGATCTGCCTGCAAGGGGAAGCCGTGATCTTCCCTCCCTCTCCCTCTTTGCCTTCCTGCATTTATAGTAATAATATATAATATGTATATATATATATTACTGTATTACTGATCTACATTTACTGATTTCTCCAATAAAGACTTGAAATTTTAACAGAAGACCATGAGTGCAGCTAACTTCTCAACTTTGTGTATCGGTAGGCCCTGGCTTTGGCACCCGGCATCATATGGATTTAATAGCCTGAATACAGGAATTTCTGGTTATATATATGTTTGTTTGTTTGTTTAAAATCTTCCAGTCCATCCTCTCGCATGCTATGAGAAGCATTTGAATGCGGACAGTGGTGACATCAACAGAGACTTGCAAACCAGCTCTGAGCAGCACTGGATTCCAGGTGAATTTTATTTATTTTTGTTGCAGCTTTATGGAAATTTGGAGGGGGCTAATTAATAATGTCCAGTAGGGCTTTTTAAACTAAATTTAAAAAAAAATGTTATACAAATAGTGATGTCCCGAACGGTTCGCCGAACGGTTCGCCACGGACGGTGAACATATGTGCTGTTCGGTCCGCCCCTATTGGTCGTCATTGAGTAAACTTTGACCCTGTACCTCACAGTGAGCAGACACATTCCAGCCAATCAGCAGCAGACCCTCCCTCCCAGACACTCCCACCTCCTGGACAGCTCACTAAGAATGCAGCTTCACAATGAATATAAAATAGATGCTGTCCAGGAGGTGGGAGTGTCTGCTGACTGTGAGGTACAGGGTCAAAGTTTACTCAATGATGGAGCTGGAATGTGTCTGCTGACTGTGAGGTACAGGGTCAAAGTTTACTCAATGATGACATAGGGGGCGGACCGAACAGCGCATATGTTCGTCGTCTATGGCGAACCGTTTGGCGAACCATTCGGGACATCACTATATACAAAGGATTAGAGTAGCCCTTTAATCTTTGACTTTTTTTACTGTCAGTTGTTGAGTCGGAATGTTTTACTGTATTATTGAATGGGTACCAGTTGCTCATCTATTTGTCCATTAGTAGTTCTGTGGAGACACTTGACTTTTACAGTATGTCTGCTAGTGTGTTGTGTATTGTGCCCTTGTATATACTACATGTAGAAGTCTTCATGTGATGTACTACAACGCTCACCGTATTCAGAGTCTGGTTGAGTTTGGTGGGAGTGCATATCCACAGCACACATTATGGCAGGGAGAGGATGTTAAGAAAATTCTGATGTAATCAACCCCAATTAAACTCAGCCAATGACTTGAACACAGTTTAGCCAGCAATAGCTCTAACAGCAAGCTGCTGAGAATGTGTACACATGAATCACAGATGGATTAACAGATGGCAAACCTCTGATGGACACAATTAGAAATAAATATCTAATTACAACACCAAAGTATGGATTTTTATAGGCATTCATAAAACTCAATAAAACTCACAGTAATGTGCGATGTGTGTGACAATCACATAGCTGAATTACAATAAAACTCGCATTAATCTGGAGTGCTTATAAATGTATCACAGAGCTCCACAGCAATAAAACCAAGTTATGTGCATTACAACACCAGATAACATTAAGATGATGCCATGATGGGAAAAGTAGAGAGGAAAGAATACCTATTAGAAAAGTAAAAAAAACAGAAATTAAGCTGTAGTTATTATATCGTGCCACTAGGGGGCAGCAAGACACTAGCTATGTTCTATAAAATTCTTGGAGTTGTTGATCATTGAACATACAAAGCTTTCTTTACACCCCAGTAAAACATTGTTCAGGGTTCTTATCTCGGAATATTTGCATCTTGGCTCTGCTTACACAATACATAAATGGTTTTTTCGTTGGCCTTTCAGCCTCAACTATGACGGTCCAACATGTTGTGCTTCCTTTAATATAAGTAAAGTACCTGTGTTTTTAATGATTGCATCATTCATTACAAAGAATGTATTCAGGTGGCTGCTCTGTAACGCAACACATTCATATCAAAGGTCAGGTGAAGCAGGTGCATTCTTTAAATGACCTTCAATATCAACAAGGAAAAACAATACGTAACAACACCAGCTCACTGGGGAAGGATGCAGTTAACATATGACAAATGTAAAAATTATCTAGCAAACATTCTTAAGTAAATTTGTTACCTGCATTTTTTTGTTTTGGCTTTGCGCGTTTAAGTAAAACGTCAAGTGATTTAAATGAATAACATTTCGAAACTTTCTAAAATTGGAAGAAAAAAAAAATATATACTGGATTTATATTTCAAATGTGTGCAGTCCTTCCAAAAATAAATAAATAAATACAAATTAAAAAACAAACAAAAACAAAGCCTTTAGCTTGCTGCGTGACTTGGAGGATGCCCACATGAGTCAAGAAGTATATTTCTCACTTACCATGTAGCACAATGATGTACATTTATAGACAGAGTAGGAGACCCTAGCAGACAGGCACCTGTTTTCCACTGCCTACTATTCCTGCTGGCATATCTGGCCTTGTCTAAAACCTTGTGTTTTGTACTACCATGAGTATAACTGTTAAATTGTACATTCAAAAAAACAAACAATATAGCTGACAGCTAAATTTGAATAAAGCAATTTACAGTTTTTAAAAATCAGCATATAACATCTACTTTAAATAACCCACTAGCCCTGTCCATTTTCAGTAGTAGTACACAACGTTGAAGGGACACTCCACACACCTAAAGCAGTTTCACTTGCTGAAAAATGTAATGTGTGAAGAGTATGTCCTCTTTATTTATTTTACAGAGAGTGTAGATTTCTATAGAAGTTAGAACTTTTTTAATTTAACCTTGTTACGCCACCCCTGGCTGTCAATCAGACAACCGGTCCTGTTACTTCCTGTATGTTTAGCTTAGTAGTGGAGCTAAACTCAAAAGGCTTACAATTGCCCAGAACACCTGCTGTGTAAAGACTTCTCATTGCACTGCATTGGGAAGTCTGTGATTGGAAAGCCACAGAAAGCCTGGGCAGGGTTAAAATGGGAGGACTTGTAAAGGCTTCAAATAAGAAATTTGCATATATATAAGGGACCCTCATTCGATGATAAAGGAACATTTTAGGGTCAGGAACACAAGCATGTATTCCTGACCCTATAGTGTTAAAAACACTATCTAGCAAACCTGCCTTCTCCCTATTGCCCCCATAAATATAGTAAAATCTTATCTTTATTTCAGTCTGCTGGTGCTGGCTCTTCCCCCCTGATCTACCTCCTTGGCTGACATAATCAATTCTGATGATCTCACCCAAGGAGACAGGCCGGGAGCAGAGCCAAATGCCACCATGGCCAATCAGAATCTCCTCATAGAAATGCATTAAATCAACGCATCTCTGTAAGGAAAGTTCAGTGTCTCCATGCACAATGTGCAGCACTGTACGAGGAAGCACCTCTAGTAGCCATCTGAGGAGTGGCCACTGGAGGTGTCCCTAGGCAGCAATGTAAACACTGACATTTCTCTGAAAATATAGTTTTGACCTCAAAAAAGCTGTAGGGACGGACTATACTCACCAGGACAACTACATTAAGCTGTAGTTTGTTCTGATGTCTATTGTGTCCATTTAAACTGTGCAAAAAATGGTTTAACCTTAAAAAGATGGATGGCACCAGAGATCTCTAGGCATCATGACCACTGCAATGAGATGAAGTGCTTATAGTGCCTAGAGTGTATCTTTATATTTTTATTCCCTGGTTCGTAATTCATTGCAGTTGTATCACCTACAAGTGATGAGTCTACTGATCTGGTCTCATCCTTATATAGGGAGACAAATATTTGACTATGTTATTTGTAATGACTGATTAACATTACTAAGGAAACAAACAGATTTAGATAGTTCCCATAGTCAAATGTAACATATCAATCCTGATTCATGAGACTTAACGATTCATAACAAACTTCGCTCGTATGTGCTGTCCACTCAGACAATATTGACAGCAGAGAAAAGACAATTACACTTGTCTGTCATTTTATTATTTCCTCAAATGTATTCAACACACAAACATGTGGAAATTTTTTTTGCAACAATAAAAAAAAAAAAAAAAAGGCATTCTATTTTATTATATCTAATAGTGGAACATTAATGTACACCTTGACTAAATACCAATAAGGGAACAGCTAAGATAATTAGCAAAATGTTTCACGTATAACCCTCAGTATTCCAGGGTTATAGGAAATATATTACTAAATTTACAAAAATAGGGAAAAAGCAAGTCTTGTGGGATATTCCCAATATGCAGTGATTAGTACCACCGAGGAACTGACTGTTCATGGGCTCCAAAGGCTCATTAAAGCACGTGTGTAGTAAAAGCTAGCTTGTATGGTCCAAGTACACAGAAGAGCTACTGCAGCAAAGATTTCTGAAACACTTAATGCTGGCTATGATACAAAGGTGTCAAAACACACAGTGCATCATAGTTTGCAGAGTAGTCAAAGACCAGTTACAGTACCCATGATGAACTCTGTGCATTGCCAAAAGCGCCTTCACTGGGGACGTGAATGTCAGAACTGGACCATGTAGCAATGGAAGAAGGTTGGCTAGTCTGACGAATCACATTCTCTTTTAGACTTTTAGAATATGTGGATGGCCAGGTACATGTGTGTTGTTTACATGATTGCAGCAGGAAGCAAGCAGGATGGTGGAGTCATTGTTATGTTCTGGGTAATCTGCTGGAAAACCTCGGGTTATGGTGTTCATGTGGATATTACTTTGATACGTACCAGCTACCTAGAGATTGTTGCAGACCACATACACCCCTTTATGGCAGTTGACAGTGACCTCTTTCAGTTGGATAATGCACCCTGCCACACTGGAAAATTGGTTTAGGAGTGATTTGAAGAACATGACAAAGAGTTCAAGGTGTTGCTTTGGCCTCCAAATTCTACAGATCTTCATTAGATTGAGCATCTGTGGGATGTGTTGGAACAACAAAATCCGTTCCATGAAGGTTGCAACTCGCAAGAACTAAAAGGATCTGCTGCTAATGTCTTGATGCCAGGAAACATTTAGAGGTCTTGTGGAGTTAATGCCTCAACGTATCAGAGCTGTTTTGACAGCACGAGGGGCACTTATACAATATTAGGCAGGTGGTTTTAGTGTCGTGGCTGATCAGTATATATATATATATATATATATATATATATATATATATATAAATATCTGACGGACCACCTGCACCCCAACCGGGTACCTCCATCAATCGCTGCTTCCTAGTTCTTGTGAGTACCATAAGCACTGCACTGGAACACCATAAACCCCCCAAACCGCCACAGCTTGGTTGGGGTCTCGCCGTCCTCCACCCACCCTTGACCCAAGACCAGGATCCAGCTTCCAGTAGGTAGACCTCTCCTAGTCCAGAGAGCGTAGCAGGAACAGCTCTTACAAGAGCTTAATGATTATGCTCAAGGGAGTATAGTAATTATAGCAATCTTTAGAGTGAATGTAGTTCTCCAATCCCCCAAACTTGAGCCTAGACTTCATGAAGGGTAAAACAAGTGTGTTTAATGGAACCCACAGATGGCCTTTTATGCAAGTCCCCATGCAAGGGGCGCTCCCACATGGACCTTGTAGGGGACAGGGACACAAAGTTTACAGCCAATAATAATACAGTGACAAAGTGTGACACTCCCAATACAAACAGATAATTCCCTCCTCCCTGCCTGTGAGTTAATTGAGTCAGATACTGTAATAACGCAATCATCTCCAGGCAGAAAAACCACATATTTTACAAAGTCCCATAAGTACCCCAAAACACAGCATATCCCCATAATAGCCCTGATCTGGGTGAACAACATATCCAAAAATCACCCAGATGAGAGCAGGGGTTCAGGAAATTCCTGGAAGTCTCTTTTTGACTGACTGCACACATGGCTACATGCCCTAAATAGTTCCAGAGAATTAGGCTGTGCAGTTGGTCTATTTCAACATTCAAAGTAACCTTCAAATAGTCGAAGGGAGCCGTTCGTGCACAGAGTCAGTGAGTGTATCTGGTTCGGTAGATTATTTCTACCTAACAGTGATCCGTTTGTGCAATTCTAGTCAAACCTAACTGGAGGTGGGAGTCCCAGCAGTGTTCGTGTCCGATTTTAGTTCCATGCGCTCAACGAAAAAACACCACTGGACGCGTTCGACTAAACAAGATGGCCGCCGCCACGACTATATGAACGGCGACCACCCAGCCATTCGTCAATTTGGCTGCAGTTAACTTCCAGTCTGGGAGGTAAATCGGCTGCACACTCAACTTGCGTGTGTTCCGACTGTTCGGTTGTTTGTTCGGTAAACGAACCCCATAAGCATAATCCATTCGGTAGCCCCATATACTGAACTGAAGATGGGAAAAGGCATGAACAAAGTCTTTCCACAGTCCTAAAGCCAGGTCTAATACATAAGCCATTGTCCGGGGCAGGAGGCTGGCAAACATGCCCCTCCAAAAACTCGTGGCAAACTCACAGGAAAAGGGGAGTTTGTCACAATATATATCATACAAGATCCAGCACACTCACTCATTCACTGAATTCAAGAGAGACTGCATTGCTACTACCATTGCTGTATGACTCCTGGGAATTTTGCGACTCTTGCATAATATACAATAAAATATCTTATATGTAGTTAATAACTTCCCCTTGCTTGACTGGAAGGAAGACTGAAGTTTTTATTTTTAATTTTAAATCATCAGTCTTGAATCATCAAGGTCTTTTGCTCACCCTGACCCATAACTAACAAACAATCTGTATCTTCTGAAAGAATCACTGTCCTATCTTCCATTATTCCACTGTAGCCCATTCATCCCTCTATTCATTTCATATCTTGGTAGACAACAAATAAATTAAAAAAACATTACGGTTACAAATCAATTAATTTAAAGCAAAATGGCAGCTCAATGCAGCTCAATTAGGAGTACCTTAAAGGAACACTATAGTGCCAGGACAACAAACTCATTTTCCTGGCACTATAGGGTTATTAGGTCCCCCCCTCCCTCAGGGCACCCCTCCCGCTGGGCTTATGGGTTAAAACCCTTTCAGCCACTTACCTTAAACCAGCGCCGGGCTAGCTCGGCGCTGGTGACCTCTCCTCCCCCTGCTGAAGTCAGCTCCGAATGCACATGAGCGGCAAGAGTCGCTCGCGCATTCAAACCACCCATAGGAAAGCATTACTCAATGCTTTATTATGGACGTCCAGTGTGAGTTCAATGCGATTTTTGCATTAAGCATCGCGGAAGCGGCCTCTAGTGGCTGTCAGGGAGACAGCCAGTAGAGGCTGGAATTCTCTGAAACTGCTATGTTTTCAGCTGCAGGGTTAAAACTAGGGGTACCTGGCACCCAGACCACTTCATTGAGCTGAAGTGGTCTGGGTGCCTATAGTGGTCCTTTAAAGTGATTCTGTCACCAAAGAAAAATATTGAACTTTTCATAAAGAAAAAATCATCATGAAATGCTCATAAATAAATCATAAAACAAAGTAGGGACTTATATAACACGACAAAACTTGACATTAGGCGTAGCTGCTGCTTTCAAGTTTCGTCACATCCCAAAGTCATCGTTAATAACAAGGTATAGTGGTAATAAGGTATCATTTTGCTCATTGCGTGATAATATCTATGGAGACTCTTGCGGTCTCATGGGATCATCCATAGACATCAGCGTTGTGCTCTTGTGCTTGGACACCTGGTGGACGAAGCACCAGGAGCTATCAATCAAAGATGGCGGCACCCATCGGGGACAGCATCAGGTAATTATAACTCATTTTTGCTGCATCACTTGGCTACCCAAGTCGCAATGTCACCATCTATGACCTTAGCCACTTTAATGAAGTATAAGAGAAGGTTAAATCTGTAAAGAAATAAATCTAGGATATGAGCTGTGAAAAAATGGGGTACATTGGCATTGTGGCAGGCTTACGCAGTGTATGATGATATACTGTAACTAAACAACCATTATTTTTTGCCTAAGTCATTTTTTTTTTTTTTTTTTAAATTCTTTATTTTATTTGTGCGTGAGTTAACAACATGCGAGCAGGGCCACAACAGCATCTGCAGGCGTCTTCAAGGTATCACAAAGTGTGGCAATGTAAACAGCACATTTTTTATATATGTATATATAACATGAAGATCACAGGCTATGAAACTTTAGCAATTAGTAGTAGACATGCTAGGTCAAATATGCATATAATGTAAGTATTAACCCTTAAGCTGATGGTTTGTATGTAGGCTACTTGTTGAGACAAAATAATGTGAACACACTTCTAACGAAAGGCAAACAAGCTTGAGTCATGTAGCAAGTATTAGTTAAGCATGGGACGGTAGCTTTAAACATGAATTACACTCTGTTTGCATTATTGGCTAGGTCAGTCGTTGGTCCATGTATTATTGGGAGATATACAGTTTCGCGTATCAGCCTCCAGTCATAATTATCAATGCACAACTAGGTCAGGGGTACAGTCATATAGGTTCTCACTTGGTTGGGTATGTTTGGCTTTGTATGACATGCTGCTGTGTGGATGTGGTGTGTTGGTTTGTGCGTTGCTTGTAGGGCAGTGATATCTATGTGAGTGTGTGCTTGTAAGTGCCGTGTAGACTGCGTGTACATTAGGCTAATACACAAAACAGAATGCTAAATAATTTGCTTGTGTGCTTCCAGTAGGTCACCATAAGAGTTCTGGCACCCTGATGTATCAGGGGGGTTACCCGGGTTTTCTCCGTGATGAAGGCTGGTGTCAGGGTGGTCCCAAGCCCACACTGCCGGGGGAGGGTGGAGGTCTCAGTTTAACTGATACCTGCTCTGCTAGTGCTGTGTAGCAGGGAACGAGTGTCCGTCAGAGCAGGTATCCAGGCATAGTCCCTGTTGTTCTGTGGGGTCCTCGCTGAGTGTTCTTGAATGGCCACCTCCTGTTATGAAACTTGCTTCTGAGGGCTGGTGTCAGGCCTGGGTAGTAGCTACGTTGTAATCACCTGAGTTTGCCGTTATCTGGGTCGCGGTGGGAGGCAGGTGAGTGTGAGGTGGGTCCTCGTGTGGAGGTAGCTCTCTTTGTTTCAGGCTCTGATTTCCCGGGCTGGAGTGGTAGTGGCGCCACATCCCGTCCCCCTAGTGCGGTCGCCATGATCCGTTTGCCGGGGTCGCATGTACTGCTTGACTTCGGCATGTGTGGGTGCGAGGGTAGGTAGTGGGTTGTCCGCCCCTCTCTGTTGCAGGGTTGGGGTGTTGGAGCCCTGTTGTCTGCTGCTATCACGAAGATGGCGCAGATCTTCCCCCTGCTTCCCGCGCACATGGCGCCCGCCATCTTGGAGGCCGCTCTCGGGTCCCCCGACTCCATTTGTGTTCTCTGAAGTAGGGCCACAGGGTGAGGACCGGGATCACCCCCACCGGTCCAAGGGGGGGGGAACGGGTCCGGATCCACCTGGATTCGTGCCCCAAGCTGGGTACTGTGGTGCAGGATAGTGGGGCAGCGGCCGTCCGCCCCACTCACCGCCAGAGAAGGCCCTGCTTGTGGAAGTGTGGCCATCTCCTCCTGGGGACTGAAGCTCGATGAGCCAGCCTCTCCCAAGGTCCAGCAGTCCCTGTGCTCTGGGTACTGTCGCTGGTGGTCGTTTTAAAGGTGATTAGGCATGGTTTTTCAGCTTAATTGTCGTTGTTTGCGACCAGCTAGCTCGGCGGTCCGGCCCCGCCCCCCCCCTAAGTCAGTTTTTTTATAAAACATATAAAACTATTACATTCTATGAGCTTTGAAGTTGCTGTTTAGTGAATAAATGAGTGCGTTGGATCTTGTATGAAATCTGGAAAGCATGTTACGGTTAACAAATTGAGCACCTTTATAGAATTGTTTAACTATCACAACTGAGAAATCTGTCTGGTTTGCATAGTTTTAATACTTCGAATGTTATAGCTGATGTAGTTTGTGAGGGAATGCTTTAAGATAAATTCCTACAAAAACTATTCATCTTGGTAGTGTGTGTGCGTGTTTTGATTCCCCCCCTCCCCCCCCCCTCAATTTATAGAGGGTAATTCACACTCTTTTTCAAACTACCAGATTTCACTTCAAATGTCTGTAAATGTTGTTTTCTTTACCCATCTGTAAATACCTAGCAACTTCCAGAGGAGATGAAACACAAACATACTGTAAGGACCAACTGAAAACAAACATGGCTTTTCAAAGCTTCAGAAAAATAAAAAAACACGTTAAGTTTAGCTTTTAAAATTCCATTTGCCGCAAAGAATGCAGAAATATTATGAAGAAAGACATGAGATATGTGGGGAATTCCAGCAAGAATGTTTGCAACCCATTCCTAGTCAGATAGTAGATATTGCCCATTGCTCTGGGACCTGTAGAAATAATCTAAATCAGATTATTGCATTCTCACATGATCGCTATCAAACCATTTAAATATTAACGGTCATGGTGCTATCTTTAAAATTGTATAATATCATTTATTCCAGTAAATGCTTTATGATTTAATATAGGTAGTTTATATATATGTAGCCAAAATGTACATAAAATCAATTTACAGCTTCAGAATGACTAGATGCCATTTTGAATAAGGAATGTTTAGATTAGAATGCTAGCATCAGGGGTGTGCTGGGCCGGGGGGCAGGGAGGCAATTGCCCCCCAGGCTGCCCTAAATAATTAGAAAAATGGCCGCTGCAACGCCGGTCCCTGGCGCCCCGGTAGCAAGATGGCAGGAGCCTACTCTGCAGTAATATACTGGCCGCGTGAGGAAGGAGGCAGGCGGCCTCTGCTGATGATCTTCCTGCTCCCTCGCGCGCCCTCTCTGGTGATGCCGGGAGCCGGAATATGACTTAATTCCGGCCCCGCATCACTAAACTGCGCGAGGGAGCAGAGAGGAGCAGGAAGATCATCGAAGACACTGGACCCCAGGGAGAGGCCCCAGAGAACTCAAAGGTAGGAGCAACAAGAAATAAAATTAATTTGTGAGTGTGTGTCTGGAAGTGATTGTGTGTGTCTGGAAGTGAGTGTGTGTGTGTGTGTGTCCAGAACAAGTGAGTGTGTTTGTGTGTGTCTGGAAGTGTGTGTGTGTGTGTGTGTCTGGAAGTGAGTGTGTGTGTGACAGTGTGTGTCTGGAAGTGTGAGTGTGTGTCTCTCAGTAAGTGTGTGTGTGTGTGTATCTTTCTGTCAGTGAGTATCTGTGTATCTGTCTGTCAGTGTGTGTGTGGAAGTGTGTGTGTGACATTGTGTGTCTGGAAGTGTGTGTGTGTGTCTGTCAGTAAGTGTGTGTGTATCTGTCTGTCAGTGAGTGTGTGTATCTGTCTGTCAGTGAGTGTGTGTGTGTATCTGTCTGTCAGTGAGTGTGTGTCTGAAAGTGAGTGTGCTGTCAGTAAGTGTGTGTCTGTCAGTAAGTGCGTGTGTCTGTATCTGGAAGTGTGTGTGTCTGTCAGGGCCGTCTTTCCGCATGGGCACACTGGGCAGTTGCCTGTGGGCCCCACCGGCATGGGGGCCCTACCGCGCTGCCCAGCATGCCCGGCCGACAGGGGAGATCCTTTGATCTACCCTGCGGGCCAATGGAGAGGTGGCCCTGTTTTCTGGCCTTGGGCCGGTGAGGAAGATCTCCCTTCAATCGGGGAGAGAGGTAGCTAGGACCCAGGGCAGCAGGACAGGCCGACCTGTAAGGCAGTTCGCTCGTTCCGCAAGCAGGCTGTGTAGAGCGTTGCCGCGCATTACCATGGCAATGCTCCACACAGCATTCTGCCCACAGGAGGACAGGAGACAGCCTGCAGCCAGACAAGCTGCAGGTTGTACAGAATTCACAACTGGACCACCAGGGCTGGCTGTGTCCCAGCCTCTTTCACCAAAGGTAAGAAGAAGGGTGGTGGGGCATATAGATTTTATTTAATGTATAGTAGTATTAAAAAAACAAAAAACATTTGCTACCTGCACCCCTCAAACACACACACAGCACCCAACACACATATAGCACTCCACACACACGCAGCACCCCACTCACATAGCACTCCACACACACAGCACCCCACACTCACACAGCACCCCACACACACCGCACCCGTACACACATACCCTGCACCCCTCACTGCAGTGTGTGTGTATTCAGCAGTCTGTGTGTGTGTGTTCAGCCGTCTGTGTGTATGTTTGTGTGTGTTTGTATTCAGCGGACTGTGTGTATGTATTCACCACTCTCTATGTGTACTTAGCAGTCTGTCAGTGTGTACTCAGTAGTCTGTCTCTGTGTGTACTCAGCAGTCTGTCTGTGTGTGTCTATTCAGCAGTCTGTATGCGTGTATTCAGCAGTCGTCGTGTGTATGTATGCATTGCATTAATTGGAGGTACTTCTAAATATATTCTTTGTTGTATCTAAGTTGTGTAGACAGGGCCCCAGTGCACTGCTTTGCCCGGGGGCCAATAATGTTGTTAAGATGGCACTGGTGTCTGTCAGTAAGTGTGTGTGTCAGTAAATGTATCTGTCAAGTAAGTGTCTTTCAGTGAATGTGTGTGTCTGCCTGTCAGTGTGTCTGTCTGTGTGTGTATGTGTCTGCCTGTCAGTGAGTGTTTGTCTGTCAGGGTTTGTGTGTGTGTGTTATTGAGAGTGAGTGCCAGTGTGTCTGTCAGCAGGGCCAGCCTTTGAGGTGTGCAAGCTGTGGGGTCACGTAGGGCGCCATGACAACAGACGCGCCCGGCGGCCAAAACAGCTCACAAGTTTGGGACACCAGCATTTTTAATTTAAACGATTCCCTGGTGGTCCATTGGTGTGCACCAGCAGTAGGTGCAGTCAGATCATATCCTCTCCCTTGTGGTTCCGGTTCTCAGTCAGAGATTCTCAGCCTGCGCTCTAACAACATTGAAAGTCGGAGCCGCAAAGGAGTGGGTATGGCAAAAGAGCTACTGATTAACATAACATCAATATCCTTTATAAGACCAGGAAAAGGTGGACATGGATGGTGAGCTAATTCGGGGGTGCAATGAGCCACTCAACTGCAATGGGCTGCCAGCTCTCCCCTGGCTAGTATTATATTTATTCCCTGTTCCAAACAGTCCCTGAAAGTTACCAAAAGTCTATAGCCACAATCTTATTTTTCTGTCAAACCGTCTGGGATCAGTTCGTCAAAAAATAGTGTCCTCAGTAATACCCAGAGACGGTCCCTCTGCAGCTGACTTGATCTTGCAGAATTTACATCTCCACATTATCAGTATCAGTTTTGGCCAGCCTAGACAGCTAGCAGAAAGTAGCAGGTTAAAGTTCATCATTATACAATGAGAAAGATTATTCAAAAATGGAAAACATTCAATTGTTGCCAATCTTTCCAGGAGTGGATGTCCCAGCAAATTCACTGCAAGGTTAGACCGTGCAATGCTCAGAGAAGTTAAAAATAGTATCAGAGTTACATCTCAGATACTACAGAGCTCAGTTAGCATGCTAAATGTTAAAGTTCATGATAATTCAATTAGAAAAAGACTGAACAAGTATGGTTCACGTGGAAGGGTTGCCAGGAGGAAGCTTCCTCTCTCTTAAAAAGAACATGGCAGCACTGCTTCGGTTTGCAAAGTTGCATCTGAACAAACCACAAGACTTCTTGTGCTTTGGACAGACAAGACCAAAGTGGAGATGTTTGGCCGTAATGTATAGAATCACATTTGGAGAAAACCAAACACAGCATATCAGGGCAAACGCCTCATACCAACTGTCAAGCGTGGTGGTGTTGGGGTGATTATTTGGGCTTGTTTTACAGCTACCGAACCTGGGAACCTTGCAGTCGATAATGAACTTCTCGATTTACCAAAGTATTGTAATGTCAAATGTGAGGCCATCTGTCTGATAGCTAAAACGTGTCCGAAATTGAGTCATGAAACAGGACAATGATCCCATGCACACCAGCAAATCTAAAACAGAATGGCTGGAAAAGAAAATAATCAAGGTTTTGCAATGGCCAAGTCAAAGTCCAATACTCAACCCAACTGAAGTGATGGGACTTTAAGAGGGCTGTGCATAAACAAATGCCAGCAAACCAGAATGAACTGAAGCGTTGAGTGGGTCAAAACAGTTTCCACAATGATGTAAGAGATTGATAGAGTCATAAAGAAATTGATTACTTCAAGTTATTATTGCTAAAGGTGCTTCTACAAATTATTGAATTATAAGGTGTACTTAGTTTTTTACACATGGCTTCTCCATTTTGGCTTTATTTTTGTTAAATAAATCATGACATTGTGTAACATGTCACGTGTTGTTGTTCATCTGAGGCTGTTTTTACCTAATTTAGTTTTATTTTATTTTTTTACTTTAGCATTACATTCTGGTTTAGATATGTTATTATAGAGGGTAATGACTCTCTGTCTCCTTAGCTTGAATATATTTGTTCCTTACCATTTAGAAATTAAATTATACCACTAAAATCCAAGGTTGAAACTTTTCTGCATTGCAAATTAAATCTGTACAATGGCTATATAGCCCAAATTATTTTATAGTCACCAACTGGTACTTGATCTGATTCAAACTGCAAATCTCCTGGTTATTACAAAGCTTGAAAAAAAATAAATAGAATATACTTTAAATCCATTCACACATAGAGATTATTTTCTATCTACTTTATATGCTACTTACAACATAGGCCTCGATTTTAAGAAAAACAATTTCAAAATACAAACAATATATATATATATATATATATATATATATATATTAAATAGTATATCAATATATCAAATAATATTAAATAATTAAAAAAGTTTATCTAAAAATATTAAATCATTTCAAAAGCTTGTCCAAAAATATTAAATCAAGGCCATAATTTGTCAATGAGATTTCGTAAATTCTGTATCCCCAAAGCAAGTTTTGTCTTACATACCTCTATATCCATGTACACCCGCCCATTATAAAGCTATTTGCATGAGCTGTTTCACTTCAGATTCTCTCACCTTTATCGTTCTGCGTGTCTTCACAGAGCATTCTTATGATAAGCATGTGGCTAATGCGTTCTCACTGGTGCCATTTATTGCAATGTTGGCAGGTGTGGTTTCGTAGATGACATATAATCCCTTGTAGCTTATCATCTACCAGCTGATTGATCTACGTCAGGTTGTAAAGAATCATCGTGCTTTGTTTAATCTACCAAGTAGGCAATGCTTGGCATAGTTTAAATGTTAAGTGCCATACATTTTATTCACTGGGATTCTATCGCAACACAGGATATTGGTGGGTGTTAAAGAGTCAGATGAGGATGGTTACAGAGAGAAGAAGATCTACTCAGATGTAATTAGGAGAGAAAGCCATGATACAAGTCATGCTGACATTGTTTGGGTTCTCAGAGATATGACTGCAGATTTAGATCCGTATAATTTGACATATGCTAGACTTACTAATCTTTAGCACCTTCATGGAGGCCCTATTTAATCCTTCATTTGGGCAGAACTCAAAATGTGTATATGTATATATATATATATAACTTGCACTGGTACCCTGCACACACACTTGCAAAATTCAAAAAATGCCGGGTGCATAATAGCCATAGCCAAACAATATAGAATATTCCAAAAATAAGGCTTGCACTCACGGTCTGTAGTAATGTTAAAAATATATTTCTTCTTTATTCCAATATTCTTAAAACAAATCTGTAGTCATCAACGTTTCAGCCATCACTCGTGGCTTTCATCAGGATCAGTTCAATACCATATTGAACTGATCCTGATGAAAGCCACGAGTGATGGCTGAAACGTTGATGACTACAGATTTGTTTTAAGAATATTGGAATAAAGAAGAAATATATTTTTAACATTACTACAGACCGTGAGTGCAAGCCTTATTTTTGGAATATTCTATATATATATATATATATATATACACACTGTATAGGAAAGAAGATGAGTGCACTCTCGAGACTGTAGTAGTAAAGTAAAAATGCTTTTATTTAGCACAAATAAACATCAACATTTCAGTCCTCCTGGACTTTTCTCAAGACCTTCTACATTGTAACATATAATCCAAGTAGCAGTAAAGTAAGCTCCTGTTATGGTTGGGAGCTTAGTATTGGGATCTGTAATCTGTAAACCTTAATCCTGTAAGGATCCTGCAGCCTTTAGCGCTTGTGGATTCTAAAGTAACTCTTAGCCTTAAATCCAACTTTACGTTTACTATGAACAGGAAGTAGAAGAGATACATTTTCAAAAAAATATATTTTGTCTCCAGTGCACAGCATTATTAGTGCTAACTCTCATGGTCTAGTACCATACATTATTTCTATTATTATTATTATTATTATTATTACTAACATTTATATAACGCCAACATATTAAGCTCATTTGAGTAGGGTCTTCATCAACTTATTGTTCCTGTCAACATTTGTAATAGTTGTCTCATTTATTGATAAACTTCTCATATGTTGTAAAGGACTGAAAAATAAGTTGGTGCCATATAACTCCCAATAAGAATATTCTGCAGTGCTTTACAATTATAGAATAGGGTTACATGACAAATAGTAATTCACATACAGAACATAACAGAGACAAGAATTGAAGAAGGCCCAGCTCAAACAAGTTTACAATCTATGAGATGCCTTGTAAACGGTGCAATTTTGCTCATTTCCACATTTGGTAGCATTATGTAGAGACAGCTTATGCGCTGCTATAAGTGCTCTTCAACAAATAATTTTGGAGCGACAATTGTATTTTGAAAAGTATTAAATATAATCGGAACCTTGTCTTTCCTGTACTCTTGCACAACTAATTCTTTGTATCCTTCTCATGGGTTAAAAGGAAAAAAGTAGGTTGGTATTTTAATTTGTCCCATATGTACCATGTATGTACGCATACCAGTGACAAAAATTTGGGGGGTCACAACAGCAACTATCCCAGAGTTTGCGTGATATATTTACCCAAAAGCACAGCTCTCTGCCCCCCCCCACCCCAAAAATGCAGTAATTTCCGCAATGTATTATTAATAATTTGTATTTATAATTTTCAATGTTACCCCCCTCACACCCCTCCTCCTCCTTGTTTCTTTGGCGTTCAAGGTATTACGGAGACGATCTGGGAACGCGGCCAGCACGCATGGAATTTGGATCACCATGGCAACTGGATTTCAGGATAGCAACAAACATTGGTGAAAATGAATGCTTCAAATTCATGAGCAGGTCTCTGAGGGCCTGGAAGAGGCAGGAGAAATTTAAAAATAGGAATGAAGGCAGAGGGGAAGGAATCAAAATTTACCAAGAACTTAAGGATTAAAAAAAAAAAAAAGGCTGATAAGAAAAAAAACAAAACAAAAAAGCAAACTTGTGGATGGTTGGCACAGATAAAATCTTTATTTTTGTTATTACAATTCACGGTCGACAGTAGATTATAAAAATTCTATCACCCAGACCAAGAATGGCAGACCTTTGACACTTCAGCTGTTGTGAACTGTTTTCCCATGATGCTCAGTCAGCCGTCAGGGATGCATAATTTATTATTGTTGACATTCAGTCTAATCTAACAAATCAGCATATGTATTTGCATTTTTTTTTCAGCTGACATGCAACAGAAACAGAAAGATCTCTTTTGGCGCAAGACTCGTTATTATGAAAACCTGTGTTGACTGATGATTCCAATTTGAGCAACGCATATTAGATTTTTGTATGGTTTTGTATATTTATAATTTATTTGTTTTTGTTTTTTTTCTTTTGCATAATTCAGTACCGGAACTCTAAATTGGGAATCGGAGATACCTTACAGGTGAATTCCAATTGTCATGCTAAATAACTAAGCTAAGAACATAAAAAGTTGAGTTGAGTTGTATTTCATTTTCCGATTCAACGATTATGGCCTAACATGAGCAAATTCTTATCCAATCTTGACAATTTCTGCCTTAGTGAATTAACCACACAAGGTTCAGTAACAAACAATGAGCATATGGTTACCATTTATGTATGTAACACCAGTAAATTCCGTTACACTGAAAAAGAAACTACTCAAGGATAAATATAAAACTGGATTTGATGGACAGGGGCAATCTGATACAGCAGACTGCGACAGACCAACTCGCAAGCCTGCGTTCTAGAAGGAATTTGGGACAGCTGAAACCAGAGGTGCGGAGAAAGCTGGTTCTATAGGCGAAGAAAGGAAGGTTATGTCAACCAGACAGTTGATTTCAGTGGAAAATGATGGTTTGAGTTGATGAACAGGCTCTTAGTTTGGGGGTAATTAAATGTTCTAAAGAAACTGAAGTTCAACAGTTAGAAAGGTGAGGGCAGAGGCTAAGCCCCATGGCAGCCTCTGTAAAACTAAGTATTTGCAAAACAAGATTCAACCTTAACCCCTTAAGGACCACATTTATTACTCATTAAGGATCACAATATGTTCCCTGAATACCCTATGCTAGCATGGAATGTTTTGTTTATTTTGCATTTGCAGCTGTATACATCCCTGCATTTGATAAAATAGTTATATAAGACTGTTATATAAGAACTTTAAAGACTGGTTTGCTATAACGAACATGTTCCTGTACAGTCATCACAATGTTGATGGTGATGTCTCGGCACCAACATGAAGTGAAGTCATTCCATAAGTATAGGCCATGAGTGGGCATATTTCCTAAGCTTACTCCTGGACTGGCCCTCATATAGTCTCATGTCTTTTTGTAATTACATGTTTTATTGAACTTCTGCATATCGGTGCAAAAAGAGAATTGCAACCAGAAAATAAGGTTAGTGTGTAAGAGTCTCAAGTCTTTTTAATCAAATATATGTCGGTTTTGTAGAATGCACCCACTGTAACCTCTCCCTTGACCATCCCCCTGTCTATATTACTTGACACTGCACAACAAGCATAAGTAAGGAAATAATACCTTTTGTAGAAGTGAAACTGGGAGTTAAAAGCTAATTGTGCAAACATCATCTAAAACTATCTTCTCCTATCTTGCCACCAGAACCTTTTTCTCGTGAAACACTGGTAGATAGAGGAAGAGGATGTTGATGAAAGTGGACTCTCGTTTCTGGAGGATGCATGTGAAATATGCATTGATAAGGAGAGAAATGTGAAGGACAGCAGAATTATAATATATATAAACTATTTCTCCAGGAAAGATACATTTAGCCTTTCATGTGGTCAAACTGTTATCATGATGGACTTTTTGAATCAGGATTTTCAATGTATTTCTAAAAGCCACAATCAGTCAGTTCTACAGATGGAAACTACAGACAATAAATAAGGTCTAAGGTAAATGAGTCTGGCAGAAACATTCCGGGTAAACAGAAATTCAGACATTTAGTTAAGAGGAAAGCCATCAAGAAAGTTTCAGTAGTCCAGGTGGAAGACAATAACAGATGAGGATTTTGCTGCCTATTTTTCATTATTATTAAAATTATTTATAGCGCACCAACAAATCCCGCAGCACTCTGCAATGGGTGGACTAACAGACACGTAGCATTGAAATGGAATGAAAGCATTCAATTTTTTTATCCTTTAGTTGAAGGAAATGGGACTTTTGGAGTAAATAAACATGAGAGGTCAATGTGCAAACATAGGATACATACGTTACAAATATACCTTTGTCAGCGGATACTGTAGAAAAGGTATCTGGCTTTCTAACTTTTCTGAACTTGTCACATGTAATGCAAGACAAGAGATACCTCAAAATAATCTCATGTCCCTGGTTTTCATGATATTTCTTCAAAAGACAAAAAAGAACAATTTCTAAAGGTGCATCATCTGCATTTTTTATTTTTTAGGTATCTCTGAACACCAAAATTTTAACAAAGCTGCTATTTTTTCTAAACAGCTTGCTCAGCATTTCCTGTTTAACATCAACATTACTTTTATTTTATTTTCGGCAAAGACTCAGTATTCAAATGGTTAAGTAACAGAGCTTTCAAGGCTTGTGTCTAGTACTTGGAGAATAAAGCTGACATATCCGGGAATTGGAATGAACGTGAGTTATCATTTCTAAATATTCACTCGTGTAGCAAACAACTAGGACAAGAAGTTTAATATAATTTCAATAAATCGGATTGAAACTTTCAAGGGGTGGAGGATGGAATATTTTAGTATTTCCTTAAAAGTACAATGAGTAATAGACTTTAGCTCCATTGTCAAGGAGATATGTTGCTATTTTGTATTGTTTTCTGGGCTAAGAGAAGACATATGGTAACATTGATTGTTACCAGGTTCTGCTCTTTCTTGTAAGGACGGCTTCTCTAGCATCAGTATTGTATAAAGGTAGAATACACCCCCTCCGCAAGAAGCAGAAGGAGATTTATCAAAGCAGCACTGAAATTTTAAGTCTAATTTTCAAAGAATTTCCAGCAAAATGTATTAAATCTGTTTTATAATTTATTTTTTTATTCTGCTTGTATCGCATCGTAAACAAAGATTGTAATTTGGAGAAACCAGCCCAAACTAAATTTTTGTACAAGTCTAAAATCCACTTTGAAGAAAAATGCAGCAGTTGATCTGATAACAATAGTGTCTGACCCAATATGGCTGCTCAGCCAGATAAACAAGTAAAAAGTTCTTCAAAAATCAAGATACGTAATTTACAGAAGCTAATTCGAGCAGTACCCTCTAAAGAAGGACCTCCTGTCAGTATGTTTAGTTGGGTAGTTTGTCTCATTTGTTGCCAAATTCTTCCCTTTAAAACATTGTAAAGCACTGAATACTGAAAAATATACATATATATAATTACATTTTATTAAATGTAAAAAACTTTCAAAAAATGTTAATTGAAAAATTGGTAGCAGTTGTCTTTGAAGACAGTAATCTCATTTGATAAGGACTCCATCACCTCTTGCTGTCCTGTTATACTAACCCTGAATCTCCATTGCCTTGATTAGCAATTTAATAAGGCGATAACTAGTGCCAAAGAGCTACCGGTTACTCAGAGATAAAAATGTTACCCTTGTGTCTCAGTTCTGCTCTATAATCAACAACAGTTATCAAATTTCCCAGTGTTCAGCTTACACAAGGTTTTCTATAACTCCTGCACCATTAGCAAACCTTGAACCACTAGTTATCTATGTGTACATAAGATAAAGTAAGCTTCTGCCCCCTTGTGGCTGTAGTTGTTCAGCAATTCATCGATCAGCATTCTGCTTTTGCATGTTGTTGCACAGTATTATTTTTTTTAAACGTACTGTGCCTTAAAATAATAGTTGCATTATTCTAGCTATGTGTTATGGCTTAACGAACACACACTTAACTTACTTTCATTAAAGGAACACACTATGCACCATAACCACTACAATGCGGATTTTATGGGCGCCATTATCCACAGCATCCCCCTGCATTATCCACAATGTTTAAAACTATGATAAGATGTGAATGTGGCTTAGGTGGCTATCGTTGCTATCCTAATTGGAAATATTTGTATGGATAATGCAGAAGCAAGGTTTTTTTTGTTTTTTGTTTTGTGAAAGCACCAATAAGCTACAGTGCTATAGCGGTGTGGGCATGGACTATATACATTTTGTCTTAGTTTTTCCCTCTTTTTAGACAGGATCTATGATTAAAAGGAATCTGTAATGTGCAGTCCATTATTCCAAATGTCCACAATAAAAAATATTTTATTTGCAAAACGGATTATTTCCGAAGATATTTGAAACAGTAAGAGCAATATACTGGCTAAAGTAAAAAAGCTGTGACAATTAATAAATCGAAAAATAATATGGGCACAAAAATAGAGTACTTAGCAATAGGCAATGCTCACATTGAAGCCATTTACAAACAGAAGTGGCAATGGAGTGTCGGCATTCCCAAACCATGTCACGTAACTAGGACCTTTGGTTCTGAATAAACAGCACAGTATATAAGAATGGATACATTATTGCCTGCTGAAGAAGGAATATTTTTTCTGTGCATTCAGGGTTCACTGTTATATCCCCAAATAATGTCCAAGTTGCTTAAAGGGACACTATAGTCACCTGAACAACTTTAGCTTAATGAAGCAGTTTTGGTGTATAGAACATGCCCCTGCAGCCTCACTGCTCAATCCTCTGCCATTTAGGAGTTAAATCCCTTTGTTTATGAACCCTAGTCACACCTCCCTGCATGTGACTTGCACAGCCTTCCATAAACACTTCCTGTAAAGAGAGCCCTATTTAGGCTTTCTTTATTGCAAGTTCTGTTTAATTAAGATTTTCTTATCCCATGCTATGTTAATAGCTTGCTAGACATTGCAAGAGCCTTCTGTATGTGATTAAAGTTCAATTTAGAGATTGAGATACAATTATTTAAGGTAAATTACATCTGTTTGAAAGTAAAATCCAGTTTTTTTTTCATGCAGGCTCTGTCAATCATAGCCAGGGGAGGTGTGGCTAGGGCTGCATAAACAGAAACAAAGTGATTTAACTCCTAAATGACAGAGAATTGTGCAGTGAAATTTCAGGGGAATGATCTATACACTAAAACTGCTTTATCTAGCTAAAGTAATTTAGGTGACTATAGTGTTCCTTTAACTCTTTTCAGGTCTTGATATGGTTGGTACCTTCTGATGGGCCGGATTACCCGTTAGACAGACTAGGCACTTACCTGATTTAGATCCTACTCTGCCTGTTAAATGTTCATCCCTATCTCCTGACTGAAACAGAGAAGCTGAATTCTGGGATCGCTGGGATCAGTCGGTTCTGTGCATTGCCCCTCACATTGAGACACATTAATCCCCTGGTGGAAGAAGATTGAATAGGACTAGGACCAGAATAGTCAACTGATTTATGACACACACACACACACATTGCTACCTACACTGTTGTACGCACACACACACAAAAACACACGGACACATACTGTTACTCATATTGCTGTTCACATTGCTACACACACGCTCTGCTACCTACACTGTTCACACACACTATTATATAATGCTGCTACTAACTACAATGTTACACATACACACTGCTACCAACTGCTACCAACACTGTACACACACACTGCTGTACATACTGCTACTGCTCACACTGTTGCACACACAAACACATGTACTGTTACCCACACTATACATACACTGCTACATGCACATCACTACACGCTGTTACAAATACACACTATTGCTCACATACACAGATATGCATAAACACAGTGACATGCACACAGACAGTTACACACATACATACATATACACATACATACTCACTCTAGATCTGTGTATATATAACAATATTTCTCCTATTTAAATGGTCAAGTTTTTATTTTTAATTAGTTTGGAGGTGGGATTGGATGGCACTTGAGAATTCTGTGCCTACATGCATCCCCGTTCCTTAATACATCCAGATCCAAGCGATACTGGATTTTCTCTAAGCATCATTTTTGACACTTACATTAAGCATCTCTACAGAAGCCAAAATAGCAATGAGCTTAATGCAGCACAGTAATAAATAAATAAATAACTTTACATGAACTGGAAACAAAAATGTCCGATCTCAAGACCAGGTGTTGAACTTAACAAAGATGAAACAGTACACTCCAACAAAACTATCTTTCCACCCAAACCAGAATTATTCACATAACACGTTAACAATGGTAAATACTTGCTATGTTTAATTTAAAAAAATTCCTGCTGTTGTGTGCTATACAAAACTATATAAAATATTGGATAACACATTTAATTTGAGTTTTTTTTGTTTTTTTTTACTTTTTCGTTTTCCAAGGCTCGCTTAGTGAAGTTCCAAATGAAATTCAGTATGGCAGTAAATTCCATTTCAGAATTCCATGCTGACCTCAGTGGGTAATGAAAGCATCAAACTGTAGTAATGGCTATGTGATGGTGTAATGGATCGACGTGCCCTAATGTAGGGTAATGTATTTTTGTTACAAATTCCTATAACTCTCCTTTTCTCAAGGCGCCTCTCCAATTACACCTTACATTCCCTTTCTGAATTTGCTCGTCACCACTTCCTCTGCAAGGAAATTCCATAGTGTGATCACTATTTGGATAGAAATAGGCTTTTTTTCCATGCCACTAATTACCACATCGCTCACATCTACCCAGATGTATATGTTGACATCCATTACGGTGTGTTTAACTCTTTTACATCTATACGTATAATGTCTCTCCATCTGTTGTTGACTTCAACATTATTTAGCTTTTTTTTTCTCGTTTTCCTAAGCTTCCTCTTATCCACCCATATAATGTTATTAGGGGCTAGAACTTGTAAAAGTATCAGAATGTTGCACCCATCCATGAATACAGCTTGAAACAAAAGGTTTCACAAGTCCAGAATCACTTCCCCCTTTCAAGAATTCCATGAATGTGATAATGTCAAACCAGTCTCTTATCTACCATAACCACAAGGCTGACTTCCTTACATAATACTAATCATGATAAGTAGAGTGCAATGTGCAGATTACTGAGAAATGAAACGTTCAGAGTAAATATCCAACCATTCGCCTTAATTTGTTAAAATGCAGAGCACCCATTGTAATTATCAATTGGGATCTCCCATCTAGCAGCCAAACTATGAACACTAAAAATAAAAATCATATAATACAACATTAAATAGTCTATATTTTTGGGTGGAGCTTGGACATTAAGGCGCGCAGCTGCATGCCGTGGGAGCTCTCGCTCAAGCTGACTATTTTCGGGGTTTCCAGCCATTTCCAGCCTGAAGCCGTGCATTCCCCCACACAACACTACCTGGGGGCCCGACGTGGACCATATTGATCCCACACTTGAGATCCTGAGACGCCGGGAGACCCCACAGACAAGCCGTGGCCTGCAAGTGACTGGGCTGGGGGAAAGGAGGCCGATTTCCTTGCTCTCCGGTTACTGAACGGAACAGCCTCACTCCTCCCCTCCCTGGACCAGAGGGGGTTATCCTGGTCCCCACTGTACTGCTTAAACCACATTCAGTGGACACTCACCTGTATGCAACTAGAGCCCTCAAAATGGTGGACGAGCATCCTCCAGTGGAGCAGACTTTAATAGCGACCGGCTGTTTCTCCGTGGAACGCTCTCTACAGAAATTGGACGCAATCTTCACCAGCTTCTGTGCTAAACTGGAAGCATGAGCAGCAGCTTCACCTCCCCAACAAGAGAGCAAGTCGACTAACGCAAATCCAGAAGATCCCCTCTGGACCTGAAAAGAAGAGCATTGAAGGCAAGCAAGCTCCTGACCTTACACCCATACACTCACCGAAGCCTGGGGTCACCCAGGGCTCAGCCCCACCACGTCCACAACATCAGCGACGGCCTGCTGTCCACACGATAGGAGCCCATTGCTACAGCCCATATGGGAGGGACTTGGTTTCTTTGTACCACCAGGCCCATAGAAAGGAGGCACTAGCCACCGCACTGGCCTAGGCCGAGAGGGATACTCTCACTCAATGCAACCCCAGCAGTCTACCCAGCAAAATCTATGCTGGCTCATCAGGCCCACCAAGTGTAGGAATCGGATGAAACACTGGCCACTAGACTCCAGTAGTCTATCCATGATGGACTGGAACCATGTGGCCTGTGGAGCTGCCATGTTGTGCTAGATCACGCTGCTTATGATGACCTGCTGTCTCCTAGCTTTGTTATATTTTCTTTTCTTTTATGTTGCGTGCTCTGTGTCTCACAGACTCTGATTGCTGTCCCTGCGGAAATCCAATCCTAGTCATATGTTTTTTGAGCATATCATACTTGTGTTTGATAATTTAAGATCTGTGCAGGTGCTTTTAATGCCATGATTGTTTCATTCTGTTTATGTTGGTATAATGCACGTTTTAGCAAGATCACATCTCAGGTACTAACCAGACTAGATACCTTACCAACAAATGCTTGAATTTAACCAGCCTGAGCATGTCGTACTTTTTTTTTTATAATTTAAAAATATGTGCAGATGATTCTAATGCCATGATTGTTTCCTTCTGTTTAATTCTCCTGTTCTTGCTTTGGGTGTTGTGGCAGCGCAAGCATTTGTGTTATCTTGTGCACATCAAAAATAAAGAATTTAAAAAATAAAATAAAAATAGCCTATATAAGACTCCAAACTTTTGGTAAAAACTAGTATTACTGGCATCAAGTAAAATGTTGATTGGCCTTCTTATAAAATACTTGGTGGAAAACTGAATACTTAATTAGTAAATTAACTACAGATAGAATTCCAATGGCTAATTAATTGTTCTTTTCTGAGACGTTCCGGTAAGATTTTTTAGTGCAGTTGATTTAATGATGGGTCAACTTTAAGTGTTGTGCAAACAGAGGTATTAAGATGTCAAGTTTGCAACTTGCACGTCATTGAAGTTATGATTAACTTTCTCATTAGTGATTATGTAACACAAACAGTACTTAAGTAAATGTTAATTACATGATTTAAAAGCTGCTATTCATGTGTTTTAACACTATCAGAGAGAGAGAGAGAGAGAGAAATAAATACCTCTGTTAAGAGGAAGTTGTAAAGGCTAACTCTGTAAATAAATAAAAAAAATGATTGCAATGTACATAAAATTAAAACTTTGGCAGTAGAACAAGAAAACATTTGTGAGTAAACGTGAGAATCCAGTTGTTACTGAAATGATCCATCTTTTTAATGGGCAGAGAATGGAGAGAGAGGCTGACAAGATATAAAAAATAATTGCACTAATATATTTATTTGAATAATAGCAAAATACACAATAGTTTGTTTCAAAGCACACAAAGATTGACATTCTGTTTATCACGTCATAATATATCATCAATGTAACCATTTAAAGGACCACTATAGGCACCCAGACCACTTCAGCTTAATGAAGTGGTCTGGCTGCCAGGTCCATCTAGGTTTAACCCTGCCTGCTGTGAACATAGCAGTTTCAGAGAAACTGCTCTGTTTACATTAGGGTTAATCCAGCCTCTAGTGGCTGTCTCATTGACAGCCGCTAGAGGCGCTTCCGTGCTTCTCACTGTGGTTTTCACAGTGAGAAGACGCCAGCATCCATAGGAAAGCATTGAGAATTGCCGCGCATGCGCATTCAGCCGATGACGGGGAAAGGAGGCGGAGAGGTCCCATCACCGAGAGAGTCCGGCTGTGAAGGTATGTGTTTAACCCCTTCCTCACCCTAGAGCCCGGCGGGAGGGGAACCCTAAGGGTGGGGGGGACCTAGAGACCCTATAGTGCCAGGAAAACAAGTATGTTTTCCTGGCACTATAGTGGCCCTTTAACTTATACTGACAATTGAGTCTAATAACCACAACAAACTGATACAAAATGATACAAAAAATTTACATTTCTAATGCTCGGCCAGTAATCTGAAACTGTGGGCTTTCCAATGCTTCAGTTTTCCAAAATGGAGAATCCTATATGGAAAAAGATAGGCTATTTAATTTTTTTATCTTGGAAACAGAAGCGAGAGACCTGTGGATAGCTAGGGACTGAGGCACTACAGTGATAGAAATACAGGTTTGTATTCCTAATACTATAGTATTTCTTTAAGGCAGGGCGCTGACCACTAAAAAACTGAATTTTTTCGATAAACAAATTTTTAAACTGCAGGACAAAGTACTGAAGAGAGGCATACAGGATTCCCAGTTTGGGAACAAATTGCAACAGTGCATCAAATCCAGACGAGTGTCAAATAAATACAGAATGTGAACATCGAAATTTGAAAAAGGTCTTAGTTAACATAAATAGCCATAACTCACTCCTTTCATTGTTAAAATCATGTTATTCATCAGCAGACTGAGCCTGCCTTCCTGAGTGTCTGCCTGTCCTTTCTCCTGAGTGTCCATCACATTGGCAGCAGCCTTTCAAACTAAGTTCTAGTATATGTCTAGGAAAAGGCCCATTCAATTACCAAAGTGGGATATGATAAGAAAAAGGTGCCAATTTTCATGTTTCATTCTGCTAGTCAAAGATTTAGCACAAATTGCATGTTACCGTGTTCCGTTGGGATAATTTACAGCAGAGAATTTCACCCACTAATCCCAGCATGCGGCAGTAAGGATTTGCTGGTGAATTGTGTATCTAAGTTTACGCGCAAGTCGTAGATAGCCTTGTGATTCCCTAATAGCTGACACATAAAGTGCTCTTTATCTCTCCATTTGAGTAACATTCTTCTACAAGCAGTTATCACGGCCTTGCAGGATAGCACAGAAGCTGTGTGATGTATGGAAAAAAGGACTGGATGTCCTTCATCCTGTAATATATTATCTTTATTTTACCGTTCTTTGCGATCAGTCATTTTTCACTGTGTCAAAGTAAGCAAAAGTTTAAAAGCGGCACTTCTGGCACAGTGGCGGCTCCAGAGCCTGATCTCAGGAAGGGCACTTGTAGGTTATTTAAATAAATAATCCATGCACAATAACCACTACAGTAGTGGTTATGGTGCCAGAAGTGCCGGAACCCCCTCCCAGAGTAAGTATTCAAACCATTTAAGAACAGTTTGACAACTTACCTGGGGTTTGCTGGGATATGGGGCTGTAATAGGACATAGGAGCAGTGGTGTGTGTGAGTGGTGCAATGTGTGAGGGGTGCAGTGTGTGTGAAAGGTTCAGTGTGTGTGTGGGGCGGGTGTAGTGTGTGAATGTGTAGGGTGTGTGGGGCAGTGTGTGTATGGGGGGCTGTGTTTGTGTGTGTGTAGGGCAATGTGTGAATGTGTATGGTATGTATGTATGGGGGCAGTGTGTGTGTGTGTGTGTGTATGGGGGCAGTGTATGTGTGTATGGGGGCAGTGTGTGTATGGGGGACTGTGTATGTGTGTGTGGGGCTATGTGCATATGGGGGGCTGTGTGTGTTTGGGTGGCTGTGTATGTGTGTGTGGGGCAATGTGTGTATGGGGGTAGTGTGTGTGGGGGGCAGTGAGTGTATGGGGGCTGTGTATGTGTGTGTGGGGGCAACGTGTGTATTGGGGCAGTGTGTGTATGTGTTTGTGGGGCAATGTGTGTATGGGGGCTGTGTGTGTTTGGGGCAGTGTGTGTATGGGGGGCAGTGTATGTGTTGGGGGGCTGTGTGTGTATTGGGAGCAGTGTGTGTGTGGGTGCAGTGTGTGTATGGGGGGCTGTATATGTGTGTGTGGGGCAATGTGTGTATGGGGGGGCTGTGTGTGTGTGTGAGGGGGCAGTGTATGTGTGTGTATGGGGGCAGTGTGTGTATGGGGCAGTGTATGTGTGTAGGGGCAGTGTGTGTGCGTGTTTGGGCAGTGTGTGTATGTGAAGGCAGTGTATGTGTGTGTCGGGGCAGTGTGTGTATGGGGGCTGTGTATGTGTGTGTGGGGCAATGTGTGTATGGGGGGATGTGTATTTGTGTTAGGGGCAATGTGTGTATGGGGGGCTTTTTTATAAAAAAATTTTTTAATAAAAATAAAAACATTATATCCCCCCTCCCTTCTTACTTTTACTGAGAGAGGAGGGGGGACATTTTTTGATCCCTGGTGGTCCGGTGGGGAATCCCTGGTGGTCACAGAGGTGAGAGTGAACTCTAGCCTCCACGGCTCCAGGGCTACTAGTTCACTCTCGCAAGATCCGGAGCGTTGCCGTAGTAACCGCAGCAATGCTCCGTGCTCGCAATAATAGGACCCGTAGGAGCTGCAGGCTGAGTTCCCGGGCCCTCTCTCCTTCCCTCCCATGCCGGCTGCCAGCACAGTACCTGCGGACCGGGGAGGGAGATCTCTCTGTGTCAGGTTACCTTTGGTGTCTACCTCGGAGGAGGTTAGACACCTAGACGTCCATCCTCCTAGGGGGGCTGACTCACCCGATCCTTGCACTCCTCCCGGCCGTTTACACGCCGGCCGCGATAGCTCCGCCTCCTTTTATGACGCGGCGCTCAGTAGCCGACGTCATGACGGCAATCACGTTCCGACCCGTCAATCACGGCAACCAAGTGCCGAACAACGAATCAGGACTCGTTGGGGGCGGAGCCAACAGTTAAAGAGCCAAGGTATAAAAAAGGGTTCTGTGGAATGATTCATTGCCCTGTCGTGGTTCTAGCTAGTCTGGTCACTCAGTGCACTTACCTCTATTGTCTTTTGGTTCCTGACTCGGCTTGTATTTTTTGACCCTGCTTTCCTCTCTTGTCCTTTTGACTCGGCTTGTCTCTCGCTTACCTGATCTCTCGTTCCCTCGACCTCGGCTTGTCTCTGACCATTCTTTTGCTTTCTCCTTACGTTAGTCCGGCCATTCTAAGGTCCGGTATACGTACCTATCTCCTGTTTGTATTCTGCGTGTTGGATCCCTGTCACGATCCTGACATTACGACAGGGCCAATGGATCCTGCAGGTACAAACTCTCAGGTCGGTTCTCCTGACTCTAGATTTGAGGCCATGGATCATAGAATGGACCAGATGGCTCTAGCTCTGCAAGCATTGCTATCTCGTCCTAGTAATCACTCAGAGGAGATGCGTACCCCATCTATCTCTCCTATAAGTACAGGCCTAGAGGTAGCCACAGTGGCTACTTCTTCCCGTGTTACGTCCCCGTCACGCTATGGCGGCGCTCCTGACACTTGTCGAGGTTTTTTAAACCAGATAGGTATTCATTTTGAGTTACAACCCCACGCCTACCCTACTGACAGGGCGAAGGTTGGATTTATAATCACCTTGCTCATTGACAAGGCACTTAGATGGGCTAACCCCCTGTGGGAAAATGATAACCCGTTAGTTTACAATTATAATGCTTTTGTCGCTGCATTTAGGAGAGCTTTTGACCCCCCAGGAAGAAAGGCCAATGCAGCTAGACTACTGTTACGTCTTAGACAGTATAACCGAACCCTCGTGGATTATGCTTTAGAGTTCAGATCCTTGGCGGCAGAAGTCAAGTGGAATGAACAGGCTTATATGGACGTATTTATGAACGGGGTATCTGATGAGATTTTAGATGAGGTGGCCACAAGAGATCTTCCTGAAAATTTGGAGGATTTGATTTCATTTATTTCCCGAATAGATGAACGTATGAGACAGAGGCAGAATATTCGGGATAGAACCCGCAGATCCTCCATAAGACTAGCTCCCTCATTTCAGAGTTCTGATTCTACTACTTTAGCTCTCCCAGAACCTATGCAAATAGGTAATACTCGACTCTCAGAAGAGGAAAGACAGTACAGGAGAAGGGAGGGGCTTTGTATGTATTGCGGAATTAGAGGTCACCTACGCCTAAATTGCCCTAACCGGCCGGGAAACGCTCGCACCTAAGTTTCTCAAGAGGACAGGCCTTGGGTGTTTCTATCTTGTCCTCTATATATGATTATAAAGATCATAGGCTTCTGATACCTGTTTCTTTAGCTTGGGAAAAGGGAGTACTTAATGCTATGGCTTTGATAGATTCCGGAGCAGCTGAAAGCTTTATTGACCAAGCCTTTGTCACTAACCATTCTATCCCATCTCAGCTAAGGGATACACCCTTGGCCGTTGAGGCCATAGATGGTAGACCATTATCTGAACCTGTTATTTTTCGTGAAACCATACCAATTAAGTTAACCACTGGTATCCTTCACGAGGAAAGAATATCCCTCATGCTGATCTCATCTCCTTCAGTTCCTATAGTCTTGGGGTATCCCTGGCTTAAGAAGCATAACCCTATCATTGACTGGGAACTGGGTGAGATAGTCTCCTGGGGTCAGGGTTGCCAGAGAGGATGTTTACAGAAAGTCTCACCGATTTGCATGGTTGACGCCCCGGTTAACTCTTCCCAATCTACAGATTTACAGATACCGTCTCAGTACCTGGATTTAAAGGCAGTCTTTGACAAAAAGAGGGCTGATACTTTACCTCCACATAGGTCTTTCGACTGTAAAATTAGACTCCTACCTGGTACTATGCCTCCGAGGGGTACGGTATATCCTTTATCCACTAAGGAAAACTTAGTCCTAGAGGAGTACATACGTGAAAACCTAGACAAAGGATTTATTAGGAGATCATCTTCTCCGGCCGGGGCCGGTTTCTTTTTTGTAGATAAAAAAGACGGCACTCTACGGCCTTGCATTGATTATCGGGGCTTGAATAAGATAACTGTTAGAAATGCTTATCCTATTCCTTTGATTACTGAGCTCTTTGATCGACTGAAAGGCTCCAAGATTTTTACCAAGTTAGATCTGAGGGGAGCTTATAACTTGGTGAGAATTCAGCAGGGAGACGAATGGAAAACAGCTTTCAATACCCGTTATGGCCACTATGAATACACGGTAATGCCCTTCGGGCTTTGCAATGCACCTGCAGTATTCCAGGACCTTATTAATGAGGTTCTTAGGGAATTTCAGCATGAATGCGTTATAGTATATTTGGATGATATACTAATACACTCTAGAGAGATTGAGACTCACCACAGACAAGTCAGAAGGGTACTGCGCAAACTGTTACAACATGGATTGTACTGCAAATTGGAAAAGTGTAGCTTCGACCAATCTCAGATAAACTTTCTTGGCTACGTTATTTCTGGAGACGGATTTAGGATGGACCCCATTAAACTCCAATCGATTTTAGATTGGCCATTGCCCAGGGGACTCAAGGCCATTCAGAGATTTATCGGATTCTCCAATTATTATAGGCGCTTCATTAAAGGTTACTCTTCTATTATTGCTCCTATTACCAATATGACTAGACAGGGTGCTGATACCAAGACTTGGTCTACAGAGGCTCTCTCTGCTTTCAAAACACTCAAAGAACATTTTGCCTCAGCACCGATATTAGTTCATCCTGACACATCTTTGCCTTTTCTACTCGAGGTAGACGCCTCGGAGACAGGTATAGGCGCTATCTTGTCCCAAAGGCTAGGTTTGGATAAACCGTTACATCCATGTGGGTTTTTTTCCAAGAAATTATCTGGGCCTGAAAGTAGATATGACATTGGTGATAGGGAACTGTTAGCGGTCATTATGGCTTTAAAGGAATGGAGACATTTGTTGGAGGGGACATTATACCCGGTTACTATTTTGACGGATCACAAGAATTTGTCCTATATAGGGGAGGCCAAGCGCTTGTCCGCCAGGCAAGCTCGTTGGTCCTTGTTTCTGACACATTTCAATTACGTGCTCACTTATAGACCTGGTTCTAAGAACTCTAAGGCAGATGCATTGTCCCGCCAACATGAACCTTCTACGGTGTCTGAAGCAGCTTTGTCTTCTATCGTTCCCAAGTGTAGTATTATTGCCAACACGTGTGTCAGGATACACTCGCCGTTGCTTGCTGAGATCAAGAAAGTACAACATCTAGCTCCCAAACCTGTTCCTGGGGCTCGATACTTCGTTCCTCCTGAGCTCCAAGTGGAACTGCTGCATTGCTTTCATGACAGTAAAATTGCTGGGCACCCCGGCATACGCAAAACGTGTTCCCTGATTTCTAAAGATTTCTGGTGGCCTTCCCTTCGTAAGGATATAAGGGATTTCGTCGGGGCATGTGCTGTCTGTATGAAGACTAAGCAACCTCACGCGCTCCCTTGTGGACTTTTGCACCCCTTAGAAATTCCCGAGAGACCATGGTCATGTTTGGCTATGGACTTCATTGTCGATTTGCCTGTTTCTAAAAAACATACTGTTATTCTCACGGTGATTGACAGGTTTACTAAAATGGCTCATTTCGTGCCCTTGCCTAAACTGCCCTCGTCTCCCGAATTAGCTGAGATATTCGCGAGGGAGATTTTTCGTTTACATGGTATTCCCTCTGAAATTGTTTCTGATAGAGGTTCCCAATTTGTTTCCCGCTTTTGGAAGTCTTTCTGTTCTCACTTAGGCATCAAGTTGAATTTCTCATCTGCCTATCATCCCCAGTCCAACGGAGCTGCCGAACGCACCAACCAAAAGATTGAACAATATTTGCGTTGTTTTGTTTCTGAACACCAGGACGATTGGGTTGGTCTGATTCCTTGGGCAGAGTTTGCACACAACAATCTCGTTTGTGATTCTACTCGTTCTAGCCCCTTTTTCTTGAATTATGGCTTTCATCCTTCCATTCTTCCGTCGGTTTCCCCTTCCCAAGGGGTTCCGTCGGTTGATGTTCATGTCGCCAATCTGAGAAAGTTGTGGGATCAGACTCGACGAATTCTTCTTCAGAATTCCATGGTGTTCAAACGACACGCTGACAAACGGAGACGGGTGGCTCCGGTTTTTGCCCCGGGTGATAGGGTGTGGTTGAGTACCAGAAACATCCGCTTGAAGGTTCCTTCCATGAAATTTGCCCCTCGTTACATAGGCCCTTACAAGGTTCTGTGTCGGATTAACCCGGTTGCGTATCGTCTTGCCCTTCCGCCTGCCCTGCGCATCCCTAACTCTTTTCATGTTTCTTTGTTGAAGCCTTTGGTTTGTAACAGATTTTCCTCCGCTGAGTCCTCCCCTCTCTCTGTCCAGGTTGAGGGTCAGGAGGAATATGAAATCAAATCCATTCTCGATTCTCGTATTTCTCGGGGGAAGTTGCAATATCTTGTTGACTGGAAGGGGTATGGGCCTGAAGAAAGGTCTTGGGTGGGCCATGAAAATGTGCATGCCCCTCGTCTCCTCCGGGCATTTCATGCTCGTTTTCCGTCTCGCCCCGGTTCCTTCCGCCCGGTGGGCGTTTCTGAGAGGGGGGGTACTGTCAGGTTACCTTTGGTGTCTACCTCGGAGGAGGTTAGACACCTAGACGTCCATCCTCCTAGGGGGGCTGACTCACCCGATCCTTGCACTCCTCCCGGCCGTTTACACGCCGGCCGCGATAGCTCCGCCTCCTTTTATGACGCGGCGCTCAGTAGCCGACGTCATGACGGCAATCACGTTCCGACCCGTCAATCACGGCAACCAAGTGCCGAACAACGAATCAGGACTCGTTGGGGGCGGAGCCAACAGTTAAAGAGCCAAGGTATAAAAAAGGGTTCTGTGGAATGATTCATTGCCCTGTCGTGGTTCTAGCTAGTCTGGTCACTCAGTGCACTTACCTCTATTGTCTTTTGGTTCCTGACTCGGCTTGTATTTTTGACCCTGCTTTCCTCTCTTGTCCTTTTGACTCGGCTTGTCTCTCGCTTACCTGATCTCTCGTTCCCTCGACCTCGGCTTGTCTCTGACCATTCTTTTGCTTTCTCCTTACGTTAGTCCGGCCATTCTAAGGTCCGGTATACGTACCTATCTCCTGTTTGTATTCTGCGTGTTGGATCCCTGTCACGATCCTGACACTCTGTGAAGGCACATTAGAGGGCTGGCGCTTGGACAGTGCCAGCCCTGCATTAGCCGTGGGGAGAGTCTCGGGGGCAGGGGCAGTGTCCCACACACATACACTGCCCCCCATACACACACTGCCCCAACACACACCATACACATTCACGCACTGCCCCCCCATACACACATTGCCCCACACACCCTACACATTCACACACTGCACCCCACACACACACACCCTGAATCTTTCACACACACTGCACCCCTCACACATTGCACCACTCCTCCTATGCCCTACTACAGCCCCATATCTCAGCAGACCCAGGTCTTAAAACGTCTTGACTACTTACTCGGGGAGGGGGCCCCAGCACTCCTGGCACCATAACCACTACTGTAGTGGTTATTGTGCATGGATTATTTCTTTAAATAATCTACAAGTGCCCCTCCCGAGATCAGGCTCTTGATCCGCCACTGGTGTGGGGGCAGTGTGTGTATGGGGGCCTGTGTATGTGTGTGTGGGGCAATGTTTGTATGGGGGCTGTGTGTGTGGGGGGAGGGCAGTGTGTGTATGGGTGGGCAGTGTATATGTGTGTAGGGGCAGTGTGTTAATGGGGGCAGTGTATGTGTGTGTGGGGGCAGTGTGTGTATGGGGGCTGTGTATGTGTGTGTGGCAGTGTGTGTATGTGGGTGAAGTGTGTGTATGGCGGCAGTGTGTGTGTGTGTGTGGTGGGGCAGTGTGTGTATGGGGGGCAATGTGTGTGTGTGTGGGGGCAGTGTATGTATGTGTGTGGGGCAGTGTGTGTATGTGGAGGCAGTGCATGTGTGTGTGTGGGGCAGTGTGTGTGTGGGGCAGTGTATGTGGGGCATTGTGTGTGTGTGTGTGTGTGTGTGCGGTGTGTTTCTGGGGGGGCAATGTGTGTAGGGGGCAGTGTGTGATTATGAGAAGGGTATGGGGGCTTTTTTATATTATATTTTTTTTAAAATAAAAATAAATATACATTATGTCCTCTCTCCCTTCTTACCTTTACTGAGGGAGGAGGGGAGACATCTCTCGATCCCTGGTGGTCCGTGGGGAATCCCTGGTGGTGGCAGTGGTGAGAGTGAACTCTTGCGAGATCTGGAGCGTTGCAGGCTGAGCTCCCGAGCTCCAGCTGCCAGCACGGTGCCTGCGGACCGGGGAGGGAGATCTCTGACAGTGCCAGCCCTGCATTAGCCGGCAGGGGAGAGCCTCGGGGGGGGCAATTGCCCCGTTGCCCCTCTCCCCCCAGATCCACCAGTGGTATGGGAACAGGCAATCGCAAAGCTATGCCACCATTAATTTGCACGTACAACATGCCTCATATGAATATACAAAATGAGTTTATCTATGTTATAGCATGCATTTATACATAAAATATTTTGAGCATGCTGTTGCATCAGAAACGTAGGTATGTATTTGGCAAATAAACCGCCAGCATTCTAAACATTTTTAAAAATGTAACTATATTATGAAAGCATTCTTCTGATTTTTTGGAATATATTATGTAAGCATATTAACTCCTCTAAAATGTATGTATTCATATTTGCATACGTTTTTTATTTTTGTATTTGGGGTTTACACCCATGGGGCACATATTACGACACGTAAAATACTAGATAATATTATGTTTCCTTCTTTATTTTTATTATCGTAATTTCCTTCTATATTTAAAGGGCACTTGTCTTGCAAAAGTAGCCTAGTGACACATTATGGTAGAAAAGACGCACTGAATCATTTTCCCAGTGCTAATTATATCTGGGTTTTTTTTAATTAAAAGTCAAAATAGTGCTCACATGGGTGAGACATCAAACTAGACTGCTGCTTCCATCTCCCGAAACAGACCTCCATGTTTTGTTAATGAATTACCACCATGTAGCAGATATAAACATTTCAATAAACATTATGCGGTTTAATTGCACAAATCAGCAACCCCTTCCAGCATCTTATATGCTGGCACAGCATTATAATAAGATAAACTAAATTTGTTTATTATTATTAGTGTATTACTTATAAAGCGCCAACAAGTTCCGTAGCGCTGTACAATGGGTGGACTAACAGACAAGTTATTGTAGCCAGACGAGTTGGACACGCAGGAACAGAGGGATTGAGGGCCCTGCTCAATGAGCTCACATGCTAGAGGGAGTGGGGTATAGTGACACTAAGGGTAGGGTAGAAAAGTGGTTTGTTATTATTATTATTTTATTATTTATATAGCGCCATCAGATTCCGTAGCACTGTACAAAGGGTGGACTAACAGACATTCAATTGTAGCCAGACAACTAGACGTACAGGAACAGAGAGGTAGAGGGCCCTGCTCAATGAGCATACATTCTAAGTTAAAATAGTATTCACTGAGGACTTAGTAGGTTATTTTGAACAGTTTCAGGAGAGGAATCCAGGTGCGGGCAGGGAAAGCTGTTTACATTTTAATTGATATGCTTTCCTAAAGAAGTGAGTTTTCAGTGATATTTTGAAGGAGTGGAGACTGGCTGAATGTCTAACGGGGAAGGGAAGGGAGTTCCGCAGGAACGGTGCAGCCCTAGAGAAGTCTTGAAGGCGAACATCAATGGTGGTAGTAAATGATAGACGTAGGTCTTCGGCAGAGCACAGCGGTCTGGACAGGACATACTTGTGTATGAAGCAGGATAGGTAGGTTGGAGCAGCATTATGTAGAGACTTGTAATCAAGTATCAGGATCTTAAATTGAGCCTTATTGGTTCCTACCTCCTGTCACAATATATGCTTACTTAACGTGCCAGTTACATGCATAGCATTCACATTTTCACTTATTTATGGCCTAAAATGTGCAGGTTACATGAAATTCTGTAACTTGGTTTGGAATTCTATTTGTTTTTTTTGTTCTGCTGATGTTGATTATCCTGGGCACTCCCAATCCATATGAGCTCACTGCACGACTATTCCCCTGTGCCTCCGTTGTCGACGTCTCTGGCATGATAGATTGATTTATTTGTTTAACATTTCTAATATAGCGCCTTATGCAATGCTTGTATTCATCAGGCAGCTGCTCATTCCAGCCTAGAATAATAACAAATAAAATCAAAATCCAAAAACCTTATGTTTACGGAAACCAGAAGTACTGGCCTAAAGTGGCATGGTGCCACGATTCTCTCATTATAGCAGGCACAGCAGCCAAAAACTGGAATCTGTACAAGTCCACAGAAACACTCCAGGGAAATAATTTTACAGTGAGGTAATGGGGATTGGGAGTGCTCCGGGTAGTCTGTCAATTATTTCTACAAATATATGTTTTGGTTTTTTTTTAAATGTGTTACCGTGCAGATGCTTGAATGTAAAACACTAAAAACAAAATACTTCACAAAACAGACATTATTTGAATTACACGTCCTTCAGAGAACACCGCAGGCACCATAACTACTTCTGCTTCATGCATAGGTTATGGTACAAGGAGATCCTCTGCCTCCGTCCATCATTCTGTTAATTATAGCTGTAGTGATTTACAAGTAATTACAGCTATACACACCCTGCGTGGTGATGTTCCAGTATTTGGAGGTAAATGGAAATTCAGAAATTAATATTTTTGTTTGTTTGTTTGTTTTTGGCACATTTTACATTTTATGAAAGGAATTCCATAATGATTTAAATAGCAAACCTATCTTCAGTTACTTATTTAAAAGGGAAGCATGCTTTAGAAGTTCACCAGTCCTTGTCAGAAAATGTTGACACCTGTTCAAGATATTGTTGTTTTTGGTTTTTTTAATAAATGCTGTATACATACATTAACAGGTTCTCCCACTATGCCATTGTGCTTTGTGGTTCTGAGCAAGAGGTGGTTTTAATTTGCATAGCAGTACCTACAAAAGTAATTAAAGGGCCTGTTCTCTCTGTGTGTGCTGTGTTAATATGGCTGTGTGTGATCCATTCTTGGTTTTATACACTCACCAACCCACAAGTCACATACAAGATTGGTACTCAGCTTTCTGATGCATCGAGCAGATTCTTAAATCTACACAACCTCAGAAATTGCTCTTCGCGGTGTCAGTAGTAACTGAATCAGAGTGCATGTTGGGAATCCTGGCGACTTTGCTCTGACTCACTAGAGAATCCCAGAACTGCAGATTGAGTGTCTGCTGTAGGGACAGAGCTCTTAGTACCTGCCCAAAACACCTGCCTCCCTTTAGCAGCCCTGTCATTTGCCCACTGGAGAACTAAATGCCATAATAAATTGCCTGCCTGGCACCCGGGGCTACATGTCCCGTATATCAGGCGATACAAATTCCACATCTCTGCATACCCCTTGCTTTTGGTACTGCAGGTAGAGAAACTAGGCTTTATATTTACAAACTTAGAGTTAAGCAAATAAAGCACATTTTCTTAAGTGCTATCATTACACTTAAAATGATAAAGGACCCTACGATAATTTCAGGGGCCGTAAAGTAAATCATAATTTGCTTCACTCCATTTTAAAAACCAAGGTTGCACGCTCTAGTGAGTTGTGCTCTCAGCACCAACGTGTTACAATGTGTCACAAATGGGCCTATTTCCTCATTCCACGGAGCTGATTCAGTCTGGTAGCACCAAATACGTAAATGGCTATAAGCCGTGTTTCTGAGGGAAACACAGAAACACTTTTTTACTCACTTGTTAACTCTCTTCCATATCATGGGCTTAGTGCAGGGGTTCCCAAAGAGAGTTTTTTTTCCTCCTAAAAACACATTAGACACAACTGGATAATCCCTAAATACTGGACTGGTAGGGTTTACTTAAGGACTGGGTTGGGAGCCACTGGCTTAGTGAATAAGTCAAATCATGCTTGCTCAATCTAGAGTGTGTGCCCAATACATTTTAAAATGGCTGAATTAATATATTATTATATATATTAATATATTATTTTTATTAGCATTTATATAGTGTCAACATATTCCTCAGCTCTCTACAATTCTAACAAGTGGATCCAATGAGAAAAACTATTGGAAATGTGGGAATAGTTACACATGTTTTAAACGTCATATGAAAGATTTAAATATGGCTTTTACAATGCAGGTTATCAGGTTATCAATATTTAACTTGGTCAAATCTCTCTGGAATAAAATAGGAATGAAATCTCATTGATTGACGCATCTTTTAAATCCAATGCCTGCTGTTCAGATTAAGTGCCTACGGGGACCTAAAACTTGGCATCACGCAACTATAAAATCTGATGACAGATGGGAACAGCCCGTCCCACCCAATCTGTCCCGAACACCTGCAAGAAAACCTTTAGTCTTACTGTAGGGACTTTGCTGTTTATTCCAAGTGGTATGTATTCCAGGAGGCACACTTGTGGGCTAGGCCAGTTCTATTTTTAGGAGCCTGCGAAGGATTTTAAAAACAGGGGACTGTGCCACATGATCAAAATTGATATATTATTCCCCGGCTTCCAGACTTACTCTAAACATGAATTAACACGATCCTGTTCCGATAGGGCATTTTGTAGATAGTTAAAAAAAAGTTAATGCAGGAAGGTGGTTTTAAAAAGCAAATCTGAAAGTATTAATGTGTTTCCCATACCATATATTATATGTAGAATGATTGTGTTTCTCTATGTATTGCAAGGTCTTATATGCAAATTAGTCTCCTACCCTGTAAACACCAAGCCAGCTGGGTAGAGATGGAATACAGAAAGCCGATTTGCATGTAAAGCCTGTCATACTCAATCCAAACACTTTAAGGACCACTATAGGCACCCAGACCACTTCAGCTCAATGAAGTGGTCTGGGTGCTAGGTCCCTCTAGTGTTAACCCTGCAGCTGAAAACCGCTTTAGGCGTATCCGCGCTTCTCACTGTGATTTTCACAGTGGAAGACGCTGCCGTCCATAGGAAAGCATTGAGAAATGCTTTCCTATGGACTGATTGAATGCACGCGCGGCTCTTGCCACGCATGCGCATTCGGCAGATGACGTCGGAAGAGGGAGGAGAGTCCCCAGCACCGAGGGAGCCCGGCGCTGGAAAAAAGGTAAGGGATTAACCCCTTCCTCCCCCTTCAGCGCCACGGGAGTGGGACCCTGGGGGTTATGGGGACATATTAACACTATAGAGCCAGAAATACTAGTTTGTTTTCCTGGCTCTATAGTGGTCCTTTAAAGCCACATTCACCATATCACACTCACTCTGTCAAACCTTATCCCAAACCCTGTCACCATCCTCCCCAAATGCTGCCACATTCACGCCCCACTCCCTTTCCCACTTGCCCCCCTCAACCTGCCACAGCCCCCCACTGAAGATAGTCACCATCATACACAGTCACCTCCCACACTTACAGCCTGACTGTAACACAATGAACAAAAACCACAATAAGCCCCCCTTACACAACACAACACAAGCAACTATCCCATATGCACATATGCTCACAGAAATACACATGCACACCGACACACA